TTGCTCCGCGGGATGAGCACCGCGGTGGGCTCGGAGTACAGTGTCGGGCGTACAGCGGCCGTATGATATATACGACATACGACCCGTACTTTCGTTGCCGGCCGTCGTCTCTGCAGCGAGAAGGCGCAATCGTCGTCAATAATGCGCCAACACAACAATCACTAGCTTGCCATGCGCACAAGCATGTGCCGGTACCTGGACATGCTGGTCTCATCCGTTTTTCCGGATATCTCTACCACAGAGCCCTGCCATCAATGGCAAAGATTAAGGCAGCCCGATCTGGATCTAACGTCGGGGCCGTTCGTTCGACGCTCAAGCTTCCGCCCTGATCAAGTGCATATAAGAACAGAGCTTTCTATCTCGGAGGGAATCTTTTCCTGGTGGCGACGCCCGCGAGGCCGAGCTATGGGCAAACCAGTAGATCCGTCATATCCACTGTATCCCATCGCTTGCGTCTTCGCCGCAACGGGCCTATTTTTGGTACTCCTCACCAGCGCTATCCGCTCAAGGTGGAATCTGGGTGTCTCCTTCCTGTGCTTCTGGCTCTTCCTGGAGAATCTGACCTTTGCGATAAACTCGGTCGTGTGGAAAGATAATGGAGATATCAAGCATCGTATCTACTGTGACCTTGGTACGAGCCTTGTATCTTTGGGTCTCGTGCGGCGCTGATTCCTCCGGCGCAGCTTCTCATCTACAGACCATTTGCTATGTCGTCAAACCCGCCGCAACCCTCATCATGACCCGAAGGTTGTTCCTGATTGCTAGTTTCCGCAATATGGACATGCACACCACACTGGTGCGGCGTCCAAAGCATGTTGCCTCCCGCTTTGATGCTGACATTCGGATGGCCATACGTAGAAGCGGTCGGATATCATCATAGAGTGGTTCTTGGGCCTTGGCCTACCATTGCTAGTTGCTGGACCATTCTGTGAGTCCTTACTTGATGATTTCACGCGCATACACTGACGGCGGACGCCTCAGACTACATCGTACAAACCAAACGCTTCGAGATTCTTGAGGGTTTCGGGCCCAGCGGCTCAAGTTCGTCCACAGTACTCGCTATCCTGCTCGTTTCTCAATGGAGCATCTCTCTTCCGCTCATTTCCATACTCTTCTACTTTCGTGAGTTCGCCGACCTCGCCGTCGTGATGCGCCGGCCATATCTGACCTTGTGCCCCTTATAGCGAGGGTGGTCTGGATCTTCTACCGCCAAAACAGGGATCTGAGTGACTTCTTCCTGCGCAGCAACAGTAATAGCTCAACCTCCCGGCCGGGCTACTGCCGTTTGTTCGCACTTGCCAGCGTCGACATGCTCATCACGTTCCCCGTGGGTCTCGTGAACGTGTCGCTGGTGATAGTCCAAGATCTGCATTCCGAGCGTGGCCTCCCCTTCTACGACGGCTGGGCCGCCACACACCGAGATTGGACGCCGCTCAGCACGCCGTACTCGGATGTTCTCGCCGGCGGCAGGTCCGGTCTGGCGCAGTTCTACTTCTCGAACTGGGTCACACCCTGTCTTTCCTTCGTCATCTTCGGTCTCTTCGGCTTCACGCCAAATGCACGTTCAGCGTACATGATCATGGCGCGCTGGGTCGGTGATTTGTTGCACATACGCCCAATCATCCGCAGGCATCAGCAACGGCTCAAGCACAAGAAGGCGGTACAGAATCGGGAAAGGACAAGAAGAGGCCTTGGTTCTGCACCGCAGGAGATCACGCTCGACTCGGAGCTGTGGTGCGTATGCTCGTTGATTGAGATGACGCTTTACTGACTCTCCTTCAGGTCTCGCGAGTTGAGCTTTGCGGATTTCGAGTTGACCGCACCGGTCGGTCAGAGTATCGACATCAAGGGCGACGCCGAAGGCCGCAAGTCCGAGGACTCTGGAGACGCAATCAAGGTTTATACAGGGCCCGGGTGCGTATTTTGCACGTCTCATTTGTTGCTCTCCACCTCATGTCTTGGCTATGGCGCTACCAGGGACTCAAGCCCCGCCCTGAAGCCGGCGAAGTCCGATCCAGATAAGTCGGAGGTATAGTACTTATTGCGCGTCGACAGGGCGCCACCTGATGTTTCTGAATTCCTGTCACGATACCGATCGGAGGACTGTTACGATACCCGTCGAGGGAAGCTGTACCCATAGAGGGCCCTTCGTCATCTTGTACCACCTGCACTATCAGCATTACTATCCTGGGTTTCATGGTTGACTTGTTGGCATGTACGGGAGCTTCAAGCTTTCAAGCTACAAGCTTTCAAGACCTCACTATACAAGCACTCAAGATTCAAGACCAACCTTCAAACGCTTCAAGCTTCAATCTGTCAAGCTTCGGATTTCATCTCAAGCTCCAAAAGCTCCAAGTGCAATGTTCAATGCCCAATGCTTCACGCTCCAACTTCAGCACTTCGATCGCAGAGTCAACTGACTTCATTAATCCAGAAGCTATAACTTCGAGGGTACAAGTACAACATTCAAAAACTGACGGGGTATATTCGGAGATGCAAATACTGAACCAGAACACGGTACCACTATCGTGGTACACGAAGCCAGCCGAAGTCGACACCCGGCTTGCGGGACCTACTTCGTCCGCCGACGGGTATCGCGATGGGCTTTTGAGGCCGCTTCTCCTGCCCGAATCGGACGTGGCTCCTACTCCTACTCCGGCTGCTATACCTGTCCCGCATTGCCGAGCGGCCAGGGCGCAAAATACGGTGGCGCGGGGCGCTTTGGGAGCGCGCGCGCCTCTCGTCGTCTCCGACATGCGAGTAGTCGCGCGGCGAGCGGCTGAGATGAGGGTCCGATGGTGGCGCTGTTGGAACGTATGCTACGCCGAGCTGGGGCGCTTCGTGGTGCTGGTGTTGTTGGTGCACTGGGGGATAGGTGTGCCCGTGGCTATTTGGGGGTTGATTCGTATGAGCGTGGACGTGCGATCGGTGGTCACGGGCGTGGCTCTGAGAAGCGGGCACCTGGTTCTGAGAAGACGCGTGTTTATGGGCAGGTACTGTCGGACGCGCCGTAGGAGCTTTTGGCTGGGGCGGATGTCGATGATGGCGAGATGTATGGGCAGGCGATGGACGCGTCGAGTGACTGGCGGTGTGCTCTCGGGTTGACGTTCCGCCCAGAGTGGCCACATGTGAAGCTTCGGAGACACTTGGCCGTCGCTCGTTTCGGTGAAGTGTGCGCCCGCGTTCGCGCTCGCGCTCACGGTCATCCCTTCGATGGCGGTGTTCGCGATGCGCGGTCGGACGTGTTTGGGTGCGACTGGTCGTGGGTATATGCGCGGCTTGACCCTTCGCATGAGTATGCGCGTGCGCGTGCGCATGACTGTGGCCGCCGGAGGGCTCACGTATGCGGGAGGAAGTATGAGTGTGAGCGTGCCCGCGAGAGTGCGAGCGCGCGCCGTGCGAGTTGTGGATCGGTGCATCGTCGCGCAAGTACAGAGCAGCGAACTCGGCACTCGGAGCTGTCGGGCTGTATGGACCCGGAACGGCGCTGGGGCGCACGTACACCTGAGAAGGACGGCGCTCCAGATGCGGCGAGGGTTGAGGCTCGTAGGAGGAGTGCTGGTGATGATGATACTCGTAGAATCTGAAGCCGTCAAGAGCTGTGGCCGGCATCACTGGTGGCGAAATGATCGGACCAGGCTGAGAATGCGAGATTGACGGGACGTGCCCGCGCGTATAGCTATACATGGTTCGCCGACGTCGACGACGGAAGAGTGGTGATTTCGCAGCTCGCCTCTTGCGGGGAAGGCAGTGTCCGTTATCGGCCTTCGCCACTCGTATAAGTACAGGCAATTGAGCAATTTGCTCGGAGCGCCGGCAGTGCAGATCGGGACGCGGGTCGAATCAGATGAGCGGACATGTGGGCGCGAGGCGGTGGGGTGCGTTGTGGATGTACAGCCCGCTACGGCCGATACGTGCCATTGGCACCGGGACTGCGGCAGCCGGTGATGCCATCGATGTCATAATTGTTCAAACGTCTCCAGGGACGCGGTGCACTAGTGACGATACTCTGGCTTGTGGCCACGGTGTAACGACGTGCAAGGGATAGGCTGGGAGAGGCGCAAGTCGGTGGGAGGCGGGTCAGACGGGCGCGCCTTGAGGATGTTAGCTTTGACCGCTACTTGTTAAGCCTGAGCTTACAGATACTACTCGAGAGTGGTGGCACCAATCGACCTATAGGACACTGAGAGGGAACGTCAGATGCCTACAACGTCGCAAGGAACGCGTGGTAGGGTTGAACCCTACAACCACAACCTGTGGAGATACAGGAAGTGTCGAATGGTGTGTCACTTCAAGAAACGTGTCGCAAGTAGGCTACAGCGAAGTAGATGTACGTCTTCGGCTGCCCGCAATCATAGCTCAGCTCCCGATTCTCAATCGTGAGTTGCACAGAACGGGAACACCAAATGATTGTCCAAATGTTCTTACTGTAATGGACTTGCCAATCCGGACAGAGGGATCCTGAAACAAAACGCGCCATGAACCTCAAATCAACACATTGAGGTGAAAACAGACCTACCACCAACTACGTGACCACGTATGAGCTCTCTCGTGCCTGTATACTCAGGTATTATCTGACAGTTGATGAGCAGGGGGCGCTGAATCAGCGCAGTGGGCGCACGAGTCAAGCCCGAATAATCATCAACGTTTCCATCTGATAATCTACAGCCTCTGCGGCGCGAGGATCAGCGTGACTAACCCGGGTAGACAATACAATCCCTATCGTCAAGGACTTGCATTCTCGCGATGAACCCGCGATTCCCCTTGCTCCAAGCTCAGGGAAGTTGGCGAGGCATAAGTAGCTTCAAGGTTGTGACGCGTCGCCTCTGTGTTACCGGCAAGATCACGACTCGGCTTCGCAGGCGCTTTCTGTGTCAGTTGCTAGTATGAACAGGTGGGGTGAGGTAGAAGCGACGATTTCTGCCCGTGCGCTTGGTCCGGAGCCGAACGATAAGAAAGCTGATGTTTGACGTGGCCAGCATCCGGATGTTTGAAGGGATGGAATGCGGACATGAGCACAGCCTGCCGGGCATTCCAGCAACTATTTCCCGGTGCACTTCACGATGTCTTTCGTGGTGGTGTAGCGCCACGAGACCGAAGAGACCTTTCATTATCATGAGGCCCGCCATCATAGCCTCAGGCCGTACTTAGGCGTCATGACCAGCGAGGAAGGCGACGGATTGTAAACCAGTCTTTGATCGTCTACGTCGCTGCATCGGAGTGTCCCGGAGCAACACGGCAGCATATACCCTCACAGGAACAGGGCAACCTCGTGCTGCGTCATTTGCAGTCTCTTTGAAGGCGTGAGAGCTGTTTCCGTGCCTAGCTCGGTGGAGGTTGCGAGCCTTCGTGAGCCTCAGAATTCAGCCAGTTGACGGACAACACTGTGGTCGCGCTCCAGTCATCCAGCTTTTGCAGGTCGGCTGAAGGAATCGCAAGTAGTCGAAGATACATCATCATCCCAGGCGGTCGTGTGATAGGCGGTGCACGGATAGGGAAGGTGAAACCAAGCATGACGGGGAAGCATGACGGGGAAGGTAGCAGTGACATTCAACGCCTTGAAGGAATTAGGCGGCGCGCGAACGAGACATATCATGTACAGCGTCGTGCGTTTACTCTGTTTTTTGGGAACTATCAATCACTAAGTTGGCAAGCAGAGAGACTGGTATAATAGCGCACTTGAGGTGTGTGCGGGAAGCAAGTTGGATCATCAGCGATTAGGGGAACTTACCGCAGTGGCACGTGTCGATCGACATTATGAGGGAAGTGCCTCAGCCCCTCCTCGGATCCCAACTCGCTCTCGACCGCCACCGCCATTATCCCAGCTAGCCAGCGCACCCACCTCCTTCCTTCTTCTTCTCCTTCAGCTATGACCTCTCCACGGCGACACTCCCTTTCAAATATTATCTCATCATTGAAGCACAAGTCGCGAAACATCATACGGTGAGTATGCCATCGGGTTCGCTCGCGATAGTTCAGGACGGGCTGTGTCTGCTATGGGTGGAGTGGGGCGTATTAGCTGGCTCAGTGTAGCTGCGCATCGGGGTGCACTTGGGTTGGCTGTCCTCAGATTTGGGTGGAGTGGCTGAGCCGAACATATGCGCCTTTGATTCGCCATACATGCACCGGCACTATGCCGCGGCCACCGTTTGCCCTGCTGTGGCTAACCGCTCGGTTGGGACTGCTCTATAGACGATGCGCATGGAATTACACTCGCCGCATCAGTCGATCTGGGGTGCCGAGCATCCCAGGGCGTCTCAGGTTCGTCGGCAGCGGCCGACATCAACCCGCCCCGGACGTCTGTCTCCACTCACGCAGCAGTGGATGGTTTGCTGTTGCTTCGCGAGCCGAGAGTCGTGCCCTACGGGCACAGCGGTGACCTTGAGAATCTCCGCCACGAATGCGGGTAACGCTTCGAAGCGTTTGTACTTGTTCGGAGAACTCGCTTGTTGTGTCGCCACCATGCGTCCTGGACTTGTATGGACGACGGGGACCTCCCGCTTCTTCATCTCAATGAAGAAGCGAGCTGTAGCCTCTCTGGGAGTGTCCGCCTCCTTCGGATGTCAGGGAGCGCGGCCCTGCGCCCAAGCCTGTGTTGATGTTCTGAAGATGGCTTCTATGTTTGTGAATGTGATTCGTGCGAACCATGGTGTCCTCTCCACTCGCACTGCTCGGGTGCAGACCGAATATGGTGTTCCACTATACGAATCGCTTGCAGCCGTCCCTTCCCAGTATACTGATCATTGTTACAGGTCTCAACCCTCTGCGTCATCCTCAACAGCAACTACACGGTCGAAAGAATTGACCCGACGAGTGCGCCGGACCGCAAACCCTCGCGCGCTTGATTACTCGCAACTTCCGACCGAACTTTGGCTGATCATCCTCCGGGAAGCGACTCTCATGTCCCCGGATCCTCTGGATACCTCTGTCGACCTCTCTTTTCTCGAGGCACACCCGCCTGACGTGGACGTATACGCGGCGTCAATGCGGACGAAACAGGCACTGTCACTCGTATCTAAATCATGGAACTCTCTCATCAAGATGTATCTCTATGAATTTGTTTGGATCTCCCGCGCGGCGCAAGCGAAGGCGCTCGCGCACTTCTTGCTTCTTGAGTTCGTCGCAGCGCGACCATCAAGCGGTGCCCATATTCGGCGGCTACATATCGAGACGCCGGTTTTGGAACGATGCGCCATCGTTGATCTACACACAATCCTCGAATACGCCCCGCAGTTGTCCGTGTACACAGACCACCAAAGTCTGCAACGCAACCGCTTCGATGCCCCGCCCGATCCGCGCTGCGAGCCGGAGAAGTTACTGAGCCTACTCGCACACCCGCGTTCTGAGCTGCGCCGCTTAAGCTGGACCAGCTACGAAGATGCACCGTTTCACCAACGCATGAGTCCCTTGATGGACATGCGCACACGCACCCTGGAATACCTGGAGCTCAGCAGCTGCTCGCCCAACTTTCGTGCGCTCGTTGCGGATGCGGACGGTGCCGCGGCAATGAAGGTTCGGCTGCCGGCGCTCAAGAGCCTCAAAGTCACGTTGGACAATGACATGTTCGGGGCGCTTGCTGGCTGGGAGCTACCATCGCTGCGGAACCTTTCCGTCCTCAGCGCGGACTTCAGCTACACCGGCAAGGGCTTCTACCGGTTCTTCACCGCGCATGGCGCCGGACTGCGTCAACTCGAGCTGGGCCACTCCAGCAGCCTCGTAGAGGAGCACTACGTCACAAACCGACCAGGCGAAGATAACGCCAGCCGCCTTTGTCTGGCGCGCCTCTGTCCTAATTTGCGCGAGCTTATCTGTAGCGCCGACGCCGAGTGGCACTGGGAAAGCCCGGACTGGATCGCGCCTCACGTGCTCTTACCTTGCCACCCGCGCCTTGAGCTAATCGCCGTGCGCGACATGGATGCGCGCATCACCGACGCCCTTGCGCACCAGGCGAACGGCAACGGATTCTTTCCTTTGCTAGAGCAGATGAGCAGCCTGCTTCAACCCACGGCCTTCCCACAACTAAAGTACATCCGCGACCTCAGCGTCGCAAGCGCACTGCGACGCGAGGAAGAGGGTGCCCCTGCGCCGATGCTAACGTTCTGGCGCAAGGTCCTAGACATGTGCGCGGATCGTGGCGTCTGGCTTGAGGACTACCGTGGCGTCAATATCACTGCTCGCGAGCTCAAGCGACTCGAGATGCGCGCAATATCGGGCGGCCGCCATTGGTAAACGTACCGTCCATACAATGCAGAGGGTTTATTGGACTTTCCGTCATATATTGCTTTCGTCTTTGCTATCGGTTCCTGTCGATGGGTTGCTGGTCGTCACCTACTTTATCGTGTTTCTCTGTCTCGCTCTGTGGTCTCATCACCTCCTCTCATCCTGTTCACGTGCATAGCTCACTCGTCGTCCACCATCCCCGCGTCCCCATTCTCCCTCTATCCTTATTGTCGCTCACCTCACATTCATTCTCCCCCGCACGCGTTCAAATTCCCATATATCATATCGATGTCTCATCTCCTCCCCTCATCAGCTCAACTCACCATACCAGTGGACTCTCTTACTTGCACGCTAACCACGCCACATTGTTCCTCATATCATGCCCTATGCCCTCCTTGGGCTCGACCCCTCTAGCTAAGGGCTTCTTGCGATTCTTGATCTTGACTTCCCCGCACTACAACCTGTACAAACATCCCCAGACGTCCGCCTCTCCCTGATCATCCATCATCGCGATAGCAGTACGCCCTCCGAATACCCCATGAGCTTGCGCTCCCGCAGGACTTGTTGACGCTAATACAGCAAGGATCGTTCTTTGAACCATGCCGAGATCAGGAATGACGCACTGCTCGCAATACTGTGACGCTCTCGGCGGCCTGTGTCAGTACACACTTGGATGGGAGCTTCGGAAACTGTACACGGCGAATGCATACCGAGTTCACACTTTGATCGTGAGTCTTTTCCTCGAAAAGATCATATATATCAGTGTAGGCCGCCGACTGTGATGCTCAATGATGACAGCGACACCGTCATGAGACGACTCTCACTAAAGATATGGCAGGCATAGCATATGGCACTGATGAATAGGAGGATCAGCTAGTCGGATGTCAAGTAGACGTTGCGGCTAGGGAGCAAATGTCTGTTCCATCCTTGCCCAATCCGTTTCTATTTGTAGTGCATCACGGCCCGAAGGACACGACTATAGACCATTGGCGCTGGCTTCCTGAAGGATGTCGAGATCTCGCAATGAGGCGCTGTTCTTCGACTTACATGTAGTGATATACGAGCTTTTTAGCGCTGCGGTCACTCGCAACGGCTACTATTGAATCATGCGCGATAGTCCACGTTGATACCCATTGGGATTCATAAGCTTCTGGCCCGGACGTCAATGCATTAGGCGCCTTCTCATCGTGTACAATTGGACACCTCACGTCCAGAAACTTGAACTCCCGACAGCGATATAACAAGATATGCGCGATGCCACTGAGTGGGTAAATATATGGCATCGATATGCGTACGAGGAATATAGTGACATCAGTACGAGAATAGCAGTACGCTGAGACAAACAGCGAGCATCGTTAAAATCGGATCCACGACTACTCTTGGGGAAGCGAAGTTGTCCACGTGCGTAGAGCCGCTGGGAACGGCTTGCGGCACTCCAAGAGAGTTGGTGGGTCCAAGTACATAGCCGGTGGGGGCAGGCTCAGCCGTCGCTGCGCTGTTCTTCAGATGTCGGTTGGACGGTTGAGGAGGTGAAACTCACAAGCGAGGAGTTCGCCCGCAGTCACGGCATTTTCGACAACGTGAGCCAGGCGGTCTCCGGCATCGGGCGGCACAGTGGACAAAAAGCCAATGCGCGGAAGATCTTGGGAAGGATATGTCAAGTTGCCGTAGTAGTAAGCGGTCAGCACCCTGGGTCTAGGTGAGTCTGCGTGCTCAAGTAGCGTAATGCGAAAGTGACAGACCCTTTCAGGAATGGATCGCCAAGGCTCCAACTATAGAGAAATCCACCACCAGGAGGATCGGCAGGAGCAAGAGCAGGCGTGCAAGTAGCAGCCGAATCGTCGAAGGATTGGGAGCCGAAGTCGCGTGGATCCATAGGGAAGAGCTGTCCAGCAATGCTGAAAGCGAGCGTGTGAACAGTTCCACATGGATAGTCTTCTCCGCCGATCCGCGAGTAGATGAGCGCCAGCACATCCGCGGGCCCGCGTACGAGGGAGGATCCCTTGGGAAAGTCAAGAGCACCGTTAAACATGCAATGCTACGCAGACGTACTGTGTCAATGAGCGCCGTGAGGGCGATGGTGGCCGAAGATAGGTTCGAACGGGGAAGCCGTTGCCCATCCAGATAGACGTCGTCCACGGGGACTTCCCAAGCCAAAGGATACTTTTCGTCAGGAGAAGTCATAGGTGCCCCCAGTCCACCTTCTTCACTGGCGTAGGTGCGAACATTGGCCCACTTCAATGCCTGAGCGTCGACTCCGGCAGGAAGGCCGCCAAGTGTGAGAGCTCCGGCATTTCCACCGATGTCAACGACTTCTCTCTGTAGAGCAATACAAAACATGGGTGCAGCTAGTGCGCCACCAAGTGCCAGACGAGCTGTTGGGGGACCATATGAAGCGAAGCTATCGAGGACATCCTCCACAGTCGGTATAGCCCGTCGCAATGGAACCTTGGTTCCCGAAACAGGAGCCAACTGGGACGTAGAGATGAACGACAGGTCAGGAAAAGTCTTCGTAGTCAGATCCAGATCCTTAGATCGTCGACGAGCACGAGGATACTGGGCGCTGAGAAGTTCGTTCCATATGACGCTGTTGAGCGGGAATCCAAGCCCGAATATGCCTGCAGCACCCGTACGCTCTACGCTCGTATTTGTTTTGCCGACAGAAGCAAAGTACTGGTTGGGACTAGGAAGACCGGCTAACGAGAAGACATCGCGACCGATGGGTCCATATGCCGCTGTGCCTGTTCGCGAATCGCCATAGAGAAAAGCCGCGTCAAGACCAGCCGAGTTGAACGATACGTCGGCGTAGACCGGGACGGATTCTGTTGGAGATTGCTGCGACAATACCCAAAGATCGGCAGAACCTGTATCTGTCGAGTGAACAATAAAGATGTATCAATAATTTTTCTCAAGATCTGTAGGCGCCGCATACCTAGTACCAGAGGCAACGTGGTATCTCCAACATCAACGAGCACAGTATATGTCCTTGGATCATCGTCAGCACGTCAGCGCGGGGCTTTTCAATGAACGGCGTACGCGTCGAAGTAATCGCCTAACCCAACGGAGCTGGATGCTCCCCGACTTCTGAGCTTGGTTGACCGCAAGACTTCCCGCCGAAGCAGTGACACTTCCATAGGAAGCACCAGTATCACGGGCTGGGAATGGAGCGGAATAAATGGTTAGTGCCCTCGCAGCCTCCAAGGCTGCTGCAACTCAAGGGCGACGTTTGTAGACTGGTGTAGTGACTGGTGTTCTCGAGTGACGGCACGGGTTAAGCTTTCGTTCTCAGCTCAGAGCATGTACGCCAAGCGTGTACAAGGAAGGGATGCACGCAGGCATATGTTGAAATCATCCTGGACGTGGCAGGCAAACGCAGATGTCGAACTGGTGCTCACAGGCGCGCGCTAAGCGACCGCTAAGCGCCCACTCTACACGATCACGTGCCTTTCGCGAGCTCTCATGCAGTTCGCTCTTTGTAGCCACAATAGTCGTGGACCGTCGGTGTCTGGATCTACGGCAGCGAGCATTAGCAACAATGTCCGATTGACCTCATGGGCCCATGTCATGCACGCGTCTTCAGGGCGGGACCCGCCGCGCGATGGAGCTTCTGATTGTCCATTGATTTGCGCCTAGCAAGACCGGCCAACATGATTAAACGTGCATAGACCGGGCTTCACGCCCCAAATTGACCCGGACGTAAAAAAGTGTGAGTTGACCGCCGGCTCGGGGTCTTTTGGCCGCAGGTAGCGCGCAATCTAGCCATCGAGGATCTCGTCAATGAGCGAGCGCTCGGCAAGGCTGCTGATAGAGTGCGAACCTAGATTGACCATCACCGACGCAGACATGCAGTATGAATATATTAATTGAGACCAGACAAGCATTCAGTTCAGGACTGACACCCTTTCCACTCGTAGGCGAACGGGTCACCAGTTCATCCCGTCCGCCATTACCACGACACCATCGGTAGCCACGCCGGAGACATCGTGTAACCGGAGCGATTTACACTAGGTCAAACGTGTGAGCGACGTGTCTGAGTAGAGCGAGTACGTTGTACATGAATGCGGCGGAATGATCATCCATATCACGGGTTACAGTACCACATTCATGTCAAGACGCCACAATCTGAGATGACGATACTAGCTTCAGGGCGGCGAAGAATGTCTGTCGGAGAAGCATGCCTCTCGATGTCCTTCACAACCTCAAATCCAGACACCACCTCTCCAAATACGACGTTCTTCCCGTCACAATGGGGACCAGGTGCAACAGTGATGAAGAACTAGACGCACATGGTCAGAGTGAGGCGCCCAGTATACAATGTGTACAGCGCACCTGCGAGGTGTTTGTATGCGGCCCGCGATTTCCCATAGACAAGAGTCCTGGGCGATCATGCCTCCGTATGAACGACTCATCTAATGGGCTCTGAATCAGTACACTAGTCATACGGCGCATGCAAAGAATGAGGGACGGTTAACGACTCCTGCGTAGACGTACCACGAAAAGGACGACCATAGATCGACCGGCCACCTGAACCATCCATAACCGTTATGTCTCCTCCTTGTATCAGAAACTAGAGGGCGAAGCCAGCGAGGGTGACGTGATGATGAAGCGTGACGCAGGCGGAGTTGAGCCCTGTTAGCTCGATGGTACTGCGAGTTCGATGTAGAACGCACCCCAGGGATGATACGGTGTATCGCCGAGCCAGAGTAGCCAAAGCCGTGCTGTCCCGTCGCAAGCTCGCGAAAGTTGCGAGCAGTCATCGGTGCAACATCGTCGTACAGCCGAAAGACAACGCGCCCCACGGGCCTGTCATCGATAGTGAAGTCGAACTGGAAGGCAGACGGCTCATCAGATGTTCGCTCGCAAGTACAGCTCAGGGCGCACAAAAACGTTGGGTAGACTATAGATACGGAGCACTAACGATCAGCCATTGCTCTTGGGCAAGCGTCTAGCTGTATAAGGACAAGACGCACGATGGGGTCGACATGGGAGTTCGGACGCGACAGTGACGATCGACTCGGAAGATGATCACGATGCGGGCGTACACAGACTATCGGGAAGTAAAAGAGGGGACAAAAGGTTAGATCCACATGTGCTGGGGTCGTTCTGGTTTTATAGCTACATCTCTGCATGGAGTTGGGAGGCAAATCGTGTGCCCTGCCTCCCGGTCGGCAATCCTCACGGCAACTGCCGCCTTCGATCACTCGCGGCTATCCACGAGTCTTGAGTCCGGCGGTGACTGCCGTATCATCCCGCGCCGTCTTTTCTTCGCTGACTTCGCCGGGGGACACGCAAAACGAAACAGAACATAGAAGCCAGGGCGGGACGACGCCGACGCGTGGAGATCTATCGGCACCGACGCGGCCGTGCGTTCAGTGCGTCAGTGAACGCTCTTTGCTCATTCGAGAAGTCACAATGGCTATACAGCTCCTTGCGTTTGTGGCAAGGTCATGACCAAATGGGCAGCTCTAGAGTGCGCCGACCATTCCGGACATGATCCATGCTGGTCGCGTGCCGTGGATGCAGGTCCCAGTGTGAGTGCTTCCCATCCATTCGACGCTTGGCAGTTGGTCGCCAGTAGAACTTTGTAGCCTGGCCTCGCGAAACCCGCAATGCCGTATCCTCATTACATGTTTTAGAGGAGGCACCGGAACCCTTGCTTATTTGTACGTCCCTCCTCGATCGATAGCGGAGTTTGAGTATATTCGGAACATTGCACGCGACGTAGATGATGACGCTCTACACACGAGGAACATCAGCCCGAGAACTCACACGCACTCAAGACTGGTACTGCCATAGTGGTACTTAGAACGGCATACTCTAACGCGTCGTCACTCATCCTGAAGCATGAATACAGCTGCAAGGGGTCGGAAAGTGGCTATCGTACATGTAGTAAAACAACATTTGTTGCATAACTATGTTGGGGAAGACATGTGTCGACAGCGTCTCTGATGACGTCCCGAGGGCTATGTCCGAAGAGTTCATTATCTGCCGAGAAGGTCGCCAAAGCCTAATACACGGGGCACACCAAGGAAATCTCGATGCGAGAAGATGTCATGAGAGAAATACTCCCCTGAATCGAAGAAAGCGATTAGCCAAGCCTTACCTACGGGCGAGTCCCGCGAGTTGATATCTCATCACGGTCAATAGGGATGCTTCAATGCTAAGTATCTCCATCAAGGTGGACGGTCTTAATGGCAAGGATCACGTCCGCGGCCAGAGCCGTCAGTGATTGGCCTTTCAGTCGTACCGTGCGCTCTGCGCCACAGGTGAATCTTAAGCATCGTGTGAGAAATAAGATGTACGTCGCTCACAGTTCGGTACAAATGCGCACGTCAGGTCAGCCCAAACAGTATGAGCCTCTCTTGGCTCGGATCGAGTGGTCCGGAGCCTAAGAAACAGAGGGAGGAGATTGAAGCCGGGCCCCGTGCGCGCTGTGCCATAAGCAGATGGTTAGTCCTTGACTAGAGAGCGCAATAGGTAACGATGTTGCTATGTCACTTTTTCGCACCGTCGTCCGAGCCTTCACCTCGGTACATAGAAAGCGCGATAATCGGCGGCCGTTCGACCAAAGAGATTATAGTTGCCGCTGCAACTTGCATCACGACTATAACCCAAAGATGGCAGATGGTATGCGCGAGGAGAAAAGGGGTGGCTTATCAATAGTTAGGTGCTACCGAAAACTAACCAGAGTTGTGCACCGATTCGCAGGCGACCGCTAGATTCCACCGGTTTTCAGCCGCGAGGCGCTGCCTGTCACAGGCGGGGAGAACTCGTAGATGACTCGGAATCACGCAAGGCATTGAAGTTCGACCCTATGAGTAGGCATTCAGGTTGCCGCAGAGAATATGACTTTGCGTATCATCGGATAATAGATGGACGTCGAAAAGAAAGCCGCTTAGACACGCGGCGCCCGGGGAGCAATGATACCATCTTCTCACGGCATGGCACGCGGTCTGGGAACAATGACGTGTCCGCTTGACGCGGTCCTGAAGGCTTGCAGGAGGTTTATTCTAGACCACAACAAGTGGCAACACTATCCGTATTTTCGCTTCACACTCCCCATCTATGGCAGGCAATGGCATTCTGGACGAGATCTACAAGATCCCTCCGGTGACGCGCTTTCTATGTGGCTCATCACTTGCGGTGTCTCTACCGGCGATGCTTAAAGTTGTGCATCCATATGTACTCGTTTTTGTCAAGGACCTTGTCGTGAAGAAATTCCAGGTTTGCTCTTCCCCGAGTCTTCGATACGCCCTTGACTCATGTTATTGGAGATTTGGAGAATATGGACCAGTTTCTTCCTCGGAGGTGAGGATAACCTTATTGCCACTTATGCCTACTTTAGTATCTGACGACCAGTACGTCAGGCGGCGGCATCAATTATATATTCGAGCTTGTGATGCTTTAGTGCGTGATACAGTAGCTGCCATGACAGCTGAAGAAGCTTATCCCCTCAGTCGCAACGCCAACATGCTTGAATCAGAGTACTTCCCAGGCCGGTCCGACGACCTCGCTTGGCAACTGCTCGTTGCATCTGCTGCTATCATCGTATGCAGATTCATTGCGATTCTTGGTTATCTATCTCACTCTGATTTTCGAATAGGGATTAAATCTCCCACTGGGCTCTTTTGTGCATAATCGTCCTCTAACACTCTGCCTCACCTACCTGTCCTCCGCTCTCGCGCCGCCGGGGGCGCAGACGTCACTCTTTGGTTTGATCACCCTACCTGTCGCGTACTTCCCTTATGCTCTGATCGGTGTGTACCGCATTGCTCTTGTTACTTGATGCCGCTCATACTTTGACAGCGTTGGATCTCTTGATGGGTGGCCCTGCCGCAGCGGCGCAGAGCGTAACAGGTGCCGTTGTCGGTCACCTGTGGTATATGGGAGTCTATGGGGATGACGGTAGGGGGATCCCTGCCATTCGAGCGTATGCACAGGCTCCCGGGTTCATTCGCGCGCTCGTCGGTACCGGACCACGACAAATGGGAACCAGTGGCGTTCATGTACAGGCCCCGCGACAGCGGGCGGGTGGTTCTACCACAGCCGGTCGTTCAACAGGGTACAACTGGGGCTCGAGCGGACATAGACTTGGCTCGGATTGAATGCTCCCCCTACTGTATCATCTGACCTGCAGACATTTGTACAACAACTCACTATGTGAACCGTACCCCAGCAAGTTCCTGAATGCGACCGGAAGATATACGGGCAAATACTCCCGAAAAATCTACACCTCATCAGGGCAATGTCCTGCGTGTCATGAGTTCCTTGTGTACAGTGTTATTCGAAGCTGTTTTGGACGGTCTACATTATGTATTACATTTTCCCTCGGTCCATGGCCTCGTTTACATAATGTCCGAGCGGCACAATGGGCAGCTGGACGAGTGACTGGACTCAAACCACTGGGTGTGTCGTCAGGATGAGGGATAACAATGCAGCATGATGAAGCTCGCACCTTGTACAAGCAAGACGAATGGAACCGGTTCTTGCACGTCCTGCACGGCTTCTTCGGAAGGCTACCCTCCGACATACTGATGATTGAGTAGCAGATTGCACACTCAACCTGGCCCTCGAAGTGCAACGTCACGTTCTTCTTGAATAGGACGACCGCGTCGAGCAAATGCCCGTTTTGACTCCATACAATCTGCTGCACGCCAAGCATCCATCCACGCCACTTGGCATCCGGTACGCCAATGCGTTTGACTGTGTCCCGAACTTCGATGCGCGTCAGCGGCCAGTCGGCCGGGAGGCGGAGTACGAGCTCAAGCGGCTGCTCATCCACCGTGTACACCGCGATCACTTCCCGCACTGCGGGCGCAACCTTCACGCTCAAATTCTCCGCCACAAGTTCAGCCGCCGCCTGCGGGCTCTTCAACAGTGCGAGCTCGGCAGCGATGATGACAGGCGAGAAGTACGTCGCCGTATAGTTTGTGATGATCGCTTGCGCCCCGATGTCAGCGCCTCCAGTTACGCATTCTCGAATGAGGCTCGGGATGGCGAGTAGAGAGCGGTAGTACACGTGGGCTGCGAGAAGGCGCATGCTGAGTGCATCGGCCGTGTCCGCATCTTCAACGATGAATTCCTCGACAGCCCATAAGCCGAGTTTAAACGGTCGTGCGCCAGATCCGCCGAGACTGAGTAGAGAGTACAGGAGCGGTATGAGCTGCGTTCGGACCATCTCATGTCGAAGCAGGTGCGCGACATAACCCGATTTGACTTTCTGGCTCGCGTCCGTGAACATGTCGAAGAGCACCATCCATCCAAGCAGATGGCTGAACACGGATGCATCCTCAAGATCAGGTACATCCAGTATAGCGAGAAGTTGATCCGGGACTTCGCAGGCCACATTCGCTTCAAGGTCGACGCCGGCCTCGACGACGAGGTGCTCCGTAAGTGCGTGCGCAGCCCGACGCAGGAGAGGGTATGACTGTGCCTGCACGGCGGGTGACGGGTCCGCCAGTAGATGGGACATTTTGGCCAGCGCAGTCGGCCCCAAAGCACTCGCCGATAAGTCCGAAATGAGCGAGAGGGCCGTTTGCCGACTCAGGGCGCGCGGTTCTGAGCGAGAACCAGCTATATGAATGGTTGGCAGGAGATTCATGAAAGGTAAGGATGATGCGTACTATGGGTCTCCGAGACGATAAGATCCTTGATCAAGCCGAGCATCGCGCCCTTCCTCGCGTTCCACAGCTCTCGAAGTGCCTTGTTCGTCGTCGCATACTCCTGTACGGTCTCGATCAAGTTGAGAGTGTACTTAAGAGGCACCAGGGTTTCCTCGTCGCTGAACGATGCATTCTGCAGATTATCCTCTGCAACATCGAAGAAGAGCTCCCAGTGACTGCCCGAGACACCTTGTAGGATCGGCACCAGGTGCACGAACACCGCGGTGAGCGCAGTCTGAACATCGTCATCCAGGTCCTCGTCGCTAGCTAGCCACGTTTGTGCGGCTCGTGCAAAGTTGACCGCGCGAGCTTGAGGGAGGAAAGCGACCTCGCTATCCGGCGCAGGCGCACTTGCAGCCAAGCGTCGCAGAAGGAGTACGCCGTCCATGTTGGCTTTCGACGCAGGCACGCCGAGCATACCTGCCGCCAGTTCGTTCCGATACCGGTCAAGGCGAGGCGGCTCTATACCTGTGCGCGCAATAGCATGTACGATCGCCAACGCGGTGTTCGGCGAGGACTTCTCGAGCTTGCGTGCGAGACCGATCCAGAGATCTGCGTCGGCGGAAGTTATGTCCGATGAGATGTATGCGAGTACGTCGAGTAGCACACGGGCATAACGATATCCGTCTCTCTCCTTCGCGGCTCCTAACACCTGTTTCACGAATGCACCGACAGTATCGCGTGCCGTATCGCCGACTACGGACGCGTGCCAGCCGTCTTCGGAGGGTACTGTAAGCAAGTACGAACACAGCTGCTGGGCGCGAATCATCAGGTCCAGTAGCGTGCTCTCTTCCATATTGGGTCCGAACGCCGGATTTGGAGCGTCGGGAAGGAGGGTAGCTTCTTCAGCGAGGACGCCTAGCAGGATTAGATGTCGAAGGACCCATAACTGGGATCGAGCCGTGCTGCGGTCGGACATGGTGGCGATACCCCAAGCGCTCACCGCGCGCGCATATGGCCCGAGCCCGGCGGCATCTGTACAAGGGACTGGCCCTTCAAACGGTTCGACAATGCCAGGAGGAGGGATGAGCGGGAGCAGAACGCCTAAAGATGCTTGAATGGGGTCCAAAGACAGCGAGGCTGAAAGGGAATCGAGGTACTCCTGCGGTGGGAGAACATCAATCGCCTCGATCCGAGCGCTGTTCAACGATGCCAGAATATCAGAGGGAGTGGGCCGCGCGCCGACATTGCTGATGAGGTCCCGCAACCTTGTTTTGACAGCTTCGACGCTTTGCTCGTTCCCAGTCGCCGCCCATAAACCTTGTAGCTTCTTTGCGACGTTCACGGAGCGCGCAACATTAGGGTCATCCACATCAAAGCAGGCTCCCGTCAGATGTGCGACTACGAAGATAGCCGCGGCAAGCTCGGCATGTCGTGAAGCCTCTTCTGCTGGCGTAGCTGCTAAGACGTCGAGCAGTACTACGAGCCTGCTGAACGAGTCACCCTCGCTGTGGGAATCGAAGAGTAGACCGGATTGCTCGCCCACGCCTGCAACAACCAACTGCAACAACGTCTCGAGTGATCCCACACTCAGGAAAAACTGCGCGCTTCGTACAACACGCAGAAGCAGTGAACTCGCTCGCTCGTCCTTCCCCTCGACCGCATCCTCAAACAACCCAGAGATGGCACTGTCCAGTGCGTGGTCGCCCTCCTTGGGCTTCATCTCCTCGCTGATCCGACCCGCCTCGGCAGCTTCAGTAAGCGCCGGCAATGCGGTATATATCAGGGCTGGTCGCGCGGCAATAGTTGCAAGTAGATCGTGCCATAATGCGGGAGTCGGCCGGCGCGTCAAGTAAGATGTAACCAGCGATGGCGCGGAGCCTGCGAGGGCGGGAAGGCTGGACTCTACCACAGCGTGCAGCTCATCCACAAGGCCTGCGTCGGCGCTGATGGCGAGCAATGAAGAGAGTGCAGACACCCCTGCTCGAACATTCGCTGGGTCCTCGGAGGCGAGTGCTTCGCGTGCGCGTGATAGGGCGGCGGATGCGACAGAATGAAGTAGCCCGTCCGCGGCTCGGCGGGCATGTGTGTCCGAAGCGAATGTCGCACGCGACGCTCCCAGAAGCGCGAGCGCCTTCGCCACACCGTTCGGCTCCGTTTGTGCCGTCAAGCGAGGCGCAATCACATCCCATGCGACATTGAATAGGCTCTCGTCAGCCAGAGCGAGTGAAGCTAGGCCCCTCGCGAAGATATCTCCGGCTGCATCATCTTGAAGTTTGAGCCGCCCCTCGATGAGCGCGTCCCACGCTGAACCGTACTGGTCCTGCAGTAGCGTTGTGGACGCGGTGTCGGTTCCGGCATTGCGCAAACGACGGGTCACAAACGCCGCGCATTCGAGTAAAGCGGAGAGAAACGCCGCATTAGCTGCTGCACGGTCTAGCATTCCGAGGGCGCGGCCCGCAAGGGCACCCCAGAAAGACGCGAAAAGAGCATGGGCGGGATAAGGTGCTACTGGGTCCGGGGCAGCGAGGATCTATGTACGAAGTCAATGACAAGGAAATTGGGCAGAGACTACCATACGTACCGAAGTAGGGATAGTTGTAAGTATGATTAGTATCGTCGGATACCCCTGCACCGGAGCGCCTGCACAACCAAGTTCGAGAAACTGCAGGAAGTCGGAGAAAGCTTTCGGCGCTGTGGTTGCTGAGGGTGAGCCATGCGTTATTGGGCGAGGCTCTTCGCTATTCTCGTCCTCCTCATCACTTTGCTCCTCTTCGTGATCACTTTCATGGTCACGGTCATGCTCATGCCTGTCCACCGCTTCTAACTCCCAGGCGGCAGGGAACTCTATGAGATTCATCATGGGTCAACTGGGAATATGCGAGATGCGGAACATCGTATGTACCTTTCAGAAATGTCAACCATGGACGCCACATGGCGGAGCGCACCTGCACGTCAGGCTCAACGAAGGCTGAGCGCAAGACTGCGACGCTCAGTAGAGGAAGCAGGGTCTTCATCTGCTCTTTCCAGTTCTGAAGCAACGCCTGCAGTAGATGCCACGTTGCTGCCCTTACGAGTGGTTGACCAGCGCCAACGCCCTCAGTATCACTCGCATATGGCGCAGGACTTGTATGATACAGCCCCGTCCACAAGGTTGGGTTAGACAAGATCTCGGAAATGTCGTCAAACCTTCTCTCCTGTTCCGTTTTCGCACGCGCATCTGCACTTCGCTACTCAGAAAAAAAGAGGCATTGTTATTGGTAAACAAAATACCTAAGAACCACTGAAGCGTCCCAATAGCGGCCACGCGCAAACGAGCCTTCCTATCGTCTTCACTTTCCTCATCCGTGGCGAGCCGCGCCTCTGAATCACTCTTCTTCGGTGGAGGGGGTGGCGCGGGTACAGGCCGTCCGCGCACGGTGCGCACAGGCGTGGTATCGACCGGTACTATGACAGGGTTGATGTATGCATAGAGGCCCAGCGGATCGAAAATAGCTCTCTGAATGAACGAGAGCGCTGCGTCGTCGAAGATGAGTTTGGCTTCGCTCGATGCGACGCCGACGTGTGAAGTAAATGACCGCTTTGCTGCCATCGCCACATGCTTGTCCTGGTCGTGTGCGGCGAGAGCCCATGAGCCAAGAACGGCTTCGGATTGATCTGCACTGGCGACCTCCTTCAGATGGAAGTATATCTGCTCCTGCACTTCTGGTAGACGAAGCAAGCGTGCGTGGATGTCGGCTGCGAGCAAGCTCACTCGTCGACTGGGAAGTAGTAGCAGTGATGGGAGGTGATGAAGCCAGACTGGTACAGCAAGTGCCATTTCCGATGCGTGTGTATAGTCCAGCCAACCAGCCTGTAGATCGTCCAGCGCCTTCGTCTTGGTCAAGACATCCTTCTTCCCTAATCGGCGCAACACGACGACCAATTCGGGCGACAGCTGTGCCGCCAGTCCAAGAGCATCGAGCGGGTCTGGCCGAGCTGCCGTGGGCTTGACTGGCGGCACATATGCCTTCTTGACAGGTTCTATCGCCTTGCCCTTGCCCTTCTTTCCCTTCTCGCCACGCTGTTTCTGTTGTTTCTGTGGCGCGATCGCGACACCAGTCGCCTTGGCAGCCTTTGTAGCGTGTTTCTTGCGAGTACCGGAGGATGCAGAGGACTTTCCGCCGCCCTTGGCCATGGCGAGAGAGATGGAGGTGAGAGCCAAGTTTGTGTTGTCGGCGCGAGATTGTGCGACGCCCGAAATCTCGTTCATCGGTACCGATGAGGTCATCACGTTCTCTCACGGAAACCGGCCCGATTTTGAACGCTCTCATCCCGCACGTGCCGCGCGGCAATCGCTGCTTGTATCACGACGACGACAGCACAGACAAGGCTGCGGCTCGATACTGACTGAAGGAATACGGTTCTGAATTCTGTCGCCTATTTATTTGACGATCCACCTCATGTCTGCTCTGCCCGGCCCGCCAATATGAGATGGAAGTCCAATTTAAAGACAATACTATATCGTCGTCTCAGCGCCACTCGCGAGTCGCTTGACTCTATCGCGGTCTCGTCTACTATGAGCATATGCCGAACATATGCGTGGAGTTCATCGTTTGCGATCTGAAAGAGCTCGAATGATTGCTGTTCCACCAACGTTCGCTCAAGTTTATTCATCGCATAAAGTGTACGAGAAGCACGGAGATGTCAGAGAGTGTCGAAGTCAAGAAGCGCAAACGCGAAACTATCTAAATCGAAATTTTCAGCTGGCCGGCGCGTACTTAGTAGCTTCAACATTGATGGCCTGCACGTACTCGAAGACGATGCGTCCAATCTCGGCTCGCGCGCGACGCTGGGACGCGATTAGTCTATCATGGATCCTTGTTCGGCTCTGATTGTCATATACATAGATGCATCGTGTACTTATATCGCGGTGGACTACGTTGCATGCAGCAGTCACTATCCACTCCTGCAATAGTACTCGAAGGACTCATGTCGCAGAGCCCCGATCTCCATCCGTCCTCTGAGTCCCCCGTCCTGTCAACCGTCCGGGCTTGGTACGACGCCACGGCGAAGTGGGATCTCAATGCTCTGGCCGACCTCTTCCACGATACCTATTACCATCAGACGATACCAGCCATCGCCGACGACGGAATCAAGAACAAGAAGCAGGCTTTGGATTATGCTGATTCCGTTTCTGAAGCTCTTGGGAAGCTCCCGATGAAGGTGATATTTCATGTACGCTTCCCTAGCTGGAGCTGCGCGAGCTCACATAGTGATTATAGTACGAGCTATTCGATATCATCGAGAGCCAAAACCGTATCTGGGTGCACGTGCGTATGTAGGACTCTCCTCATAGCCGTACTAATGATCTATAGTCCCGCTTGTACGCCGAGAAAGACGGCAAGATCTTGTTCAACAACGAATCCATCTTTCTCTTCACCCTCACTGAAGACGACAAGCCGAAGATCAAGGCCATACGCGAGTTCGTCGATACGAAAACGCTGAGCGATTGGAAGAGCCAGTCGCTGTAGGTGTGCCAGGAACATGAAAGGAGCGAGTCTTGTGAAGCCTCATGGTGTCTGCGAAGATATCTGAGCAGAATGTATGCATCGATGTAGTGTCAGGTGCCATCTACTGCAGTGATGTTCGAGTTCTACTCCGCCCGGTTAAGCGCAAGTCGCCTGAGGCCGAACAGTATGTTCGGGATCACGTACAAGCCCCAGCCTTCCCCGCTCTAGATGGACCCGCAATCCAAGCGGGCCCAGCGCCTCTTCCTCAAGTGAGTGAAGACCGCCATGCTCGGAGTGGATGACCCTCCGTGCGTTGATTTTCGCAAGAACGCGCCGAGTTTCCTCTTCCGCTTCCGCTGCGGCATCCTTTCCGCTCGTAGCGGACTTTCCTCGGGAGGTGATGCGCGCCGCAGCCTCCAGCGTCTGCGCGCCTAACACGGGTGCGCGCACGTCGAGCAGTGTATCAACATGGATAGGGCCTGGGCGTAAAGGCTCGGAGTCCGCGCGAGGGGGAAGTGCGGGTCTGGGAGGGTGTTCGTTATCCTCGTCTGCAGCCTTGAACCACTGCAAGACACGGTCAATCGTGCCGCTACGCTTGCGACCGTGCATGCGAGGAGGCGCGGTCGCCAAGCCAGGCTCTGGTGGGTGCATCGCTGATTGGGCGCGTGAAGCCGGATCTGCAACGGACATGGCTGCGATGCGCGCGCGCACGGCGGCATGTTCGTCGGATGAGGTCGGTATAAACAAATCGGTGCAAAAGTCGAGAGCGCGTTGGATTTCCTCTTCGGTAGCGCACGGTCCGAGGTCCGCGCTGCCTTGAATCACTGGCCGATAACGGTCAGTGCCCCATCCATTGCAGAAAATAGCAGGAATGCATACCGGGCCGGAGTGTTCTGAATGCGCGGTCAAAGTTGTTCTCTCCGACATCGTTCAGAACATCAGCGCTCTGTGAACGCATCTGCTTATAGGCACTGAGCACGACAACCAAGAACCTGTGTAACTGAGTCAATCTCGTCGCCATGTCGAGACCATACGGACAGGTCACCTTGTATACGATACGGTGACCCGAGATGTATACCATGAGCTCGCGTCGCTTTCGGCGACCTCACTCCGGATCGCCGACGCAATGGATGCGGCAGCAGAGAGCCCAGATGTCATGGCTAGGTGTATTCCCGACGAGAAGAACGGGTCAATGAATGCTACAGCACCTGTCAGACGCGCGCCTGGCACAGGGAGTCAATTACTTACCACCAGCATCGCCTACGATGCGGTATCCTTCGCCTGCGTATGACGCCGCAGAATAGCTGAAGTCGCTCGCCGTGCGTATGAATGCGTCCTCCCACGCATCCGTACCCGTGCTCGCATCTTCGGTAGCGCGAGCGGCCCGGCTGGGATCACCATGCCTGCTCAATTCCGCCTGCGGCCCGAGAAGTTCCTTAATAGTAGGTGCTAAGTCAAGTGCATGCAGGTACCGCTTCGCGCCAGTCCTCTGGGAAGCGCCATCCCCGACGTCTGCGGCTGAGCCCCTGCGATCACCAGCCAGAGACCCTCCAGGAGAGAAGGGCAGATCAAGTGGGCGACCATCGTAAGACGAACTGGGGCTCGAAGGTGCTGCGTTGAGGGGCGGGGTCGTTTCCAGGCGAAGTTTAGGCATGGTCACAGGGGATGGGATTGGTGGCGGGGTAGATGGAGCAGTACTCGGCGTATTGGTAGCGAATCTTGCGAACAATGGACTGATAGGCGTGGAAGGAGAGAGGAGGGAATAGCCTCGAGCGCGCGTAGTACGCTCAGGTGTCGTCGGTGGACGAGGTGCCACGTGAAGGGAGCTCGGAAGGCTTTCTGTTGGCGAAGAGGGTTTGCGGGAGGTTAGCGCTTGCTGGTCGCGCACGATACCAACGGACGTTAGCCCGCCATGTAGAGGTATGAACCATGCCCAACCAGACTCGTCTATGCTTGATGAGCGATAACATAACACGTATGTGAGGGTGTCTACTGACCAGACAAAGCTTCAAACAACGGTGCGCCTGCGGCGGGAGTATTGGCGCCGTAAGTACCAGCTCCGCGCCAATACGCCCATGTCGCCACGTTCTTAAGCGCCTTATTGTAATTGCGTGACTTGAGATATCGCGTGGAGAGGATGCCCGCGCGACCCGACGCGTCAATAAGGTAGTCGAAAGTAATGATTCGTTCCGTTGAGATATCTGAACCCGGACCAGAATCCATGGCCGTAGTGTACGTAGCCGAGATCGGTCGTCCAGAATCGTTGAAAGATACACCGGTGGCCTTGGTACGCTGGAAGACGAGAACGCCTTCCTCTTGGGCGTGCTTGAGTAATAGGTCGTCGAAATCGGCACGGCAGACATTCCACACGTATCGATCTGCTCCCAAAGCGATGAAATCGGTGTCTGGTGCGTATGTTGAGGAAGTACAAAATCTCTTCAGAGTTTATCACATACAGCCAGTTTGTTTGTGCTGCGTAAACTTCATGGCGGCGCCAGGCTAAACGGGTATTAAGTTATGCAGCTATGGGGCGGTTGCGAACCGCGCATGCGCACCTTGACCGTAAAGCCAGCCGCTTCGACTTTGTGGTCCACGCCAATGAAGCTCAGATGGTGTCGAGCCGAAGGTATCAGGCTTTCGCCGACGTGGTATCTCGGGAATACTGCTGCCTCAAAGAGTACAACGTGGAAACCCTCCCGAGCCAGAGCGGCTGCAGCGTAGGAACCCGCAGGTCCCCCGCCTACTATCAAAATCTGAGCGTGAGATGGAGGTAGAGACATGGGAGGTCAGCGTTATGGGCAACCTTCGGGCCCGTCCAAATTATCATAGGCTTTAAGGAAGTTATGCTCGCGGATTACGCAGCCCTGGAATGCGAGCTGGCAGCTCACGGCACCGTCTTCGGCAGAGCCGGTGGCACGCATCGCGCCCAGGTACAGCGCTATGTGCCTTCGAAGAGAAGCCGTGGACATAACGGATCTTGGAAGACATGTCGCAGCGTCCACTCGGGCCAATGGAAGGCGTCGGTACGTGAACGGATGTCAGTTCAGCGGCTAAGATATTCGCGCCAACTGACTACTCGATGCAACAGCCAACATCAAAGCGCCTGTGCGCTTGCAGTTAGGAGAAGCACGAGGCATGGATCGGACATGAGGCTACGGAAGATCGGCACGACGTGGTGGTGGTCGCAAAAAGAGTGACATGGGACTGTGGGAATGCATCGGAGGCCGCCGGCTGGGACAAGAAGGCTATGCAGCTACCCGCCCCCTGCCGTAGATATGACCGTCTGCGGCATTGTTCACTGAATGGGGATCACCTACGCATCTGAGCTTGCCTTACTTACGAAGTGCTCTCCGCCACTCCTATGTGACTCCCGCGCATCCGCGACGGCGGCCAGCCGCCAGCTACCTTAACAGGATCTTTACCTAAGACTTACAGCTCGGCGCAAGAGCCACGAGGTGAAGATCACTTTGGACGGCTGCGATTGCGTACTGGTTTCCAAAGATGTCGATCTGCCCTCTTTATCGCTCGAGACGAAACTGCCCTGTCACTGCGACTTCTGCAGAAAGAATGCCACGAAGTGGCGAGTATAATATCCCACTTGAAGAATCAGTGACTGGATTATTCCAGGACCATGACAAAGACGAGAGTCGCTAAGCTCGCGAAGGAAGACTCCCGGATGCTACGCTGAAACTCGCTTCTCATTGTCGTACATTGCATTTGCACGTTAGTCTATGGAACTCGTGATATATCATCGTATCATAGATGCACTGCGCCGCCTCTTCCCAATCGCTTCTCAACCTGCATCTCCAGTAGCCTGCAGGGCACGTAAACAAGTGCAGCGACGGTGAAGCCAAGCCAGATCCCAATGTCTCCTGCGCCAGCTGCCGCTATGGGTCCTACATAGTATACTTGGCTCATCGAGGGTACGATGATACCCACAGCGCATAGGAAGGCAAAGATGGCGGCGAAGCCGAGGGGAAGAACGTGCGGGTCCTCCCAGTCCTCTACGGGGTGATAGCTCGACCAGCGGCCGCGCCTGATGATCGTGTGATCTGCCATCACAACACCGGCGAATCCTGCACTCCAGTACCCGATGACCGAGATGATCTGGAGTACGGCATGAGTGAAAATAGGACGAAGTCTGTGAGATGGTGACGCACGTCGACGAAAGTATCATAGAAGGAGTTGGCACCAACGACCGCCACCGGTATCAGGCTAGAGTGCGCAGGTAAGTCATTGGTAGCGGAAGGCTTCCGAAGGAGCACTCACATCGCAGTCGCAACAAAAGCGTACACGTAACGTGGCAGGCGAGCCAGAATGGGGGTGACTGTCATGAAGCTGGTACCGAAGCTGTCTATCGAGACGTGAGTATCGAAGGCGGCAGGATGGAGGCAGATTTGCTCACACATAGTCGGAGCAACAGCGCTGGGTATCGTGAGCGCACATATGACGGCGAGGAACTTGCCCCAACCGCCGGCCTCGAATAGAACAGCACCGACAAGTCCACCGACGTTGCCAAAGTCTGCGCCGAGGCCCGCTTGCCAAGCCGGCACTGCTTGGGCACCTGCAGCGAAGGCCGCTCCGATCATATGTCCGGGCATCTGTGGAGTGAACGTCAGATTGCTGGGAGCCTTGAGCAATGCTTATACACCCACACTTCCACACAAGAAGCCAAGGTAGACATAAAGCATGATCTTCCAGGTTGGTGCAGGAGCATGATACACTCCATAGTCCGGCGACATGGTGCACCAGCTATAAACCGAGATACAGACTAGCGATGCGAATGATAGTACGTTCGCAGCCGTTGCTGTCGGCGGGTCAATGTCCCGGATATGTTTGGCGCCAGCTCCGAGCATGGTCAAGAAGGCCAAGAAGTTGGGAACCCAAGCGTACTGCTCGTACCTATCAAGCGAGGTGAGTTGACGTCTAGGCCACAGAGATATAATCTTACCAGTGAAGGACGCGGTAGCCGGCGAATGTCACAGCAAGCGATATGACGGAGATGATCACAATTCCGAGGGTATCGTTGAGATGAGAGCTCACAGACGCCAGCAGCTGGCCTCCGATGATTGCATTCAGGACGAGGTACCCTTGCAGGGAGAAGATGTTGAAGAGACTGGGTATGATTCCGCCGTAGAATCTGATGCTCGGGTGAGTGCTTCATCTATCGAACACTACGACACTGACGAACCCCCACGAGAAGCGAGCCTGAACCATCGCTCGAGTGCCGAGCTTAGGGCCGAACGCTGCGCTGAAAACAAGGTTAGCATCGCACTGACAGTTGAGATATGCCGTCAGTACATACAAGTAAGCTGGGATCAGGCATGTTCTGGAAAGACGTCTATGTTTAGTGTCTGCATTGTATATTCAACCGGACGCGCGCACATGAGGTCCACCACCAAGATGATAACGAGCGAATCGCGGCGACCGAGGCTGAAGAATGCCGGACCAGAGACACCCGTACTGACACTTCGATATCGAGAGAGACATGTAAGTCGCGTGCATCTAGGTAGAGCGAGCAGATAAAGGGACGCACGTCAAGACGCTCAAATTCGTTGACAGCCAAAGGAAGAAGAATTGGTAGGTCCGACGCTCTGTGCGACTTTCCAGAGGAATAGGCTCGATCCTGTCCTCTCGCGAATCAGCCAAGGCGCTCAAATGCAGAGCGAAAGGTCCACGCACCCGTGCGTCTCTACGCCCCACGTCTTGAGAAAGTTCGTGAAGCGCTCAAAGCGCGATGTCGGCACAGTCGGTAGCGGCGCCTCCCCGCTGGCGACCGACTGCTTCTCGTCCACTATCGGTGCTGACACGGCAGCCTCAACGTCCTGCTTTTCCATGGCAGGGATGGACGTCAAGCCAAAGCGACGGTCAAGTCAATTTTGTCGTGCGCACTGGCCCCGGCCAGAACGAGGGATCGGAGTCAAAAGCTGCTTTGCAGTTGTCGGCATCGGCTTTATACGTATGGTCTATTCCCGTTCGAAGAGCGGCGCGCGCGTGGGATCATGCGTAGTATGCAGATAAGTACATTGTGGTGCGATGAGGCGCTCTGTAAGATGATTTCGTGATGCAAGCTAGACGCGCGAGGTTCGAGAAGGAGATGTCGGCGCGTCGGAAGAGCGTCGCGACGGGATGATGGCGCCCGCGCTCTGATGCCGCTCGCGTCCATACAGGTTCATACAGTACAGCGCGTACGAAGTACTGCTCGGTTACTCACCACCAGAGAATATTATGGTCCTGGACGTCTCGCATGACAGGGAGCATACCAATGAATGCGAGGATGTCGCCGGGGCCAATCTAAGCGAGCGCCTCTCGCGCGCGCTGTTCGAGGCTTCTACTGCGCGCTCTGGCCTCTGCCGTAGCTCCTGTCCCTAATACAGCGTCTTCGATTCTATCACTTGTCGCTCGGATGACACACGTACATGTACAAGTATACATGATGGTACAATGCTTGTCTTACAGGATGAACCACAATATACAACATTCTAATCCATTCGCACGGTTAGTCCAATATACGAACCTGGCTCTCCGGGGTGCAGGGCTGTAAGTATGGCCAAAGCAAAGCGGATAGCCAGAGCACTAGCTCCTCTCATCGCACAACTTCTACAAAATTGGCTGGGAAAATCCCTTCGCGCCCCTCGAGCTTCCCCTTCCACCTACACCGAGTCAGCATCGTTCAACCACCCATCTCAACATCTGAAGTAGCTCACCATGTATTGACCTCGTCGCTCTTCTCCGTGATCGTGATGATCTGCCCCTTGTTGAAGGACAGATCCCCACTCTGCACAGCGTTGAAGTCGAACAGCGCGATCGCCCTAGCAATGCCATCCGCAGGCATGGGCGTAGTGAGCTCTCTCTTCGGCGCGATGAATGGTTTCGGACTGGGCGAGGGAAGGGCGGATGCTCGTCCGCCCGTTGGACTGCGCCGACCTAGTCCAAGGCCGAAAGGATCGTCGTCGTCTATGGTCGGCGCGAATGGATTGCTGTCGTATGAGTCTGTGGGAGGGCGCTGTGTGGGCGGCGCATAGTGGTTGCGACTCCCTACTGAGCCGCCAGGGAACGCAGACTGCGACCGCCCGTGACCGAAACCAGTACCATTCGTGGCCGGTGGTGCAGGGAAAGGGTCCAGATCTGCCGCCCCGAAAGAGGACATGCGCCCCGATCCATTTGAGTAGGAAAGTTGCTTGATAGCTGGCCGCGACTCGGGCACGAAGTCACTGGCAAAGTGTGTCTCGAAGTTCGTAGGCCCATCATCCATGAGCAGATCGCGAGTGGGTGAAGGCTTCTTGGTTTCTACGGATCGTCGTGTAGAGAGAGGCGTAGTCGAGCGGTTCGTGCCTTCATACGGGTCTAATGATGCGTCATCTGCAGTACGGCCCGTAGATGAGTATGCGGCGCCTTCCGACCCGAAGTAACTGCCGTCGTTCTTGCGCGAGCCCCAGCTAAGCGGCGGAAACGAAGGCGACTGCTTCTTGTGCTTCGCGCGTGACATGAACGAGCCGCTGGGAGTCTTCGGACCAGCTGAGCTGATACCGCTGAATGCATAGGCGCTGGGCGAAGTACTTGGCGGGCGACCGATTGCCGCGGGCGAGTCGTCCACCCAATTGCGCATGCCTGGCATGCCCGTACATGCCTTGAGAGTATTGACCAGGTTCTGCGCGAAGTCGGGTACATCAACTAGCCCGGAAAGAAGCTGCTTGACGGTGACGTCGGATCGGTAGGCAAGCGCGTTTGCGTCTTGTCGCTCAACGATCACGCTCCCTTCAAGTGACACACCACCGAAGAGACCCTTGGTCTTCGAGTACGAGTACATGGCTGCTAACTTCCCAGAGGTGTTGAGGGCGCCTGTAGCCTCACCATTGCGTCCGAGGGGGCCCATCGCTAGAGACATGTTCCCTCCTAACGTGAGCGAACCGGCGGCCATGAATGAACGCTGACACAGTGTCAGCGGATCGAGCGATACGTTCAACGTCACGCAGAGAACTTACAACAGCCTAGACAGCGTGAAGGTCAGGTATGCAGGCACATGAGGGAATAGTGGGATCACGAACTGAACGTGAGTTGAGCACGACCAAGAAGTCGGTCACTTCCGCCCCAGCTTGTCCGCCGACGCCCACGCCCGCTGTGCCAATCGCACTCGGGGCGGACCAACCTGGGCAATCCTCAGCCCGGGGTAGGGATCTGGGGAAAGAATCACGCTCACTGCCATCCTCAAGTCGCGCTATAACAACACCACTGCCGGCGCGAGCGGAGAACACGAAGCCGGCCTTGAAGACCGTGAAGATAGCGAAGCCCTTGGCTTGCTCAAGTACATGCCGCGGAATAACCTGTTCAACGGTCAGTTTCGCTGCCGCGCCTTATAGATTCAAGGCACATACTCCGTCGAGTCCATTATTGCCACCGTCTACGAAACTCTTGACTGGCAGAATGATTAGAAACCTGTGCAGATCGAACCACTGTAGTGGCACTACACACAGATCTTAGCGGCTTTGTCGCATTCCTTGGCAAGAGATTGAGGTAGTGGATTGTTGAACTTCATTCGCGTGCAGAACTCTAAAGGAGATGGTGGTGGTTGGATGCAAGATACAAGTTTGAATATCGAGCGGCGCAGCTCCTTGAGGGGCTGAGGCGCGGAGTGGGAGAAGCGGGTTGATTTGCCTGCGCCGGCCTGCTTATGTGGCCCGACGGCTCAGAGACACCAGAGGCTATGCTATGCGTGACTTTGTATTGTTTACGATAAATGGCGCGAGGCGAAGCCGGACGCCCGAGTGTGGAAGGGACTGGAAGAGCACGCCGACTCATCTCACCGTCGGGGTTCGGTACCTCGCAAGTGGCGTCATATCGTCTTGGTCAGAGTACCCCTATTCTGGATCGTGGACACCCACCGTTCCGGACCGGACCGGATGGCAACAAAACTCATTTTCGCCGTTGTCCCGCCTCTTCATCTCAACGCCAACACCTTATCACTCCCTTCTGCCACTTCCCGAGAGGAGGGGGACATTTCAATGTGGCGAAGAGGGACATTTATCTTCGCTTTCGCTAGCAGCACTAGCCTTCGGGCGATGATGGACTTCTAGATAGTGGTGAAAGAGACATCCCTTCCAAAATACTATGACATTTGCAGCTTCCAAATGCAACCATACGTGTGACGGAAAGAGCTCGTAGCCCGAACTCGAAGTGCTCAATCAAGCGCCCTGAAAGTCGTTGCTCGTGTCCAGTAGCTCAACGGTAACGCGTAGGCGATGCATACCGCCGTCGGCTAGGCATTTGAGGTGTAGCGCCGGCCCGGGAGGGACTACATCGCTCCGAATATTTGTATACTTCTAGTCGGCACGATACCCGGCTATTGGCAGCAATGCTTTTATTACATTGAGTGCTAGCATGACGATATCTTATCCCGCGGAGCTGTTGCTTTCAACCCCTTATACCCCAAAGAGGTTGTAGACTAGTCACCGCGCGATATGTGGCAGCCTCACAAGATGATGCGGGTCAGCGCGAGACTTGCGCTTGATGTTATTCTGCATATTGTACGGGGAGTGCATGTGATGGGTCGAGACAGGTCAAAGTGCGGGAAGCATGGCAAATAATACAACAACAACAGCACGAAAAGTGGGGATGAAGCTGATTTATGCCGTGCCAGCGGCAGCGGCCTTCGCCTTGGCCTCCTCGGCCGCGACGACGGCGGGGTTGACCTTCTTGCCGTCCTTCCACCGGACACGCGGGGGAGGTGCACGGTTGCGACGGCCCTCACGCGAACGAACACGAACGACTAGTAGATATTCAGTATGATTGTGGGGTGCGTATATGCGCGTATGAACTCACCATGCGAGTGAATGGCGCACGAGACACAGTATGCGATTTTGATGTACAACTTCGGGACGACGTACTCTGAGGGTATATTCAGTATCCTTATCGTTAAGTATAGATCGGGAAATACGCACCAGGGTAGATCGACGCCTCGGAGATGTCACGGACGGCAGCGCTCTCGACCATGTTCCTCACGGTGAAGCGCTTGATGGCCTTGTCCTTCGCAACGCAGCGCGAGCAGTTCGAGCAGCGAACGAAGCCGACGTGGCCACGGCCCTTCTTGTTGCGGCCACCATTTCTTCTCTTTTTCGTCTGCAGGAGGGGCACATGTCAGCGTCCGCCGCGCACGGTCATCCGAGCCAAAGACATCGCATCCAGCCCATCCAACGCCTTCTTGTCCTCCAGATCGTACTCGAGCAGGGCGTATGCGGTCTCAGAGGCAGCTCGGGCATGAAGTATACGTACCATGATGGATAGCGCGGCGACGACGGGTGCAGCGATGAGCTCGAGCGGTGCGCGCGCTCGGTGCTTCAAGCCGGATCGGCAATTCCCGAGACGCGGCAACCGAAAGTGGGAGGTCAATCCCACGCCGCTCGCACTTCCGACTTCATCTCTTCCTCCGGACGTCCACCAGCAGCGCGAAAGAGTGTCCCGCATAGGCTGACGCGAGTTATAATCTTATATGCAAATCGATTTCACGCAGGCTGGGCCCCTCTTGTGTCGATTGCAGTCGCGTCTCCGGTGCAATGGCTCTTCCGGCGTCATTATACATACCGAGGTGGTCCAGGGTAGCCTTGTTTTGAGAATGCTCTTGTTGCGCCCGGTATATATGTGAAGCATCTATACGCGTCAAATCCTCTATCTTGCTTCCCCAAACCATAACCCCACACACTACGCTCCTAAACCTCGGTTACTGCGTCATGCTTCCCCTTCTCGTCTTCAAGCTCACGGTCCTTTCTTTCTTACTCGCTCTTGGGACCACTGCATGGCCAACGATGCAGTTATTCGACCGCGAATATGATCCCACAGATACAGGATATAACTCGTATGAGGACGCGCAAACGAGTGAGGCCACTAACATGGCGCTGGCGTTGAAAGCGTATGCCTTCAATTTCGGATATACCGCTCTCTCCACGGACAGCTCGTGCAAAGGTCAGCACCTCGAAAGCTTCTTAACCTGAAGATAGAGCACTTAACCAGATAAAGGCTCTGATTATCCTCTCGAGTATGCCTGTATAGAAAGCGATGCATACCGCTGTGTGGATGGTACCTGGACACTCGCCCTTGATTGTCTATCTCAGAGCAAAAAATGATATGCAGTTCCAGGAGACACCCTCGAAGATGATCCTGTACGTCTTGTACTATAAGCGATATCACCTGCGTTCCATCTTAACTCGCGCAGATCGTAGCGTGCAAGTCCTTCGATGAGATGTTCGACACCTTCACAGAGCTCACTGATTGCGCTCTCGGTGATCCCTCGGGCCAAGCCGACCTGTTCGGGCATTTCTACGATGCATATGGCCCTGATGAAGACCCAGAGCTGCCAGCTTCCACGACGCCAATCTCGACTTCGTCATCCATAACCGGTTCACCAGTGACCGCACCTATGAGCATAGTACAGACGGCGCCCGAGATGACCTCTACAGACACTGATGCTGGTTCATCGGATGCTACTCCCGCAACATCTTTGCCCACGGCACTGCCGCCCGCAACGTCGATGGCAGCCACGAGAATGGCAGATTCGCGTTCTGTTGCCTCTGCATTGAGTGCGACCACATCGTCTTGGGCGTGATCGTGTTCTTCACTAGCGGCGCGTTATGCTCAGCCATTTCATTCTCGGCGTCATGTACTTCCTGACACCCTGTATATACCTACTCCGCTGTTGTATGTCTATCTCAATCGTGCAGCGTAGAGACCGGGCAGGCCGGAGGCAGCTTTAGTTCCGAGGCTGTGGCACCGTTCAACCGTGGGAAGGCTGAGGGCGCCGAGAAGAACAAGGCGCGCGCTGGCTTTGTCCTCGCCTTATTCTCCCTTTGGACACGACCACGCGTTGTGCCCGCCCTGCCCATCAACATTATTGTTCTCCAGAATTCCAGAGTGCCACGGCATTGTTCATGTCGTTTATAAGTTACCCAAAGAAGCAATCGCAATGCCTTGTCTGCTGTCCACCGCCCGTCTGACGATCCAGCTTCGACTTCACTCTCGAGCCCGGTGCTCTCACTTTATACACGACCCTTGACTGTCCTTCACGAATCGTCTCTACATCAAAGCACTTCGCGCACATCACTCATCCGCCCATATCTTTACCAATGGCCCGCCTTGCATTCGCTCTCACCGCGATCTTTGCCGCGCGTTCCGCGCTTGCGGCACCCTTCGCCAGGGACATCATGATTCTCGAGCGCGACACCACGCCCTCATTCAACCTCACGCAGAACGCGCTCGACGCGCAAGCGCTCAACTCCATCTTCGGCACTCTCAGTGTCAACTCGAGCTGCTCGGGCCAATTCGGTGCGTATTTAACAAGCCTATACGGCCTGGAAGTCTAACTGACAAAAATGGGCGTCTTCAGAAAATGACATGGCTTGTGTGAGCAACAACGTTGCCGTCTGCCAGAATGGCAAGTGGCAGACTCTCGACCAGTGCGGGCAGTTCCAGTGCCTGGCGCTCCCTGTTATGGCCGGAAATGGCACGGTGCGTCTTCCATCCCAGTATCCTAGGCGCTTTATCTGATTGTGTTTGCCTCGCAGACTATCTCGTGTACATCCGCAACTTTCGCCGATGAGATTTTCCAGCAGCTCGGTGTCGAAAGCGGCTTCAACTCGACGACTGCTGCAAATATATCAGCCGTCGCGTTCCCGATTCTGCCGTCCAATACTACGGCGAATGCCGCGAATTCGACGACGTCCGGCGACGATGCCGAAGGCGATGATGAGGACTGCGCTGGCGATGATGACGGAGAGGATGCGACATTCGCTCCCGCCGTTGTCACTCAGACAGTCATTGTCACCGTTACCGCTACGCCCGCTTCCTCGCCCAGCACAATCGTGTCGCAAGAGGCTGCCACGACCGTGGTCCTTTCCCAGGCGTCGGCATCCGCGATCATCGCATCGATTGAGGCGAATGGCGGTACGGTCGTCACGTCCGTGGCTCACAAGCACCACAAGACCGCCTCCACAGCAGCACCCACCTCGACGGAGGTCGCCGCATCGACTGCGGTACCCACGGCTGTGGAAGCCTCATCTTCGGCGACAAACGCGTCGGCGGCGCCGACGAAGTCGATCCTCATTCTCAACCCCGCAGCGAGTGCTAGCGCCACTGCATAAACTACTCTACCTCTGCTCTCTCTCTCTCTCTCTCTCTATCTCTTCACGCCTTTTACGGATCTTCACATCTCACGGACGGACACACTCAAACTAGCTGTAGCATACCATCTATCCACTCGCCAGTCGCGTGTTAGTCGCATTCACCGGTTTCACTTGTAGCAGTAGTCTTCTATCTCAATTTGTGTTGCGTACGTTCAATATACGCTTGAGGCTGTCCTGTGTCCGTAAGAACCATGCGAGCTTTATACGAACTTTGTACGAAGGCATGCGCTTGAACCGCCTCCATCAGGTCCGATATGCCGCATCGGCTTCGTTCTGCGGTACTGTATGCAAAGCATCGGTGATGACGTGCTCCGTACGTCCGTACGAACTGACCTCACGACACAATCCGTACTAATGCACAACGATCCGAGTCGGGTCCTGGGCTGTAAGAACCGAGGGTACTGGCAAGTCAATGAAGCTTAGACTACACGTACGCCCGGCGGTCCAGCGCTACTATCGTTCCCGATGCTCTGAATCGGGTCTGTATCCCGGGAACATATCAGGGACCGTAGTCCATAAGCTAGACTGTGGTCCTCGGAAGCAGCGCCGTTCAAAAGGTTGTTCGGCGCGTTGAGCGCAGCAAGCGCTCGGGCGGCGCTCGGGCAACGCTGACTGACAGCTTCCATTCCGTTTGAACCACGACCACCACGACCATCGCGCCTTCCTGGGCCCCATTCTCACAGCAACAACGGACCGTTCCCTATGCTCGGCTGCAATCTGCTTCAGAAGGAGTTCCTGATCCGCATGTCAATGCACGTCCGACTATGCTCGGTGCTGGGCGGTCCATGCAGGAGATAAGATGGGGAATGACGTTCTGGGCAACACCACAAACATCGAGGCTTTGCGTTCGGCACAGCATATAGAGCTACACGTATCAATGATGCAGAAATGACTCTTGGCCCGACGTTTCTGCTATCACCAGTTCGAAGTCGAAGCTGTGTGCTTGCGGAGTTGGCCTGCTTCACTAGGCTTCGGCGATATATAGGCCAGACGACACTTCGGCGAACTCATTGCAACACAATATGACCAACTGGAATAGTCCGGCAGAACTCGTACGAGATACCGGTACGCTTTTTTCCCTGACGTTGAAGGTCAAAATTGACACCCGCCAACAGTATACCTACAGACGACTCTGCATGTATGTTGGGGCTGTGCGATGTAAGGCGGATTTGTCCTCGCCACACACAACTTGAACCTGAACGTTGCCAGCTGGGAATATATCTCCAATTTTGACTATGAATGGGACGTCTTAAGAGGAACGAGACCGTACCGCTGGACTATCTGGGTGTGTACGGCGTTGTCTTGCTCCCAGTCATGCTGCTGACCAACATGTCTAGGTCTATTCATGGTGTAGACTATCTATGCTAGTGGGGTTCTTGCTCCTAATCGCGGCTATGGATGGATGGTCAAGTCGCCATTGTACGGTACGTGTGCTGCCAATGTACGCCGCGAAGGCACTAAGACCTCCATAGGCCATTTATGCGTTGGCTATGGTGCGTGCACCATTCATGTTCCTCCTTTCAGCCAGCATGATAACACTCCCGGCACCCTAGGCTACATCTTACGCGTCTCTGGCGCTTGCATCTCTGCTCATTGTCCTACGCATGTGAGTCGTTCAACCGAGCTATCTAATGCTTGACTGACAGTGACTCCGACAGAGTTGCTATCTGGGAGAAACAGAGTATAGTTATCGTAGCCTCTTCCGCCATATGGCTCATTGGCGTGGCGCTGAACATCCGTGGTAAACTGGCTTTGCCTTCTCATCCTTCGTTTAGCCGTTTAATCAGCCGCCAGATGTTACTCTGGTGCGCGGATATCTCGATGCATCGCGCCAGCTCGCTAAGCCAGGTTCAGCTCCGAGCGTCGTATAGCGTGATCTACAAGTCATGCATACCCTTCGATACCAACAAGTTCCTGCCCAACTCGATTGGCATCCTTGGATCGGATTTTCTGCTATTGGCCTTGATGCTCGTCGGCATCCTGCGCAAGCGAGGGGCCTCGCAAACGGGAATAATCCGAGTCCTCTACCGTCAAGTACGAGGCTTGCTTAATGGATCCCATCCTTGCAGAGCTGACAGCATCTGCACCAGGGAGTGATATGGCTGGTTGTCGCTGTCCTCGTGGAGGTACCGGTTGTCGTATGTTCGAAGTCAAAGCATCCTATGGATTTGCTAACTGATTGCACTTCATACAGGCATTCTGTATCTTGGATATCAACGGTAAGGGCCATTGAACGCGGCAGAGTAGCCTCACATACTCATCTTTCCTGCGAAGAACCCCTCGTTCTTGTGCGTACTCCTTCATCCTGATGTGGTATGCACCTTGCTCACTTCCACGCTTGTTAGATGTTTCAACCAGTTGAGCGTGAGTGTCTCAGCTGCATTTACATCGCTGACATTGACCGATCGATACTCTCAGTAGTGTCACTGTTCGTGCTGTTTCAGTTGAGACCCTCTCCGGCTAACTGTTTCCATGCAGAGGCATTTGCGCGGGTCGCATGTACCGCGGGTTGATGGACTATGCCCTCAGACCGGGATACAGGTAGGCTTTCAGTCGTGCTCATGCTATCGCACAAGATAACCTCTATTGCTTCCAGATCTTCTATCACAGAACTTACTTCCATGCGTTTTTCGACTCGCATCACGTTGTCTGCACCGTCTCGCGAAACCTTCTTTACGGGATAATGCGACGACCTGAATACTTGTCTCAGACCTATTGTCACTTGTCTGGCAGACATGTACATTACTGAATGTAACGCGTGTCGGGTGGTGCCCCAGACCCCAAGCGCAACCAACAGTGTGCTCTCTACGTTCCTCTGCTGGACAAGTATCAAGATGCCCTCAATCATTCACCCGCATCCCAGCAGCGCCTAGCGGATTTTCTGACGGCGTCATGGTACATTCCTCGCTTACCCAGGCTTCTGTGCGTGCATAGACAGGTCAATGAGGGAATCATTGACTGGGGTTGTATACGCAGTGAGAGATCCTTTGAGATGTTGACGACGACCACTGGCACGGTGTCCGTGTCGATGTTACCAAGTTGAAGCCGTGTGTATGGTATCGAGTGCGGCAACGTATCATTTCCACGGTGGTTTCGGTATATAAGTGGACGACGTACTCAAGGATGAGGCAACCAGATTTTTTTGGCAACTATGCCCTCTTGGAACAGCCCCGCCATTACTTGAGGAGCACTAGTGCGGATCAATTTGTCGGGCCGGCCGGACCGCAGACCGTAAGACCGCGAAAACATCGGCAACAACTCTCCCTTCAACGCTCATCTCGCCAATGGACACCATATTGAGAAGGCCCACAATACATGTATGACACTGTTACCTACTCAGTGGGGCTTGTGCAGCTGGTCGTGGCGCTATGTACGGAATCACCCCGTCCCGGCTACATCAACTGCCGCCATCGGCGACGGTGAAACCATTTGCAAACCGTGGATACGGCGTCTGCTCGTGAAGCCTCTTTCATATCTTTTCTGAATAGCTCGCTTAAAGCCTTGAGCTGAAGGACCTGCATGAGAAGGCATGGGTGTAAAGCGGGCGTCAATATGACCTCGGCGGATATATTGGCGAAGCGTTTACAATTGCATCAGCCGGCACCACGCGTACGATTGTACATCCGCAATGTATACCTTAACGCACGACCGGTGCGCGTTCGCTCCACCGCGTACCTCATGACTTCTGCTTACGCGCCGTCAAACGGGCCGACAGAGTATCCATGCTACCAACTGGTCACCAATCGTTTTTTGATTCACCCGACACGAACTTCCTCCTCACGCCTTACTCGTCACGGCCTTGCGGTTGCGAACCTTGCAAGACTGAAGACTTACGGAGTTGATGTGCTTGTTCTCGCACCGAGCTTCCTTCAAGATCCGCGCTCAATATCGGTACGAGGGTTTCATCTGGAGATATGCTGTGAGAGATCCGTCCTACTTCGAGAGTAGGGTGGAGAAGTATCTGCTCTAGGGTAACTCTTCCGAAGAGCGTTGCCGTCGGCAATGAAGTTCGAGGTACGTGGACATCACATGCTGCGCGGCGCTTTGTCTCGTTTGCTTCCCCTGGCAGCGATTCTGCATGCAACCTTACCCCAAAGCGGAACATTGGAGTGGCTGATACGCGAAGGAACTTGGGATCTGCTTCACTCACAACGCCTGATCGTTGCCCTCTACATCCGTCATAAGCTCTCACAAAGGGTACCGAGGAGGGCCAGGGAAGGCAGGGGGCTCACATAGCTGGCCACAGAAGTGTATGTTTCTCGACGGATCTTGGACAGAACGTGAGTTGTGACCAGCAAATCGTTCCTACAACGTCGCTTCGCTCACACTGCCCATGATCACGGTAGTCCCCCCCCCCCATCACCCTATTTGCGTTTCAAGTCAGATTCCATACTTAAGGTGCACCATCGGTTGAGCGCCCTCGCATCGTGACTACACCCTCGACGTCCTCCCAGCATGCGCGACTGGAATAGCCCTGCAGAGATTGAACGAGATGAAGGTGCGAATCCCTGTGCGATAAGCACGGCACTGTACTCACTCGTCTCGATAGTGTATCTGACAACGATCTTATATGTCTGCGGTGGTTGCGCAATGCGAGTGGAATCACCGCATATCGCACGTAACAGACATGTTGACTTGGGTTTAGCTGGGAGTACATTACGCAACTCCCTTTCGAGTGGGATGTCGTCAGAAGAGTGAGGCGATACCGATGGACAATATGGGTATGCGATTTCTCTCAGATGACTATGCGACGCTGCTGACCTTCAATCGCAGGTGTACTCTAGTTGTAGAATATCCATGGTTCTCGGCTTCATACTGCTCATCGGAGCTGCAAATGGCTGGTCGAGCCAACGTTGCACGGTGAGCCTGAGCATCCCCCCCGTGGCGAAGGGAGAAGTCACTGACGGATTGACTGAAGGCGAGTTATGTTGCAGCCCAGGTAAGACTATTACAACGTCTCCCTTCGAAGTCAATTGCATGAGCATTGCTGATGCATCCATCAGGCTCTGTCGTATGCTTCACTAGGTCTCGCCTCCCTTCTCATCGTCCTACGCATGTGCGTATCAACCTTTCTCACGGTAGTCTACCAATCCGGATTCCGGTTCAAACAGAGTCGCTGTATGGGAGAGACACATGGCTATCGTGATTGTCTCATATGCTATCTGGCTAATCGGCGTGGTGCTCAATGTTCGTGGTGCGCGCGATACTTTGAAACCCTAATATGCTGAGCTGACCTCCTACCCGACAGACCTATCCTTAGTAAGCCGCTACACGACGCCTTACGCCACCGCGCGCTGATCTCGATGAAGCTTCGGGCATCATTCAGCGCGATTCCCAGGACATGCGAACCATACAATACGAGTAGATTCCTGCCGAACTCCATCGGTATCATCGGCTCAGATGTTTCGCTTCTGGCCCTCGTTCTCGTGGGCATTTTACGCAAGCGAGAGGCACCAAAGTTCGGCGTCGTCCGTCTTCTATATCACCAGGCATGTAGTCGCCGCGGTCATTAGAGAGACGTGGCTGAACGAAGCCATATAGGGGGTGGTATGGCTAGCAGCGGCTGTCATCGTAGAGACTCCTGTACTGGTGAGCCGTGTACCTCAGTCCCATGATGTCTGAGGAGTGTTCATCATACCCATTGCGCCTTGATGTCCTCCAGATCTTCTGCATACTGAATCTCAATGGTGAGCTTTGCTACTACTGTAGCACTTGTCTGTTCTTACGTTCGTCATGAAGCACCTCTTACCCTCGTGAGTTAAGCTTATCATTCCCCGACGATCGGCCAATGTTCACGCCGAATGCTAGTTATTTCAACCCGTTGAACGTGCGTGATCAGACTACGAAGAAGAGCTCAGACTCAACTGAACATAACATGTAGTAGTGACCCTGTTAGTGGCGCCACCATTGTTTGGTATCCCGGCTGATACCTATCACCTCAGAGGGATATGCGCAGGCCGCATGTACCGCGGGCTCATGAGCTACACCCCTGACCATGGTAGCAAGTGAGTCTCCTCATGTCCGCGAGGAATTTTCGAGAGCGGATCTGACTTTCCTTAGTGATATCCCTTTGAGAGATGTCACTCCTGTGCGACCCTGGTCCTGAGGCAGACGAGCGGTAGCCCGGTCGGATACGTCACCCCACATCTTATCGGTCTCGAACCAAGTAGTCATCATATATCATTACTCGATAATTATATGAGGACGGATATATGATTCGAATCGACCTCTCCTTATACAGGGAAGATACGAGTACTATCTGTGAAGGGACAAAGCAAAACTAACCCTCGGGCGCCGACACTCATAGACCATACCTTCGTATACTATGTATGCTGACGACAGCTTTCTATGAGGGGACGGAGTCAGGCATGTGCTCATGAGGGCGGATGATTGTACGAGCACACCTTCATCGGCATCGGCATCTATATCGCAAGCCGGGCGCCTCAGCTCATCTTCAGCCTTTCTAGTCGTCGGAGATAGGCTCCTACGTCGCGGTCAGCACGGTAGCGGACGTCAATTGGACACCTATACGGTGGCATGCGAGGTCCCAGCCGGCGGACAGAAAGCCTGCGCTCTTCGCCACCTTCATCGTCAGTAAAATGAAAGATCGCGGATACCTTACGTCTCTCGCCTTTCGCTTTCCCTTCGCCATTCTTCTAGAGAAACATGGCAGCGTCATCCACGGCTGAAGTGAGGGATTGGCGATCGTATGAAGGTCCCACGTTCAGGGCTTGTTCGTCTGTGACACAGCGTAAGGGATGGTTTGATGACCCGTAAGTATAGCTCACGCACCTCAGGTTCACAGGGGCGGGTAGAAGTGACTATTATCAGACAAGCAGCACTGATTCTGTGTCGCGTGGTTGACCTTTAAACGCGGATTGGCGGTGTTCATAGAAACCTGCACGCGCGATGGAGCCGCCTTCCATCGTCGGTATTGAATCTCTGGCGCGCACATTGCCACCCTCAGTTATGCGTACGCCCTGTTCATGCTAGCCGCAGCGTGCGCGGGTGAAAGTAATTCCGGGACTGAAAAGACCGGCTTGTCACTCGGAATGCAAAAGCGCGCCGGCCCGGTCACGGCCCGTTGTCGTTTCTCGCCCTCTCGTGGGCGGATAGGAGTCTTGAGCGCTTGTACGCGCTCGCGCGTTCTTCTGCGCTCGCGAGCGACAAGCTAGGTCTACAGCATCCGTGTCGTCGTGCCACTCGGCGCGTGGCCACCCGAGCGCAAGCTGGACGCTCGAGCGTATTCGAACTTCGTGCACGTGCACTCCGGATCTTGCCGAGGACCTTGACGGCGGCTGGCTGATGGCTACGACCGTAGCGTGCTGCCACAGGCCGATGCCAGTGACTGGCCGCGGCCACGCCAGCGCCGCAGGTGTACATCCAAATGTAAAGTCTGTAGGTGGCGAGGTCAGCCGCCAAAAGCCCACCAAGCTAGCAGCGAGGGGAACGCACGCCAACCTGCTCAGCGAGCACTCCAGCCTCTGCGAAGCCGCACACCCATGGTGGCCGGTTTTGAGTGATGTGGGAAGCACGGCAACGGTCCTTGTGGTGTTGGTCGGCGAGTATTACACGGCACCCTAAGAACATCGCAGAGATCGAACGTCGAACCCTTGCTCACCTCACTTTCCACGTCTCTTGGCGCATGCCTTTCGTAGTTCACAGTTTAGATGATATGTAATAATATAAGGTAACAACAGTCTGCATTGAGCATAGACGTCCCGACACACAGTCCCAATGATGCCCCGGAGGGGCCGTGGCAGTGGGAATAGTGCAGGGTGGATGGTCGCGTCGTGTTACAAGCTGGACTCGAGGCGCGCCCAAGCGGCGGCCCGCCCGGACCGTGGTAGGTCGTGGGCAGAACGGCCAAGCTCAATCTGCGAGGCCGCGATTGGGTTGTTTCGAACGCTCACCTGTCCAACGCAAGCAATTCAACTTCAAGCATCTTCACATCGATGTTCTTACTCGTGTACTCCGCCCGCCCTCCAGTCGATTCGTGGAGGCTCTCAGGCGTAATGAATCTATACCGTATTATGACCCGTCGGCTTCACGACCTTCACGAGCCGCCGGCACGCATCGAAACGTGCTGATGTAGCCATGTTGCGACAACGCTCGTCGCCTTACAGGTCCGCGAGCCGCAACCATGCTCGTCTAATGGAGCTCAGACTCACAGCGGCGGCGAGGACACCAAGCTCCGAAGGACTCGTGCGATTCAACCCTGCTGTATGCGCATTGTACTGCGCGAATATCAGTCTGGTGATAAGAATGATAATGCACGAATGACAGAACCGATATCCCGTCAAGATCAGGGTGAAACGGTGGCGCCATGGCGGTTCATTCTGTCCCTTGCGCCACGGGTAGGCCACTGCATCGCTTTCGTCCCGTTGTGCATGGAAGATTGTCATGATGATACGTCTGGATCAGTGTCTTGACCTGCTCGAGTAAGTGCTGGGAGCTAGGAATTGGGTTTCCGAGACATCCGGAGACAAACAGTCTCGAAATCGACACCCGGGTGCATTTCGGTGCATCGCCACTCCCGCGTCCGGGGAGGAAATTCAAACACTGATCAGGCACTATGATAGCATCTGGCCCACAATCTCTCGCGCATCAATGTAGTGGTGGTCTTGAGATAGATGTACACAGCGAGAGGTGTGCCAACTGTCATACTGTGAGCCAACTCCGCCAGAACGACACACAACCTGTAGATTCGCGCTCACATGCTATAGGCACGCGCGTGTTGGCGTACTCCGCCTATCGAACTCAGCATCTTCGATCTCGGGTATAAAGGGCGTGGAAGGGACTCAACGCAGTTGCAGTTCACTGACTGAACTTGTCTTCGGCGTGAAGATGACTGACTGGAAAGGCCCTACAGAAGTCACTCGTGATACTTGTATGCATTCTCAGATCTCTCCATCCTGTCTAGATCGTCCTGACGTCCTATCATAGTGTATCTGGCGAAGGTTCTGCATGCATGCTTTGGTTGCGCGATGTGGGCAAGCTGTATTTTGCTGATTACCTCGAACTAACACCGATTGTAGCTGGGAGTTCGCCTCCCATCTTGATTATGAATGGGACATACTGAGAGGAAAGAGGCCATTCCGATGGACCATATGTGTGAGTCTACCGATCTATAAATCTACCACTGTAATCTGATGCTAATGTCAACTCGGAGCTTTACTCAGGATGCAGGCTGTCCATGCTTCTCGCTTTCACATTTCTGATCCTTATCACCAATGGCCTTGTCACCAGCAACTGCAGAGTAAGTACACGTACACTGTTGTTAGGCGCATATGCTAACTGAAGTACCCAAAGGGTCCCTACACAGCTGCCATGGCATGCCATACTCCTGCGATGCTTGTACAGGTGTCATACTGATTGCATATGAAGTTCTTTTCGTACTCCACTGTCTCCCTGGCTTCCCTTCTCATCATCCTTCGCATGTAAGTCTATCATGCATATCCCAAGGTACCAAGCTTATGCAGAAGCAAGTTCTGCAATCTGGCAGAGACAGGTATTGATTATGGTTGTGTCCTGTGTGGCATGGCTTGGAGGCGTAGTTTTGAATATACGAGGTACGAATGCCTCCAGAGGGAGTCGTCGGAACAGTAGATCTGACTATCTGAGATATAGATCTGACCCTGGTTTGTCTATGCTGCCTATTGCCCACCGATCAAGCTAAGATCTCTCGACCTTCAGCTCCAGGCCACATACAACGAGAGCTTCCAATCGTGCATCTCCTTCGATGCATCAAAATTTGCACCCAACACCATTGGGATCCTCGGGACAGACACCTTGCTACTAGGCCTCGCACTGACTGGTCTCTTGCGCATGAAGGAAGAGCGCCAGTATGGAGTCGCTCGCTTTCTCTATCATCAGGTACAGCCCTCTGCAGTGAAGAGACATAAGACTCATCAGACACCACTTCCAGGGCATCATTTGGTTGGGTGTAGCAGTGCTTGTCGAAGTTCCCGTCGTCGTACGTGAATCTCATGCTTTCGCAACATCAATGATCTTAAGTGAATCTAGACGTTATCTCTTCTGAACCTGAACGGTGAGCGGATCATCCTGTTGAAGTATAGCTCGATGATGTTGATACTAGCTCTGTAGACCCTCTCATCCTGGTGCGTGCGCTTCTGAAGGGTCGTCAGTCGAAGTTGCTCAATCGCGACTCATTTGGGGCAGATGTTCCAACCAGTCGAGTGTAGGTGACAGTTGTATGCTTTGCCGCCGATCTGACCTGAAGTCATGAGAACAGTAGCGTCGCTGTAATCACACTCATTCATGTAGGCTGGCAGTGCATCAACTGACGAGGGCGTCAATAGCGGACTCTGTGCCACGCGCATGTTCCGAGCCTTGACGAACTACTCCGTCGAGCCCCTCACTAGGTGATTACCTACCCCGATATAACGTGAAACGACCGTCCTCATCTGTCGGTAGTATCGCTCTGGTATCCATAAAGCCGTTGGAGTTCAAAGCGCGGCATAGCCCAGGAGATTCGTCGGCCGAAACCGATGCCATCGATCCCTGAAACACGTCCTGACGGATGGCCACCATCTTCGCTGGTGCGTAGCTGATCTAGAGAAGCGCACTGGATCGTACTGAAGCTCTAAATTTGGGACATAGGTATGACCCATCGGTAGAACTTGCGTGTGCGGAGTGGCGACTGGTGGTTATTCTCGAATACCGCGAGCGTAAGCATATTTATTAGGAATCTACGACACTGTACAAAACTATGTATCAGCCTCAGAAGTGCTCGCGCTTGGAAGGCATTGCGATTCACGCACGAGGGTATTCATTCATATTTGGTGATACACAAGAGCAGGGCAACGGACGGTGCAAACGAAAGCATGTACAAGAAAGCGAGAAAAGCGCTGTCCGCGAGCAGGAACTGGAATATGCACATGCGGTATCAAAACCGCAAAGGCCGTCTACTCTTCGCCGGATTCTTCAACGACGTCGGCCGACTTCTTCTGGCGGCCGCCCGAGCGCTGGCGCTTGGATGCAGGCTTCCCGGACTTCGACGCCGGTGCTTTGCGCTTCTTGGGAGCGGGCTTCTCGTCGTCCGTCTCCTTCGCCTCAGCCTCTTCGTCATCATCGATCGCGTCCATCGCATCGCCGAAGTCTTCACCATCATCATCGCTGTCGGCCTTTTTCTGTGAGGGCGTCAGCGATCTATACGTGGACGTAGAGCGACAGGATTGTCGCACCTTCTTCGCAGCAGCCTTCTTCGGCGCAGCAGCCTTCTTACCGCGGGCCTTCGGTTTTGGCTTCTCCTCGGCCTCATCATCGTCTTCATCGTCGACGACAGGCTTCTATATCATGGTCGGCACCACCGTATCGGACGACGAACAGACACACGTACCTTAGCACGGGAGGCCCTAGCCGGCGCGCGGCGAGCTGGCTTGTCCTCAGGGTCTTCGTCGTCCTCATCCTTTGCCTTCTTATTCGTCATGAGTGTGAGGCAGAACTGTGTATGAGTTTGGCTGATTTACCTTTGCGCGCGGCTTCCGCGCTGGAGCCTTCTTCGCCGGTTTCTCCTCTTCATCGCCCTCGCCCTTATCGGCGTCTTCTTCAGCTTTCGCCTTCTGAAGACGACCTCAGTCACAAAATACGCAGATACAAGTGCGAGTATTACCTTCGCGCGACTCTTCTTGGCAGGTGCCTTCTTTGGCTTCTCCTCGTCCTCCATGTTCGCGTCACCGTCCTCATCTTCCTCCTTGGCTTTCTATAGCACCGTCAATATTGCGATAGTAGGGGGAATAGAGCGGGAACTACCTTGGCACGAGGTTTACGAGCAGCCGCCTTTTCCTTGGGCTTCTCCTCGTCGCCGCCCTCTTCGCCGTCCTCGGCATCCTTCTGCGTGCCCAGCGTCAGCTAGAGCAGCTGTGAACCAAGCGTCATGACATACCTTCTTTCTGCCACCCTTTTTGGGCTTCTCCGGTGCGTCCGGGTCAACATAGCCCGGAATCACCTTGCTTTTGTTTGCGGTGCTCGGAACGTCCTCTTCGGCGACGTGGCCTACCTCCCAAGCTTTGCGAAGTCGCTCCTGGTCCTCCTTGGGAATGTCCTCGAAACCGTCAAGATTGTCGGCATCGCCGAGTTCTTTCTTCATGTTAGCCAGAACCTTGGCGGTGACGCAGCCCCAGTGGCGGTAAACCCTGGTACAACCGAAGGTTGTGATCGGGTCACAAGTTGAAACGAAGCACAGTGGACCAGAGAAGGAGAACGCGGAGAGAGAAGCCAAGAGTCAGACACAAGTGGGCGCTTAGGTACCAGCCACGTACATGGAGGTGTTGCCCTTGATGTCGACGACGGAGCAGTGGCGCAACGAGCCCTTAACGATAGTTTCGCCTAGATATTTGTATTATGAGTACGCTACAAGCGCTGATGAGTCTACGGCAAGCATCTATACCTTTGCATGGCTCAGGACCTAGAGTGAAACAAGGAAGAGCGTCAGCCCTGCATTCGAACCTCAACACGACGCGCGCGTTCACGACGCGTCGACGCGACTGAGACACTCGCCTTTGCACTTGGCCCTGTTATTCGGGCACACTTCGATTCTGTAGCCACCCGAGCGCTTGGCTGGCTGCTCGTCCTCGCCGCCGTTGTCTTCGTAGTCAGAGTACATGGCGCTGAGGTCGTGGTGGAGTGAGGGAAGGTCGAAAAAGACGGCGCGAGACGCGTTTATCTGGCTGTTTAGGCGCCGCACCCGCGCTCACGCTTCTTGGTTCCCAACTCCCATGTCCAATTCGCGTCTGGACCTATGAAATACTGGCCTCCTTCTCGAGTCTTACGCGAGTGAATCTCAAACTAAGGATACACTCAAGACGATGTCATGCGCGATAGCAGATAATCGTACGAATAATCTGCTCAACAACTGGATCAATCCTGTACCGGCTGTTACGACCCTGATGGATGCGCGCCGCTTCCGTAGACCACTTTTAGTCCATGGACCCCACCGTGCGGACGACTGGGACCGTAGACCGCTCCTCGGGTGTCCGTGTTCACGAAGCCGCCGGGTCACCACTCTACAGCCACATGAGTCCCTGGCCTCGGTATCCCTATTTGACGTCCATCTCCTGGGCGATGCTGCGTTCAAGTCAGCGCGGCACAATACGATCTGTCAGTCCGGTCCATGTCTGCGATGCACAGCGAAAGACTGTAGCGCGTGCCGCCCCTGGACCACCTTAAACACGGAACCATCACGGTTTAGACGTCGAGCGCTGTCACAAACACGATTTCTATACATGCATGGCACGCAATGGGAGGGTCTATAGTATGATGTGCCTTCTTCGTGCGCATGTACTGGCTGGCAGTCCCTCGGTGCTCGGACTCAGCCTCGGCATATCGGCGTCAGCGTCGCTATAAAGACTGGTCGAGCTTGGCTCGGTACCCTCATACAACTACAATGTTCCCGATTAACCGCTTCCGTCTACTTGCGGCTTTCTATATCTTCTCCTCCCTCAGCGCAGTCAACTGTTTGCCATCTCAAGTAGTCGTAAGTCGGTCACTCAGCGACCGACCACATACACAGTACTTACCCTTCGATAGATGGTAGATCCTCTCGACCTGGCAGTGATGGGCCCGAACGCCAACTTCCGCAACGACACGTTCGACCAGCTATTCAACCCTACAAATACCACGCCGCCGTTCTTCCAAGTCTTTGACAAGGCCTTCCTCGACATCCTCGGGCCCAACGCGGCAGTTCGTCGTGTCGCATTTGACCCTACATTCGCCTTCGCGGACGAAGCACCAATTTGGAACCCTCCAACCGACGAGGTCTTCTTCGCAGCACAGGCTGGCACACCGATCGGACACAGCGATATCGACCACAACTCGCAAGTCTCCAAGATCAGCCTGCGCGAAGTCGCACAGGCGGCTGCACGCGTCCCTTCCAAGACCGCGGCGGTCAACGTAACCGTCACAGCTGTACGTGCTTGTGTACTTGGCAGTCATGACTCCGCATACTGACCGGATACCGACGGTAGCTTCCCCTCTCGAACGATATCCAAGTGAGCACGTTTGCGGTATATCTACGGCCGTTACCTGACTACAAGTAGATGACGAACGGCGGGACGAACTTTCGCGGTGACCTCCTATTCGTAACTACGGGCCGAGGACCTCTACCGCCAACCATCGCTCGCGTCAACCCCAAGCCGCCCTACAACGATACTGTACTTCTTGACAACTTTTTCGGTCGCCAGTTCAACAGTGTGAACGATGTCAAGGTGCATCCTACCAGCGGCGTTATCTTCTTCACAGACTCTACGTGAGTGACCCATTATCTTCTTCACAACTATCTTCTGACAGGCTTTAGGTATGGATTCTTGAGCAACTATCGTCCTTTGCCCTTGTTGCCCAACCAGGTCTACCGACTGGATCCCGATACGCGTCAAATTCGCGTGGTTGCAGATGGCTTTATCCGCTGCAATGGCATCGCCTTCACCGGAGATGGAAAGACTGCCTACGTGTAAGGTTTTCTCTCAGTGGTTCTCTCGTGCCCTCGATTCAGCACGCTTGCAATCTCACAGAAGCGACACCGCCGCCGCAGGACGTTTCCTGGGGTTGAACGGAACGGAACCCGCAACGATGTAGGCCCATATCCGCAGACTTGTGATGTGTATTGACTCGCGTACCTCATTAGTTATCGATACGATGTAGAACCCGTTTCCCAGGTGTTCACCGGTCGGCGCGTCTTCGCTTACGTCGACTCCGGCGTCCCCGACGGCATTCAGGTGAGTCGACAGGGATATCTAGCACGAATACTTCATACGAATGCACACGCGTACATAGGTCGATGCGCGAGGAAACGTCTACTCAGGTTGCGCAGATGGTGTGCAAGTGTGGAATTCCAACGGCGTACTTCTCGGGAAGATCTTCCTGGGTACCAGCACTCCCACCATGACCTTCGCCGGCGACGGCCGACTGGTCATCATGGCGGACACCGCCATTTATCTCGCACAGATAGCTGCACGTGCTCTAGACCTTCCAAGCTTCGGGATGTAGTCATATCATTATTCTTTTCTCATTATGGACACATGAGCATGTCACTTGTCGGCGGGACGGGGAGCCTTGTTCACCATCTCCCATGACGCCAAGCCGGAAGACTTCTTAAAGATTCAGCCTGTGGCTCCTGTACGGCATATATGTTGTGATTTAAGTTGCACTTGTGGCCAGGCTATTTCTCTCTACTATACGCCCACCATGCTACCCAGAACTAAGATACCTCTCGGGGCGCTCGCCTTCTACTCTTTCTCGGCGGTGCATGCTTGGTCAGAAGATCAACTGCCACCTCAGGCAGTGGTATGCAGATGTGTTTCCCGTACTTCGCAGGGCACTGAATGACCCCTTAGATGATCAATCCGCTCGACATCGCAGTCATGGGCCCGAATGCGACCTTCCGAACGGACACCACGACAGAGCTCTTCAACCCGACCAACACTACGCCGCCGTTCTTCCAAGTCTTTGACGAAGCTTTCCTGGACATTCTGGGCTCCAACTCCACTATACGCGCTATTGCGACCGATCCTACCTTCGCTTTCGCACACGAGGCGCCAATCTGGGATTCCACAACAGACGAGGTGTTCTTTTGCTCGAACGACGGGGGTGCACTTGGTCACAACGACATCAATACGAACTCGCAAGTGTTCAAAATCAGCCTTGGGGATGTAGCAGACGCCATCGAGGCGGCCAATTCGAGTACCTCCGCGGTCAATATTACCGTAACTCCCGTGAGTGATGGCTCAAAGAAGAGTTATAGGCTATCTGACATATTGGCGTTGACAGCTGGACTTGCCCGATACCATCCAGATGGACAATGGAGGGACAGGTAGATAAGTCTCAACCATATCTTGGAGCTACGCTCACGAAGAACAGGACCCTTCCGAGGTGACCTACTCTTGGCAACATCTGGGCGCGGCCCACTGCCTCCTTCAATCGTCCGAGTAAACCCTCGACCACCGTACAATGCAACCGTCCTGCTCGACAACTTCTTTGGACGCCAATTCAACAGTCTGAACGACATCAAAGTGCATCCAACCAGCGGCGCAATCTTCTTTACGGACTCTTCGTATGTTCATTCTGGATATCAGGCCTGAATGCGTCACTGAACACGCCGCATCAGATATGGCTTCATCAACCATTTCCGCCCTTTGCCTGTCATGCCCAATCAGGTCTATCGCTTGGATCCCGATACGCGACAAGTGCGCGTTGTTGCAGACGGCTTCGTTCGTAGCAACGGTATCGCACTGACAGGCGACGGCAGGACAGCATACGTGTAAGCCACTGTGCGCATGCGTCATTTCTTGTCACTCACAATGAGATATACTGTCCAGAACGGACACGGGTACCGTTGGATTTGAAGTCAACGGCACCTTGCCAGCTACCATGTATGTGGACGCCAGGCTACCCCGAACCTTTCTACGCTGATTTCTCCGTAGCTATCAGTTTGACATCGACCCTGTGTCTCAGAGCTTCACAAATAGGCGTGTATTTGCATATGCCGATTCCGGAGTGCCAGACGGCATTCAGGTCAGTAAATCACCTCTTTCTACTAGCTCAACCACTCATGCTCATTCCGCAGGTTGATGTCCAGGGCAACGTGTTCTCTGGCTGCTCAGATGGAGTCCAAGTCTGGAATACGCAAGGGACACTTCTTGGCAAGTTCTTCCTGGGCACTACCTCAGCAAACATGATACTGGCGAGCGGCGGGCGACTGGTCATCATGGCGGAGACAGCGGTGTATTTTGCGCAGATTGCTGCCCAAGGGCAGGACCTTGCGAGCTTTGGTAGCGCTACATAGGGATCCACCTGTATATTAGTCTCGCTCAACACTACATTAACCGCAAACAAAGCCCGATAAGGGGCTGAGCGTATGTTGGGCGCGCGTCAAGTCGCGTGATCGCGTCCTTCACGCGGCCACGTGCGATTCGAGGCTCGATCAACGAACGCGTTCGCCACCCCAGACGCGCTTACGACCGGACCACGACCACGCTTCGAACCTCATCTTAAATCTCTCTTGGAACCATAACGAAACTTAGACGTATACCCAACTGACTCTGTACAATGCATCAAACGCTGCCTCAGCCACTTGGCTATCGCTTCCCGAAGGTAGTTGGTGGGTAGACGCGTCAAAGGCTTCTGTGGCAACTTTCCCTGATCACGCACCAGGATACGAACTTAATGAGCGGATAGGAGGAGGCGGCTTTTCAACGTGAGACTACTGTTGTTGGGCAAGCTCAAGTGCTCAAGGAGGCTTGGTAGTGTCTATCGAGCGACATACGAGCGCAGCAACGCGGCATGTAAAGTCATAGCCATCAAGCGCAACACGACGCCCCAAGAGCGCAAGGGTCTGGATAAGGAGATGCGGGTGCATGCGAATCTGAAGAACGATTACATTCTGGAGTTCATAAACGCTGTCATCGTGGAATGGAACGACCCTATCAATACTGCTGGCAAAGTCCCTTACTATCCTGCCTACTATATCTTGTTGGAACTTGCTGCCGGTGGCGATCTCTTTGACAAGATTGGTATGTCGTAATACTGCTTGATTATGGAAGCTTCTGACGTTGCATCTCAGCTCCTGACGTCGGCCTTCGTGATGAAGTCGCTCACCATTACTTCCTGCAGATGCTAGCCGGTTTGGTAGGTTATATGCTCTCCGAACGCGAACCGTATCTAACCCACTTAGACTTACATGCACGATGAAGGCGTATGTCACCGCGACTTGAAACCGGAAAACATGCTCTTGGATGCTGCTGGAAGGATCAAGATCTCTGACTTTGGGCTCTGCGCTGTATACAAGCTCAAGGAGTCGGGGAAGACCCGGCAGTTGTCCGAGAGGTGTGGCAGCTTGCCATACGTGGCGCCAGAGGTGGGTCAATGCCACCCGGATCTCGAACCCGCCCGCTGACTGTCAGTAGCTCAACAGCAACCAGTACTATGACGCTGAGCCCATCGACGTATGGGGCCTCGGCGTGATTCTCTTCACCATGCTCGCTGGCAGTGAGTTCAGTTGGAACGACTCATCGGAGCTCGCTCTGACAGCAATCATAGATACACCTTGGGACGAGCCTACTCAATATAGTCGCGAGTTCTCGAGGTATCTCTCGGGGGCGTACATCGAAGATGATCCGTGGAGTAGGATAAGCGATTCTGCATTGTGTACTACTCTCACTACGACTTCCAGTAACGAACGCTGACATGTCTCCACAGCTCTTATACAGAACATGCTCACCATTGACCCTCGAGATCGGCCACGGCTATGGCAACTTAGAGAACACCCATGGATCATGCCGTATGCTCATCGTACTATCGTACCCGTACCCAACTGATCTCTTGCGATAGTCAGAGTCAACTAGCCGGAGTCAGCGATGCAGATCGGGCGATGATGCTCACGCAAGGTCTGCGCAACAACGGCGACCTAGACTTCGCCGATCCCGGTTTAGAACAGTTCGTCCACGCAATCCTACCACGCCTCCGATATTTTGACTGACAGGATCGCAGTGGGGATGAGTCCATGATCGCACCAACGTACCGCTCGCAGTTCGTAAGCGGTCTAGCGCTGTTCACGCAGACGCAATCTGGGGCCGAGTACTCCAAGACTCTTTGCAAATTCTACGCCAATATGGACCCAGAACAACTGCTTGATACAATCGTCTACGTGTTCCGGGACCTCCCCGGCGCACCCACTGCAGCACGGGAGGACTCACCCTATGATGATCGCGTGTCGGTCGTTGGCAAAGATAACCGAGGGATGGTGCTCGAGGGATATGTTGTCGTCAAACCTGCGTCGAAGGGAACAGTTTGTCTCTTTGAGCGCGACAAGGTATGTTACGTCGAGTCATCAGAGGGCAGTCAAGCTGATTCTTGCACAGGGGAACCCGATTGAGTGGAGAAGATGGTGGAAGAATGTCGTGTGCCATGATGCGATCAAGCCGTACTGCATTATGCGACAGTGAATCTGCTCAGCTTATTTTGCGCCTAATGATCAGGATGTACGCTACTATCTAGAACTTCAGTCTTCCGTCGATGACAGTCGATGCATGGCTGGTATTGTCATGACAGTATCAATCATGAGTACAAGACAAATAGAAATGGGAGGCGTGTAAGCGTAAGAATAGAGATGTGCGATACAGTGATCGTCCCGTAGATATACAACAAGAGAACAAAAGGTACTACCACACGGCCCGAGTAAGGATGGGAACGCGCTCTCAGGCTCTCTGATCAACAGATGCCCGACGCGCCAGTATGTACAGTACAATACATGCGGAGTCGTATCCGAAGGATCGTGGTTGCGCGTGAGGCATACAGATACAACAAGGGCCTTCGTCAGAGGCATAAAATAAGGAGGAGCGTAGATCGAGTCCGACGAAATGTGAGCGTGATGAACCGAACGATCAGATCAGATAAGGATGCGGTCGATCGGCGTCATCGGCATGGGGATGATGTGTCGCAGGAATGGAGGGTGGGGAACACGAGGCACGAGGTATGTACAAGCGCGCGCGGTGAGAACGAATCCTGCAACATAACAATTAGCCTCGAGGCCTTTCCAGGGCAAAGAAGAATGCAAATGTACGCACCTCACTGCGCGCAAGAAGGGTCCGAAGATGAACAGATTGGGGGATCTGAACGTGCGTAGAGGCGTATGGGCGAACCGGCCGCACTCATGCGACTACGCATCCCGCCTGCAGCGTCTCCAACGGGTTGTTATGGTTCGAGTTCGTCGTGGGCACCGGCGGCGCTGGCCCATCACGGGGCGCGGACTCGAAGAAGGATGCCAAGAGGGTGACGAAGGTGTCCATTGCGGCTTGGTTCGGGCTGGGTAGTATGCGGCGCGAGGGTAGGAGGGCGAGTAGTAGTAGCAGAAAGCTCAAAGGCTCGAGCTGGGGGTTAAATGTGAAGTTTGTGAGGAGGCTGCGGTACAAGATCTCGCGCTTTTATATGTGCGCCAGGTCTACATCCGTCTAGCTATGCTTGGACCCGCGGATCTATGCTACAGACATGGAGGGTACGGAGGCAACACAATAGCCTGAGGCTCGGGGGCATACTTCGGGGGCGCGCGCGCGCGGGTTTCTTGTCCGCGTTTCCCGAACGCTTTCGCATTGACAATAAGCCAAAGTTGGATCATGAAGATGCATACGTAGGATGCGCGTTCGCAGCATGAAATTTTCGGCGCGCGACGCCGAGATGGACGCCGTTGGTATAGTCCTTTAGTCTGAGGGAAGTCGGTGTGGTGGTGGATGACGCGCGCTCAGGAGGCGGGCAGGACGGGGTGATGGTGGCGTTGACAGGACTTGCTAGTTAGTCTGCACTGCTCTCAAGGGCGGGACCAGTGACAGGTAGACAAGCAACGGGAACGACAAGGACAGTACTCTGTGCCGAAGCGCAGCTTCAGCGGCTGTGCTCTTCGTGATAGCTCCACCACTCCGCGGTAAGTACTGGTGGGCAGGCTGGCGTCATTCCAAGCATGTCTGTCTGGCCTTGAAACCGCTTGCGAGTCGATCTACGAGCGGAATCAGCAGTAGTACAGAGAGTGACATGATCAATTACGCACCTTGATCATCCTCACATCTCGAGCGTAGAATGTCTTTCTAGTAGTCGGCTTCGGGTATGCCGATCCCTGATTCTTCAGCATAGCACCCTCAACCACAGCTAACCACAATGCGATCGTAAGAGGGTGGCAGCGAGCGGTACGCTAGTCGCTAGCGGGGTGGCGCTGAGACAAGGTCAAACGCGCTCCGCGAGTCTCCATGTTCGGAGGAGTAGTCGAAACAGCATTGGCTAACGAAGCTTCGGCTAGACGGCGACTGAGTCTAGAGAATGACAATGCCAATCGGCGAAGAGCTTCGAAGTCGAAGCCGGACAAGAGCGAGGCTCAATTGTCCAGGAAATTAGACGATGAATAACGACAGCCGGTGGCTGCGGTCCGGCTCTTGTCTTTCGCTCTGCCATTTTTTGAGCCTTGCACCGCAAACTGGGATATAGGGCACTCACAGATCATGACTTGCGTCTATCCGGTAAACTGACTTCACGGCAGCTGCTACGCACACGTCGAGATGTCAGGACGACAAAAAACAGGTTGATCATCCGCGCCAATACTGGTGCAACTTCAATTCGACAGCCGCAGCGGAGACGTAACAAGTACAGTCCGCCGCGACTGTAAAGCATTGGAGAGGAGCGCATCCCGGGTCGTCATACCAAAGTCGTGTTTTCTATGTATATGGGAAAGATCCAACAGATATACAGCATCCAGGGGAGAGAAGAGGCTCGTAAAAAGCATGATAGCAAAGAGACAACAACTGTGCAAAGAGAGGGTCATGTCTTGAAGACAATGATGAGGATGAGGAGAACGAATATCAGGCCGGCAATGGTCAATGTCGAGCCTATCCAAGCTGCCCATCAGGCGAAATAAAGCAAGGGAGCATCGAATGGGGCTCACCATTTGCCTTTGCTTTCTGCGCAAAAGTTCCCAGCTGTCTCCGTGCACGACCAAGTCTGTGTGATGTTGAGTCGAGATCATGGTCGAGTTCCTCCAGCAAGCCTTGATGTGTTCCTATTTCGTCGTTGATACGTAGTGAGATGTCTCTTTGGCGACCAATGCTCTGCGCAAGCGAATCGAGCCTGATGTCCTGGTCTGAGGCAAGATGAGAATATAGCACGAGTGTACTAGCACGGAGCGCTTACCCTCCATCAACCGTTGCTGCTCCTGCAATAATACTCCTGGCTCCGGTCCGGCTTCCGGGTCGTCTGCGTAGGGCGTATATATCGGCTCGGTACTGCTCGACCGTGTATGTGTCTTGCCGACTGGGGGACTCAATTCCCTCTCGTACTCGTCCTCCCCTTTCGGCTCCGGCTTGGGCTCCTCCAGGACCTCGATCCCCGCCCTATCCGCGTCCTCGCCCAGCATGCCCCTCATCCTCCCATACTGACTGCTCAGTAGGGTAACAGCTTCGGTCCGGCCCTCCGACTGCTCAAGTGCAAGGATGCCAGCTTTCAGTTGCCGCAAGTTCTTGGTTATTTGTGGGAGGTGGAGGGGGTTCGAAGTCTGGGAAGTATACTGTGGGAGTGTCTGAAGTCGTTGTCGTTCCAGCAAGAGAGATAAAGTCGACGTAGATACGGCTGTTAATTTAGCGAGCGACATGATGGGCCCGTGGGTGTGGTGGTCGTGTGCAAGGGAGGTGTGTGCAAGTGAACGCTGCGCTTCGGCCTGCAGTCGTACTCGTTGATCCGCGTTGCTTTCCCAGTCCGAAATCGAGATCTCGGTCTTTGCTTCTGACGTCCATCAACGTCTTCCATTCGTTCTGCTCAGGCGCTTGAGCTTGAGCTTGACAGAAAATGTACTTTGACTTGAATGTGCCTGTACCAGTACCGGCGTCTATAGCCTCGTCTTCTGGCCAGGCTTCGAAAAAGGGCAAAGGAAAGCAGCAACAAAATGCCGGCCCAGCGCCCGTCGTAGCCTTCTCGCCCGCGCAAATCACGGCAATCGAGGCTCGCGTCGACTTGCTCGTACATTGTTCGTCCTCACTGAATATACCCACAATTTTCCGAGCTCAACGCGAAGTCTAGTAGGATACACCGTTCTGGCTTTCACCCAGACCGCACACTCCAAAGTCGATCCTCGGACGCACATCAATCACCTCGACCCCTTGCTCTCCGCTCTCCGGAGGCGCGAAGGCATTGTCTACCTCAAGCGCCTAACAATCATCCTCGACGGGGAATCTGAGAAGGGGTTCGGCCTGACGAATACGAACGCGCCATTATTCGCTCCATACGACCTGATCGCGCTCAGTCCCTTGACGGATGGAGCGTGGCAGTACGCTGTTCAAACACATACGCAACCTTCGAACTTGACGGCACATATTCTGTCTATACCTCTGACATCCTCTCGACTACCTTATCGCCTCAAACACACGGCTGTACGCACCGCACTCCGGAATGGAGCTGTTTTCGAGATCTCGTATGCCGGCGCTTTGGGGACGGACGAGGAGGGAAATAGTGGGGGCGCAAGTACACGGAGGAATTGGTGGGCGTGTGCGAGGGAAGTTGCGAGAGCCACGAAGGGTAGGGGGTTGATCGTGAGCAGCGGAGCGTACGGGGAGGCAGAGTTGAGGGCGCCTAGAGACGTTGGAAACCTGTGGGTCTTCTCGTAAATGAACCCGAAAATGGATATCATGCTGACATCGTTTGGGCAGGCTCACATTCTTGGAGCTCAAGCAAGATCAAACGCACGACGCTTCTACTACGACACCCAAGTCGCTCGTACTTCGTGCACGTCAGTCACTCTTCTTGTATCGCTACCAAGGACACATGCTGACAATTAGACAGAGACGCGAAAGACGTATAGGGCTGTCCTGTCGGAGCCTCAGGTAGTCATCCCGGAAGGGTACACCCAGGTCGAGTCACCTGCGCCCGCACCTGTAACACCGGCATCTACGACGCCTGCATCAGTACCGCCTGAGATCCCTGCTCCCAAGGCGGATCAGGCTAACGGAAAGAAGCGCCCTCGAGAGGAAGTCGCTTCGGGCGCTAGCACACCCACTCAAGGCACACAACAAGAAGGCGGGGCGTCCAAGAAGAAAAAGAAAAAGAATAAAGGTGGCCCGTAGCCGGGGCCGTAGCGGTATTTTGTCAACGACGTGTATCCTACCGGCATTCATGTATGATTTTTGCGTCGGTTGATCTTACTGTGCGCGCAAGACCCAGAGACCGAATACGTGTGGGTGTTGCTGCAGGGCCGGGTCGACGCAAGGCTGTCTCCCGACTGTGCCTACGTCGAATCCAGTATGCGCGATTCAACACATACGAGACTCCCAGTGGCATCGTCGGGTAGCTGCTTACGGTGGACGATACCCGTAGAGTCTCTCTGGCTTATCCTGCCAGAGCAAATGCCCGTAGTCAAACTCGACTCGCCACTCGGCTATCCGGGCCGAGGCGCCGAAGAGCGACAAGGCCGCGAGGCCCGCGAGGCTTGGTCCTCGCGTCCATCATGATCATGCCTCTACTAGGAATCAAGTCTATGAGTATGACGCTAGACAGGTTGCGCATGCAAGTATATCAGCTCGATAACTCTGTAAGGGAATCACTTTGCGCGGTACTCTGGCCGTGTGGGATCAACAGTTTGGGAGTGACAACGCCGCGGTTCCCGTCGTCCGTGCCGTCGCGTCATCCGCTCGCCGACTGATCATGCTGCATGTCCAGGCAGCATTTGACCCCTCTCCTCAATCTCAGTACGCGCGCAGTATCCGTACGTATTGTGATGTGTCGGAAAGCCTGTCAATAGGGGCTGCTACTCAGTTGTTTCGGGACGGATATGTGAGACAACTCGAACCCCGGGCGGTGTCCCTATATAACCAGCTCATCGAGGACTTCCTAACCCTCATTCCACTGCCTCTTATTCCGCATTCACGGACTGCTCTCATTATAAGTCCCTGATATCGTACTGACGTTTGGTTCTAGGTTACTTCATTGCAATTCATCCGGTCGGCGTCTCTTGGTCCGGTCATGGTTGTCTGTCCTGGTAGGATTGAACCAGGGAGACTCTACGGGCGCCGTTCACCGTGGCCATCAGTGCGGCGGGCGGCGCTGTCGGGAGTCTCGCACGTGTTGATTCGCACAGACTGAGTTCGACGTACGCGCAGACGGGAGACCTGCATTGCAGCTCTACGAGCACGGCCGATCATGTTTACCCTCTATGCCTGACCGCGTAGCCTTCAATGTGCACCGGCGGGCTCGAGAGTTGGTACTCGTGATCGGGTAAGCGTCGACGGGGTTGGTGTTGTTAAGATGATGGATATCAACGTGGAAGGATCTCGCAAGGGCGAGGTAAGTATGGTAAGGTATGTCAATTCACATTCGTACACCACTTTACGGGAACAAAGCTTTCATTGAACGAGTAGCGTAGGACTGTGGTGCAAGTAGAATCCGTGAAATACATTCTTTGTCCCAATATATATCTTTATTGACATTCGAGTCCGAGATGACTCGGAGAGCTCTTGCATCCTCCGATAGCGGCGGGATACATTCTTCGCGGTTCTAGTGATCATGCTCCAGTCTCATTCAGTCAGTACGTGTCCAACTCCAAGCCTTCTGCCCTTAGGCCCTGCACAAGGTACACAGCGGTCTCTGCCAGGATGGCTAACTTGCCCTCTCCGACGAAGGCCATGTTGGCACTGCTCGTGCCGAGAAAGAACTTGCCGATGAGCGAGCCATGCGAATCCCAGACGTGTACGCCGTCAGCGCAGGCAGAGTATACGTTGCCGAGCTTGTCGACCTGGATGCCGTCGGGTACGCCAGCATCGGCATAGGCGAAGAGACGGCGGTTCGTCCATGCGCTCGTATGTGGATCTACGTCGTAAGCGTGACTGTCAAAGTATTGTGAGTGATATGAGTAGAGCTCGGCGTTTGGACGGCGCGCACATGGTAGATGGCCGTGTATGATTCCTGCCCAAGAAGCCGCCTGCTGCGCCCGTGTCGCTCCTGCCAACCATGCGCGGTCAATCTATGAATATGCTGCGAAACATGGAGGCCACTCACACGTATGCCGTCTTGCCGTCCCCGGAGAATGCGAGCCCGTTACACCGAACGAAGCCATCTGCGACGGCGCGCACATCGCCGGTATGAGGGTCAAGCCGATACACCATGTTCGGCAACAGCGGCTCCGGGCGGAAGTGGTTCAACCATCCGTACCTGCGCGTGCATCGCGTGTTAACATTTACGCATCCACATCCGTCTCCGCATTCGCGGCGGCTCGGCATAATAGAGATACACGCACGTCGAATCGGTGAAAAAGATGGCGCCGGTCGTTGGGTGAACTTTGATGTCGTTCAGACTGTTGAATTGGCGGCCGTGGAAGTTGTCGAGGAGGACAATCGTGTTGTAGGGAGGGCGGGGGTTCGCGCGGACCATTGACGGCGGGAGGTAGGCACGGCCGGAGGTGATGAACAGGAGGTCGTCCTTGTAGTTCGTGCCGCCGTTTGTCATCTGAATTGTATCCGGGAAGTCTACCTGGAGGCGAGTAGTCGATCAGTGTCAGAAGCACATAAGACTGAGGGAGGATACTGACGAAGGTGACTGGAACGTTGACAGCACCATTCTCTCCGCGAAGCGCCTCAATCGCAGCGTCGACCTCTCGCAGGCTGATCTTCCCGATGACATTGTTGTTGTCCCAGTCGCTCCGACCCAATGCACCTCCGTCGTTGCTGGAGAACCAGAGCTCGTCTGATTCTCGAATCCAGATCGGCGACTCGTGAGCGAAAGCAAAATCGGGGTCGTAGGCGATGCGTATGATCGTAGCTTGTGGTGATAGTACATTCGCTAGGAAGGCTGGCTGGAAGACTTGAAAGAAGGGCGGGGTTGCATTGTGAGGATTGTTATGTTTCGCGAAGGTGTTAGTTGCTGGCTCATGTGAGGGACCGCGAACGTTGTAGATAAGAGGGTCGGCAATCTATCATCTCATGTCAGCGCAAGTCAAAAACGGTGAGCTGGCACACTTGCCACAGCTTGGGGTGGAAGGGGTCCAACATTCTCCCAGGTCAACTGTACTGGCGACTTGCGAAGGTAAGGGCGACCAAAGTTGAATATTGCAGGGAGCCTGGAAGGATCGTTCGTCGGCAAACAATGACATTGTGCATGAGAGTCATGGTGACTACAGTACACGCGGTACATCGGCAGGTCCCAACTCTACTACTGATAGCCGACTTCGCCGAGGCGATCACAGACTGAGAAACACACGTGATCGTGTTTAAGGTGGCGCCAATATATTCTTGGCCAAGGCCCAAGGCACTCAAGAGGATACTGCGCTGTGGTACGTTGCTACAGCGATTGCAGGTGGGATATACACCGCGCGGGTATTCTTCCGGTTCTGTCTGGTCACTTACAGAGCGAGAGCGGCCAATACATAGGGCTTGCGGATAAAATAGCCGCCTGAATGGGCCGGAGATTCCGCCGTTTTGAGATGCCGCGATGGCTGCGAGCCTCGAGTAGTCATCCCGGGCCGAGGATTACTTTGCGGAAAAGGGCGAACAAAGCGTCTTCTGGGAAAGGAAGAGCAACGGCAGGGGCTTAGGAAAATGCTTATGAACCGTGCCGAGATGGTGATAGGGAGAGTCAAGCTACGGGCGCGCTGATGATGATCCCGCGGCGCCCAGTTCCCGCGTAACACATTCGGACTCTGCCTTGGCCAAGCCGTACCTTGGACCGCTACGTTCAGCAGCGCACCGTTACCGCGTCCGGGTCTGTCACTCGCCCCTTCTCGCCTCTGCTCGCTGGTCGAACAAGGCCGCAATGCCGTTCTTGAAACACCAGCCGTCTGAGCAGAACGTCGAGGACGACGACGAGAATGTTAACATCGACCCCGAGCTTCGCCTCCGGACCGTCCGCACCGCCCACTCGACGATTGAAGAGTCGGTTCGGTTGGAACAGCGCGCAGAGCGCCGCAAGTCTGTCAGGCGCAAGCGCTCGCGCTTCTTTCGGAAGGACAAGGAGAAGCGGAATAAATCTGTAGATGGCGGGGCGCTGGGCTCTGTGGCGGAAGGGCAGGCGGATGGACCGGGAAAGGCAGCGGTGATCCCTGGCGCACGGAGAAATGTCTACGTCAATATGCCGCTCACCGCTATGGAAGTCGACAGGGAGGGCGAGCCGCTTGCCCGTTACGTCCGGAATAAAGTTCGGACAAGCAGTGAGTGTCAGAGTCCTTGCATTCATTGGCCCATTTAGGCTTACAATGAACAGAATATACCATCCTCACGTTCATACCCAAGAACCTGTACGAACAATTCAGGCGGTATGCTCACTCCCTTGCCTCGGATATGGCACCTGTACTGATTTGATATACAGTGTCGCTAATCTCTACTTTCTGGTCACGACTGTGTTACAAGGTGTGTACAACATGTTCATGTATTGTCTCGATACTTCTCTTGCCGTCCTTCCGCTCTGCTGCGGCTTGGATTGGCTGTGCTGTCGTAGCGCTACGACGACCCCTTGAGACTCGGACTTATGGCCCTAATCGGCGGTATCCCTCAAAGGCCCGGATCCCTGATAAATCCCACCGTTGTCTGCACAGCTGCTACCGCCAGTTACTAGCATCATGCCGCTCGCATTCGCATCCCTTCCGTCGTCGCTACTCCGCAGTTCCAGATTGCTAACATCATGAAATCAGTGTTCCCTCTGTTCGGCGCTACAACCCCGCAAATAGCCATGCTGCCGCTTGTATTCATTCTGGGAGTAACAGCCATCAAAGATGGGATAGAGGACTACCGACGTGCTCAGGTCGACGAGGAACTCAACACATCGGCTACGACGAAGCTGGAGAACTGGAGGAACGTCAATCAGCCCACGGACCCACGAAACTGGATCGAGCGGTTGTTCGGTCTCAACGCACCAGGGCGCGTCACGAAGGGTGTGAAGAAGCTGCGGGAGCGTGAGGCGGGCGAGGGAATGCGCATCATGCTGCGACGTGGGGACGCATCTCGCGTGAGCTTCACAAGCGAGTACAAGGACGCACAGAGTAATCTGTCGCTCGATATGCGTCCAGTGGGACCTGGTGGACGCGTGCTTGACGATATACAGTCCGCGGACGACCACTCGTACCCTCCCGCCGATCCCAGCATGGTATCTTTGGACGGTGCAGCCGCAGCAGTTGTGGGCAACCACGCACACTCCGAGAGCATAGGAGTGGCTAGCGACAAGACCCTGACGGGATCACCAGGCGGGGTCGTCAATTGGTCGAAGCGTGTTTCAGGTCTGGCGCGGTGGGAGCGTACGCTGTGGAAGAAGCTCGAGGTCGGCGATATCGTGCTCCTGATGGAGAACGAGCAAGTTCCCGCGGATATCGTCGTGCTCTCAACAGCAGACCCGGACGGCTCGTGCTTCATCGAGACGAAGAATTTGGACGGAGAGACGAACTTGAAGCCGAGGCGCGCGGTCGGTGCTACGAGTGGCATCCTGAGTGAAGAGGACATCGAGCGAGCAGCGTTTATGGTCGACTCGGAGCCACCGCATGCGAATCTGTATCTCTACAACGCGACACTACGGTATAACGACCCTCGCACAGGCGAACCACGGCAGGAAGGTGTCACCATCAACGAGTTGCTTCTACGTGGTTGTACACTACGCAATACGCCTTGGATCATCGGTCTCGTCGTCTTCACCGGGCCAGACACCAAGATCATGCTGAACGGCGGTGAAACGCCCAGTAAGCGTTCGAAGATTGAGAAGGAGACGAACTTCAATGTTATCGTCAACTTCGTTATCCTGATGATCATGTGTATCATTTGCGCGGTCGCGTACGGGATATACGAATCGCAGACGGGCACGAGCGCGTTCTATTTCGAGGCGGGAAGCGATGCATCGGACAGCAAGGTCCTCAATGCGCTTGTCACTTTCGTGTACGTTCCGCAGCTCCTTCTGTATCGCGCGCAAATGCTGACACTCATACAGGTCATGTTTGATCGCTTTTCAGAATATCGTGCCTATCTCGCTCTACATATCCATCGAAATCGTCAAGACCATCCAAGCGTACTTTATCAGTCAAGACGTGGACATGTACTATCCGGCCCTCGACACGAGTTGTGTACCCAAGACGTGGAACATCTCCGACGATCTCGGTCAAATCGAGTACATCTTCAGTGACAAGACCGGCACACTCACTCAGAACGTCATGGAGTTTCAGAAGTGCTCTATCGGCGGCGTGCAATACGGCGAGGCGATCACCGAAGCCCAGCGCGGCGCTGCAAGACGCGACGGTCGCACTGACCTGCTCGACCCAGAGGAACACGCACGCAAGCTCGCAGAGCAGCGCCAGGACATGATCACGACGATGACCCGCGCGTTCAAGAATCGATGGTTACAACCGGACCAGGTCACGCTCATCTCGCCACAACTCGCCGATGACATGGCGGACGTAGGCGGCGTGCAGCGCACTAGGATCATGGACTTTTTCCGCGCACTCGCTGTCTGCCACACCGTGCTCTCCGATAAGCCCGAGCCTCAGCGCGAGCCATATCGGTTGCTGTACAAGGCCGAGTCGCCGGACGAGGCTGCCCTCGTGAGCGCCGCGCGCGACGCTGGATTCCCGTTCCTCAACCGTTCGAAGGACTATGTCGAGATCGAGGCGCTTGGGCAGCCAGAGCGATACATCCCGCTGCGTGTGCTGGAGTTCAACAGCACACGGAAGCGCATGAGTGTGCTTGTGCGCAACCCGCAGGGGAGGGTGGTCTTGTACTGCAAGGGCGCTGACAGTGTCATTTACGAGCGTCTTGCTGCGGACTGCGACCCTGAGCTCAAGGCGCAGACGGCGAAGGATATGGAGACATTCGCCAACGGTGGCTTGCGTACTCTATGTATCGCCTGGCGCATGGTTGAGGAAGAGGAGTACTTGAACTGGATCAGGGCATACGACGCGGCGACGAGTGCTGTCGCCGACCGCGACGAGGAGATCGACAAGGCGAACGCGCTTATCGAGCACTCATTGCATATTCTCGGTGCAACAGCACTGGAGGATAAGCTGCAGGAGGGCGTACCGGATGCGATTGAGACGCTTCATCAGGCCGGCATCAAGCTCTGGATCTTGACGGGCGACAAGGTGCAGACCGCCATCGAGATTGGTATGTGATATGCTTTCTTCCTGTGCCACTTGTGCTGACCATGGCATAGCGTACTCGTGCAACCTGTTGAAGAACGACATGGAGGTCATGATCCTTTCTGCGGACACACTCGACGGCGCGCGCCTACAGATCGAAGGCGGTTTGAATAAGATGGCATCCGTACTCGGCCCACCTTCCTTCCGCCCGCAGGACCGTGGTTTCCTGCCCAACGCCAAGGCCTCTTTCGCAGTAGTCATCGACGGCGACACGCTCCGACACGCGCTTAATCCGGCGCTTAAGGAACTTTTCCTCACGCTCGGCACGCAGTGCGAGACGGTTGTATGCTGTCGTGTCTCGCCTGCGCAGAAGGCACTTACTGTCAAGCTCGTCAAGGAGGGCCGTAACGCCATGACCCTCTCTATCGGTGATGGAGCCAACGATGTGGCCATGATCCAAGAGGCGAACATCGGTGTCGGCCTGTTCGGTCTTGAGGGTAGTCAGGCGGCCATGAGTGCCGACTACGCGTTTGGCCAGTTCAGGTTCCTTACGAAGTTACTCATCGTTCATGGTCGTTGGTCGTATCGCCGTATCGCGGCCATGCACAGCAACTTCTTCTACAAGAACGTTATCTGGACATTCGGCGGGTTCTGGTTCCTGATCTTCAGCGGGTACGTCTATCTCTCCTGTCTGACTGATCTTCGCGCTGAAACCTATCCTTAGCTTCACTGCAACATATCTCTTCGAGTATACTTTCATCCTGCTATTCAACCTGGTCTTCACGTCGTTACCTGTCATCATCCTCGGAGGTAAGTTTCCCTTCACCCTCCCTAAGCAAACAGCCTCTAAGTTCTCGCAGCTTTTGACCAAGACGTGAACGCGAAAGCGGCGTTGGCATTCCCTCAGCTCTATATCCGCGGCATTCGTGGGTTGGAGTACACCCGCACCAAGTTTTGGCTTTACATGGCCGACGGTCTTTACCAGTCTGGCGTCATCTTTTTCTTCCCATACCTCATCTGGACAATCGGCACGCCCGTCTCATGGAATGGCAAAGCGATGGAGGGGTTGTACGACTTCGGTACTACTTCGGCCGTCGCTGCCATCTTCGCTGCCAATATCTACGTCGGCATTGACACGCATTACTGGACGATCATCACATGGGTCATCCTCATCGGCTCGAATGTTGTGATGCTCCTGTGGATCCTCATCTACTCGTTCTTCCCGACTCAGGACTTCTACTACCTGGTGGAGGTTCTCTACTCCAGTGTTCTCTTCTGGGCCACCGTGGTCTTGTCCGTGGCCACAGCGTTACGTAAGCAATCGTCATCAACGCAGTTAGTGCGCATATGCTCACCCAATCCTTCTAGTTCCTCGCTTCATCGTCAAGTCAGTCTCTTCCGCCTTGAATCCTACGGACAGCGACATCGTGCGTGAGATGTGGGTCAAGGGCGATCTCAAGGACCAACTCGGTATTAAGCACCGGCGCGAGAAACGCAATCGTACTCGCTCGGACATGGAGATCGCACCCATGTTCCAGAAACCGCACTGTCGGTCGGTATCCGAGTTCTCTTACAGCGACCCATACGAGCACCACCCCATCGAGTCCTCTACGCCGAACTCTGGTGTTGAGACGCCGCCTGCTATACAGGAGCCGTATGTCGACTCTCCGGTCAAGGAGGGGCAGACGCTGTCGTATATGGATGCGGGAGGGCGACCGACATCATATCTGGACGCTTCCAGTCCTATGACTCCACCAGGCGGGCAGCGCGGATTCCCCGTCATGGCTCCTTCTCCCGCCCCGTCCTACTACTCTGCGTCCGACATCCCTTCACCCTCGCCGATGCCATATCCCGTATATCGCCACCCATCTGACATCTATGGCTCCGTTGGCGAGTCGTGGGATCGTGAGCGCGTAGGCTCGTCGCTGCAGGTACCGCAGAATACGTACGAGATGCGTGTGCGTTCACCCGCCACGTATCCCGCGCCGCATCGACCACCACCTGACGAGGAACGCTCCCCAGTCGGTCGTCCGCCAGATGAGCTGCATCCGCGGGAGACAACTGATGCTTCGTATGCAACGGCGCCAGAAGGGCCTGGCGATCCAGATATGCTCGGGCATCCTGGAGACCGTGCTGACTGGCGTGCGAGCACGTACTCGACGAGCGGACCACACGCTATGTAGATCGCCTCGATTGTTTGTAACTTATATCTGCTTGCTCTCCCTCTCACCTTGCATTGCACTCGCCCTCATCTCTGCGTCAACCGCTAGTACGGACTTGAACCCTTCGTTGTCTTATACCACCATCCGCTTTCTTTCCCCGCTGCCGTCTCTACCATTCGTATTTCTGCTCCCGTGGTCTATAGCAGTACCCGTCATCTCGCGATTCCCTCATCCTGTAGTCCACTCATCGCTTACCCGGAACATGCACCCCGTCTGCACTGCTCGTCGCCTGCGCATCTACATCTCCACTAGATCTTTTGAAAATGCATGTAATCAATGGAAATATAATCCGCTCAATAGTCGTGGGACATCAATCTAGTCCACATATGGAACCTATAACAAGACGGGGAAACCGATTGTGATCAAATACTGCACAGAGCCGGCTAGTAATATACCAATGCGATATGAACAACCAAGAAGAATGCAAGCGTTCTCGCTGTGCGAGGGATAGATAGGAATGGTATAGTTATAGAGTAAACCTGTGAAGCGCAGCCTTCACAATCTCCAAGGTCTCCTTGCGCTGCGTGAGCTCTTTGCGTCTGGCAATGACGTCCTCGTCCTCAGAGAAGTACCGTTCGAACCGGTCCCTCACATCGTCGCCACCGACGTTGAGGGTCTTGAGCAGGTGCGGTTGAAGTTGCTTGGAAAGTCTGTATCGGGCCAGTTAGTACCAGAACCAGCATCAGGTTCCATGTTGAGTACGCACTCCCTCAGGAACTTAAGATCGATGAGCATCGGTATAATGTCGATGACACGCTGGAAACCGCGTCAGTAAGAACATGGATCGATGACATTCTATTCTCATACCTTAAAGGACACCTTGAAGTAACCACGGACGTACGCCATCACTACCATCTCTCGCTCGTACTCGTCTGGAGGGTTGAGGCGCTGCAGATCCTCGACGGTGAGGCCGTGGAACCCGAGACCCACGAGCTGCGCTAGAGCCTGTTGTGCTTTCTCGGGATCCAACGCGTTATTCGAGCGCAAGCCCCGCCGGGCGCGGTAGCGAGACATCCAGACATCTTGACTGGACTTGAAGTAGTGCTCGTTCTGAGTTGCGGGGGTACGCTCGGCCTCAAGGATAGCCGCAACGAAGGCCCATGCGTCTAAGCAGAGATTCTGAACCAAGTTCTCGATCGCATCTCTGCGCCATGGGATAGGTCAGACCATGTTATAGATCATCGGGAAAAGATACGCACCGGACGTGTCCGTGCAGGAACTCCCAACGGCCGAAATGGCTTCGTAGAAGACCCTGGAGCATCGCCTGGATGCGCTGGCGAACAGAGTCTAAGCATGTCAAGGCTGCTTTCTCCCACCCGCCTTGGTACTTGACAATGAGTGCCTGCTTAGCGGAAAGAGGTACGTCCCCCGGGAGTTCGCGCGAGAGTGACCTGATTGGACATCAGTCAGAGAGCGGGTACCGAGCCAGAATACACGTACTTCTCGATATGGTCGTGCATGTCGTCGAGATACATCCCATTCTTGACGGCAGCTGACTTCGCAGACTCAGGCATATCTTCCTCGTCCGAGTCGTCATCGAGATCGAAGTCATCGACAGCTGGGGAGCCAAATGGCGGGAAGAAAGGCGAAGTGCCGGGCGTGGAGGCGAGGCCGGTGGCAGATGAAGGTGCAGCAGCAGGCGCAGGCGCTTTCGCCGCAGCGCTGTTCTGACGAGCAGCACTGAAACCAGCAAACCCCGTTGACCCGTTGGTAACAGTTGCCGTAGTGGTGCTAGAACCAAACGCTGTGCCGGGGGAGCTCGATCCGAAAGGGTTCTTCAATGGTTGAGTCGCTGCAGAGGAGCCGTTGCCGAAGTTATAGCTCGGATTCCCTTGCCGATCGGCGAATGAAAAGCTGGCGGATGTCGATGGAAAACCCGCGGTACCAGCCGGGGCAGAAGCAGCACTCGGTCCAGGCGTGGAGGCGGCCGCAGCTGGATCTGTTACACGAGGAGTCGCAGGCTTGGTCGCAGGACGCTGCGGCTTCTCGCCACGAAGACGAGGAATGAACGTCGGCGCGGTGGCGCGGATAGTAACCTTGAACTGTTGGTACGACTGGCGACATAGCTGGATCAGTTCTTCATTGCCTTGGCTGCCTTTGACAAGCTCGGTCACGTCTGACGACAGCTGGGCAACAAGCCTACGAAAGTCATCAGCAACAGTCAGATGGACGAGGGCCAACAGGCACCCACTCGAGCATCAAGGCGACGACATCCTTGTCAATGGCCGGCGGGAGGTCTGCGAGTGATGTATCGCACTCCTCCAAAAGCTTCTTCGTTTCTGCCTGTAAGCGGGGTAGACTATGCAGGGTGCCATCAGGTTATGTCACTCGCTATGGGATCCGTGCAGACTACCTACCTGTCCTTGATGACCCGTTGCAAAAGAGGACCGATTTTCCGTACAAGGTTCTGAATACCGAAGTGGCTTTTGTGCGTAGATCCAGACCAGGGCTCGGTGGTTTGGAAGAACGAAATCTCGTTGGCGCGTGCAGTGGGATGGTCGACGCCTTGTTCTCGCTCCGCATCGTCAGGCTGGCGTGTGCAGTAGTACCCGTGAAGGAGTTCCTTCTTACGCCCCTCGATCACCTCAAGCCAGTTCTCTCTGGCCCGAGAGCCCGGTGGCAAGGCGTCAGCCTTCGTCAGGACGCCTGTTCGGTTTCGTCTCAGGGTCTCTGCCCAGATGCACACATAAGAGCTCACCGATGGTCCGTGTGCCATGTATATCAGCTTGGCGGGCGAGGGTGAGCGCCTTTTGGTTTTCGAGGTCATCTAGCACATGGTCAGAGGTTGTCGATAGCGTCTTCAGGCAGTGACGCACCCGTCATAGGGATTGTGACAAGTATGAGGGAGTTATCGTCCTTGATGTTGTCGACAACAAGCCCCTCCACCAACGTCACGAGAGTGGGGTTGTCGTGGACTTGGATGAGGCCTGTCGGATGGTTAGACCAGCCACCGAGTCAGCTATGTCGTCTGACGGACCAGGAAGATCAATGAAGGCCAGATCAGTCAAGTCTGGACCCCGTATATCGATGCAGACGACGTTTCTGGAGAAGTCGAGAGACTTCAAAGCCCCCGGAACGCCAGCCTTGAGCTGGGCGTGAGACATGGACAGCACGCGTTTATAGTCGACTTCAGGGTTAAGAACGGCAAACTGCGCACGTCGCAGAGCGAGTTCAACTTCTCCTTTGTTGGTGATCTGATCTCCGAAATATTGTTCATCGGGTTTGTCCTGCCGTCCTTTAAGAGTAATGCCATCCGAAATGGGAATTGTCACGCACCAGCTTCTTATTGGTCCTCTCGTCGTACTGCATGCGAATTGAGATCTGACATGACCATTGGCCTCTGTAGGATGCCATCCTGCACTCCATGGGACAGCGCGTACAAGTTCCAGCATCTCGTGGCACCGTGATCTGCAATGCCTGTCAGCAGAACGACTATGTGTGGCACCAAGCAGACTCACACCAGAGATAGCTTCGACAACGCTACTCTTGCCTATTTGAGCCGCCAAAGTCAGAGATGTGCTAGAAGAGTAAGGTGAAGTGCCACAACTGACCAGCCGACTGGTTCCCGATGACTACCACGCGTGGCACCGCAAGAAACTCATGTGCACTAAGAGGGATTTAATGTATATATAATATTGTAATGCACCTCAAACTTACCCCGCGGCTGTGAGTTTCTGTACGAGTTTGAGGAGGTTCTTCCTGTCGTCCGCATAACGGGAATTCGCTATAGTGGGCGCCGCGCCACGCGCCTTCTTTGAGACAGGGGAGCCCTCTGCTGGACCGCTAGTGTCGGATGGGTCATCTCGAAGCCTCTTAGACGGGTTCTCATCCATATGAGCGCGGGTAATGGCGAGTAGGACGATGTAAAGGCGGTGGACGTGGTGGTTCGGGTGAAAGGCAGAACTTAACGCGCTTCGGCGGGCGGAACGAACCTGAACGACGCGTCGCGACGCGGTCACGTGAACATTCGCACAGTACAATACCGACGCGGCCGTGGCCTCCGACCTCCCTCCTCCCGCCATCGTGTTGTGAGTAGTGCTCTTTTGGCTAAAGGCAAGACCGTTCCGAGCAACCCTTCATCTGGGCTTTTCTTCCGAGCGAAGGTCTTGCACATGGCGGAACCTACTCAGAACCTCCTTTACCTTGTCTGATCGGATTCGAGCGCGCGTCGCGCGGCACCGTCACGCCCTCTATAAGATGCTGAAACGTTGACTGTAGACGCCCATTGAAGCATTTTGCCTCCACAAAGACGTGTCAAAGCGACTATGGCTCATCCAGCTAAGAAAGTGATGGTCCTTGCTGGCGTTGGATCAGCCTCAGGTACGACCAGTAGTTCGGTCATGCAACGACTCTCCTCTCAACCACCTTCCTCTACATAGGTGTCGGTGGTGCTGCAGCGTGAGTCCTCACTCCTGGTTCTGATATGTACCAGTTTGCGAAGCAGGCACTGTAGGCGGTTGTTCGCGCAATCCGGCTACAACGTGGCGCTCATCTCCCGTGCGAGCAAGAAGTTGGATGAGTTCGCAGAGAGTGTACGAGGAGAAGGTGGTCAGGTGAGATACACCCCTTCTTAAAGATCTCCCAATTCCGCTGGCTGAAGGCTACTCTTAGGCTGCCGTGTTCCCGCTAGCATCTTATTCACATACCGACATGCAATCGGCATTTGCTGCTGCACGTTCGCATTGGTCAGATGCTCCCGTCCGGGTTGCGATCTTCAATGCAGGCGTCCCGCTGTTCAAGCCGTTTCTCGAGACATCGGAAGAAGACTTTCAGGCTACAGTCAATACGAACGTGATGGCCGCCTCGTCGTTCGCTCGCGAGAGTGTCTTGACCTTCAAGGACCAAGATCTCGATGAACATGGCAAAAGAGGGACACTCCTGTTCACGGGTGCTAGCGCCGCTCTGAGGGGCGGTCCTGTCACAGCAGCATTCTCGATGGGAAAACACGCTGTTCGCGCTCTAGCGCAAAGCCTTGGCAGGGAGTTTGGTAAGGAGAACATACATGTACGTTCCACTGAGACGGTCTCGCGGATCCTGCTCTGAAATTCATACCTTACAAATAGGTCGCGCATACCGTTGTAGACGGCCGTACGTTTACTGTCATATTAGGATAAGCATGTAATTGATCATATGCCGCAGTTATTCTACAAGAACATACCCGGGCATTCAAAGGAGAAGAGTGGGCATCGAATCCGGACGCTCGGCTTGACCCTCAAGCTATCGCAAAGGTATGGATTTTTCCCTTCCAGTGCGGAAGTCTCGTACTCTGTCTCAACTTGAGATTTTTAATAGGCGTATATGTATCTTGTCGAGCAAGAACGCTCCGCATGGACGTCAGAACTCGATCGTACGTGTACAGTCTGCTGTACCCTAAGCACCAAGCTGAAGGAGTTCTTCTTAGTTCGCCCTGCACATGAGAAATGGTGAAGTCCCCGTCAGTAATGAAAGTCTGCGGAGCTGTATTCTGTCAGAGGGATGGAGAGTTAGCATGCATGTACGCGCGCTCTCGTGTACTTACCACTGCATGCCAGGATGCTGTGAGCGAATACCGATAGTTTGTGAGTCGTACTAGCAGAGCGCTTAAGTCACCCTATCGCTCCATGCTGCCGAGTCTTCGTTTATGTACGGCTGAATGAGATAGCTCTAGTCCTGGCAACTACTGCCGGAGGGTTATACAGCGCGCGAGGAAGTGGCCCGAAGGGAGGCGCGCGTGGGTCCCAAGGGGTCCTAAATGATGGGCCGAGCCGCGAGCCTCGCGTCGCAGCCGCTGCTTGCTCTTGACCACCCCCAAGGTTCAGATAACGACTCCCCACTCGGAGGTCGTAATTGACGTCCATGCCGAAACTACCTTGTGCCTTTTCTTAGCAGAGCCAGTGAGCGTCCAAGGTGCACACATACGGCGCCTACTGGCAACAACACGCTCCGTATCTGGTGAATAATTGAATGAGCTTCACTCGCTCTAGTCCCCGGGATACTCTCAGGCACTCAATTGTCAGTCACACGATGATCTAGCTCAACAAAAGGAGCGGTGCTGTGCGTGGCAAACACCTTGTGATGGTTTTGGGTCCCTGTCCTTGTTTCGATTCGCTGCTGGGAACCCTCGAGGATCTACAAAGCGAGCTATGGCCCTGGTCACCCTGTTCTCTCTCAGCACCTTACTCTTCCCTTGTCCTAAGAAAGACCCTTAATGCATCCAACTCAGCTATTCCAAACCCTCGGCGTCCCCCCGCTCCTGTCGTCTAATCCGTACAGCGCATCTTCCTTCCCTTCGCTGCAACATCTCGCCAATCCGACCTTCTATCACACGCCGCGGCGGGCACCCGTCACAGCCCCTCACCCTGGCTATGTAATCTCAGCAAGCGCTACACCCGAGCGCAAGACCAAGGCGACCGGGACGCCTCACGCGAAAAGCCGTTCCAGGAGCCTCTTGCATCCCAGTAGGTGCCACTATCAGTTCTCACACACGCATTGCTAAAGCTTTGCACGAAGGTCCGATTGAATTCTACGACCTGAAGTCGCCTTATTTCGAGCACGTATCCTCAGTCTTCGCGCGCCGATTCCGCCACTGACCGCACGTCTAGGTTCAGTAACCGCTCTCCGCATCCGATCATTGTTCGTGATCTGTGCTACCCAACTGCAGAGCACTGTGAGCGTACCTCATTTAGCTTCTTCATCACAAGGTTGACTATCCTCACAGACTGGCTAAGCTCCCAATACATCGACTACATGCCTGATATTGCGGAGCTTATCCGAACGATGCCTACTGTAAAGCTCGCTGCTGAGTTCGCCGGGAAGTACGCCCACCTACGCAACCCGGACTGGAATCCTGGAAAGGAGCTCTACAAAGCCATGGAGCGCAAGTTCAAACAATATGGGCATCTGGCAGATATGCTCGTTCGTACGGGGCGTCGCCCACTTGTGTATGCGAACCCGGCAAGTCAGTCCTTGCGGTGCCAACGACACCCGCACTGATCCCGCATTCATGTAGAACGACAGGTTCTGGGGATACGACGGATCTAAGCAGATCGGAAAGAACATGTTCGGCATGTATCTGTCGAACGTACGCGACTACCTCCGCTCTGAAGGGTTCACGAAGGATATATCGCCTATCTTGATCACAGATCGAAGGAGGGATCCATATTTCGGGTACGCCGTGCAAGCCCAATCTGGGTACCCTATCACACCGCCGATGGCTGATATCCCTTTATAGCCTCACGACCTTCTCGGACCATCCAGTCGCTGATGATTCAGGCAACGTTTACAGGACCGCCGAGCATCGTATGCATTCATTCGAACTTGTGGTAAACGATTATGTGTTCACCTATCTCGATACAGTACTTCAAGCTCTACGGTTTCCCGATGACGACGAGATGAGGGACCATATACGAGAACAATTATGGCACTCGTCACCACAAATGGTCCAAGCTGAGGCTGACAAGTACTCACATCGGGGGCGCAGTGACTGGGACGACGACGTAGTCCTTCGCGAGAACTTGGTCAACGTGTTAACGTTGAAGATCTCTCAGCATCGGGACCTTCTCGAGCTATTAGAGGATACGGGAGATAGGGAACTCTACCGAGTGGGCCCAGTGAGTTCTATACCTGGGGCCTGGGCCGCCTGAGTCGTAGCAGATACTGGGGTGAGGCTGACCCTGATCGCAGAATCGCTACTGGCACCATGTGGACGGATCTGGTGAAAATCAATACGGGGAGATACTCACGACTATCCGCCAGGCGATGCAGAATAACCTTCGAAGTTATGGACTGACCAGTGTGCGGCAGTTGGAAGGCGTCGACGCCCCAGGACAGCATCATGTGCTGCACTTTTCCAATGAACCTGCCGGCCTACACCACTAGTAAGGTTTACTTCTTCCTTCGAGACTGGATGTATACTGATGTTCAATGCCCAGTCTTTCAAACTTCTTCGTCGCGCCGATATCAGACGGCAAAGGCAGGCACTACAACACTGCAGAGCACCGTAGGTTGACGTGGCATAAGAACCGAAGCACAACTCACTCACTGCATCTCTCTTCTAGTATTCCAAGCGCTAAGGTTTCGACATGACGAGGCTATGTTTGACTACATACGTGCTCAGCCGAGTGCGCTGGGAGCCCGCCAAGAGGCCGAAAAGCACTGCGGGCGACAGAGAGCTGATTGGAATGAAGTACGCCGAGACGTCATGGATTGGGTTATCCAGATGCGAACGTACCACCACCCCGACTTCGCTGACGCACTTGACGCCACTCAAAGCGCTGAACTCGTGTTGGACGATCCTGTAAGTCCTCGGCGACCTTCCCCCACGGCTCACACTCTCAACTGACGCCTGAACAGGAGGATACGTTTTGGAGCACTGGGTCGGATGGGATTGGTAGGAATGAAATGGGCGGTGCTCTCATGAGGGTCAGGCAGTGGCTTCGTGATAGGCGACCCCGAGGTGACGAGCATGACGAGTATGACGACGAAGATTAGCAGTGGAGGCTGAGGCTGCTGGCTGCGCACCATGTAATCTCTCTAAATATGATGCTACCATGCTTACGCTTGCTTACATCTGGTGCTTCTTTGATGCGAACGAAATGAAATGATAGCGCCTCGAGGCTTGTTGAATCACAGATCATCATATGGCTAAATAGTCGATCCTCATGAAGGGTGTCCGGAACAACTGGCTTCTTCACTCTATTTTGCGTTATCTGCGCGCTAATTCCAACTTCGCTACGAAGAATCACAGAGGAGCTGCCGCGCCCGATGCATTTCCGATGGAAAGGGAAAGTACAGATACAGTACAGAGCATGTGAAAGCAAGATGATGTACAATGGAAGTGTCCGTCGTAAATGTCATGAAATCAACCTTCGTGGCCGCTGCAGAGCGGGTCGGTATTACCAGGGAAGCAGTCTGCAGTGCTTACGCAGTACTATGCCATCGAATCAGCTCAGGTTCGAATGCCATTACCATGAAAGTACACTCACGTCATTGCCGATTTGTAGGTTGTCGCAGGCGTTGTCGACGTTGTCGTTGAGCAAGACGAAGTCCGAGACAGACAGGTTGAAGTGGCTGGCCTGGTCGTTACATGTCGTCTCCCAGGCCGTGCTGTTGAGCGTGCACGTCGGTTTGAATTCTGGATGGACGATCAGTTGAAGGTGAAGAGTCAGACAGATATGAACGGACGTTGCAAGCATACGGTCGGCGTGTTCATGGGTGCGTTGCCTGCACAGCGTCAGATACCGGACGTCATGCTGACAGACTGTCGGGAACTCACATGAAACGCCCGGATTCATATTCTGGATACTCGAGACCGGAATAAGCGACCACGCCGATATGGACGCGCAACTATCGGTTTTTCTATGAAGTATCCCCTCATGAGGTCATGCGTAAGGCGGAGAGGTTGCATGTCGAACTCACGTTGGCCGGTATGTCTCTATGCGACAATCAGTATACCCTTCAGAGAATCGCATTGTACTTAAGACGTACCGACACACTTCGTACGAGGACCTGCGGCGTCAACCAACGTGGCCAGAATGGATACAACAGCGACAGAAAGCGTAACGAGCATGACAGATGGATCTGCGGAGTGCGCGAACGAGAGCAGAGAGCAGATGCTGGCGATCCTCAACGCGGGGCTTCAGACTTTATAGTCGCCAGCATGGTTCTAGCGCAAGCTCGATGACGCCAGTGCGTATGCCCACCTCGGGCAAAGCAGAGGCAATTCAGCGGAAGAATCGGCGGTCGTGATTCGTCACGAACCGACCTTCGGAGGCATGTGCTGCCACACGATCTACCTCGTGCCCGGCGCCGTAACCATGCTCATCGAATCTAAGATGTTACCGCCGGGAGGACAATCACGCGACAGCGCGCGAGCGTATCGTACATATTGGGACAAGGTCGATCTGGGCAGTCGTGCATTTCGGCCTGAGAACGCCCGGCAATACGAGGATAACCACCGTGACTATAGATAACGCCATCACAAAGATGCGACAGTCGCACATCGTTACATTTGCAGTAGCTCGCATTGTTCAGGATGCATCAGAATACTCCCAGCGCGCGCCACTGCCTTCAACAACATGCGCACCCGGCTGACCTTCCAAGAGATCAACACCGACACTTCGCAGAGCATTGACGCACCACTCAGGGTACCCCTGTTCGCCGAAGTAGTCTTTGAAGAATGACTTTAGATATGTTGGGAACTCCCCCTCCATAATTGCGTTGCGAGCTCCGCCCATGACCCGCGCCTGGAATGTCAAGTTGTGAAGGGAAACAGCTATATGATAGGAAAGTCAGCGCATCATACAGATGAAGTGGGCAAAAGAGCACTATATTACCATGGGCTGCAGCCGTTTCTCTCGTCAGCGTGTGATGTAGCATGGCACGGGACGTCCCGTCACTGCATGTCGGACAAGGGCAATCGCTATCTATGGGCAGAAGATCTCCTGCGTATTTGCGTAAACCTACGGGTACCTCGGGTGAGCACCTCAGCAGTCGAGTTCGGGATAGAGACATACGGAGGTTGAGCGAGCCTTTGTGTGTCAGCGCCACACCGAACCGCGCGGTTCTTGTGGGGAAGACGCAGTCAGCCTAAGCAACTCAAACGTCGGTAAACAAAGTGGGGCATGACGTGGAAGATTTTATACCATATCGATCCCGAGAGCGACACAGACGAGTAAATCTAGTTCTCATCACATGAGCAGCGCTGGGCGTACTAATCACTTTGTCATCACCTTCTGCGTAACCTATCCCCATGGCGTACCGAGGACCTGTTTGGATGTAAGACAGTGGGCGCGCGGCGGTAGATTGACAGTGACTGACGATCTATCGGTAGTCCGTCGGCACATTGTTTGATGCTGTGAGTATTCAGCGAAGAGAAGATTAGCCCTTAGGCTTGGTGTATGCGTACATCTTCCAGAATACCTCTTGAACGGTCGTTCAGTACATAACGAGAGTAAAGTTGCGCAGGCTCGGCACCTTTCTCCTCTCCACCGCTAAGGCCACCCACAGCATATCCGGCAACCCGGTCTTTGCGCTTTACCATCTCGTCCAAGCATTGTGCACGGAGTGCAGGATCCAATCCCCCCTGCACAATGGCGAAGAGGTTCTGAATATCTTGTCGGCCAGACGTCTCATGGAAGTCGATGCATCGATCCAACCACCGCACTGATCTGCGCGAAGCTTCCTCCACACGGGGTCCGGTCTCGAGGCTGGGAACTGGAAGGAGATGCGTACGTTAAACCCCAGATATGACGAAGACGGTCAACTAAAAAAGGGATCCTCAGGCTGACCTACGTCGTCAAGCTGCATAATGATGTCGGCACCGATAGCATGTTGTATCGACATGCTTTCTTCTGGCTATGCTAAGAAGATCAACGCGGACCCCAGATGCGGGGTGAAGCCATCATACCGTCAACATTGTCGGTGAACCATCAAATGGGCTGGCGAACAGGGCCCCTTCTTCTGTTATTTTTGTGAACTTGCTGAGAGAGACTAAGCATAGCAGTCAGGTTACTTGCGCCGGCTGCCCCTTGCTCCGAAAGTTCAGCTTTACCGAGTTGGAAGCCGCCGCTATCCTACGAATTGCAATCAGGGTTGCGTCTGAATGCAGAAGCTCGGACATACAGTAAGTAGATTGTGATTCCAACCCTGGAACTTGTGTGCGCCGCCAGCCTCTTTCAAGGTTTCGATACCAGGCCGAAGATTGAGATGATACGTATTATTCAGTATAAGCGAAACACCGAGGCTGTCCATTTGCTGGGGTGTAAGCCCCTTGATCGCAGCTTGAGTGGCCACAGGCATAAAAGTCGGTAATGCAGTGACACCGTCTGTGAGGATCGAGGCAATATGAATACGCAGATATTGTGAAGATTATGCTCTAAGGCTTGCGGGTCCGACTTACGGGCCAGCTTCATCCGAGAGACTCGGGCTCGTGTGGTGTGGCACGTCGCCAAGACCTCGAACTGCATTATCGAACAAGCTTGCGCCAATAGGCTAGAAGCGGAAGATGATGGATGTCAGATGGGTGGTGGTGGCCCGCAGCAAACGCGAAATCAAGCTTCGAGACTTGCGGACGCGCCTTGCGGAGTTTACCGGCCCGGCTGGTAACGCGCTCAGTTGACTTGTTGGCAGTAACGTCCACGGACGCGTCAGACCCCTTGCCTCTCAGTCGATGCACCGCTTTCTGCATGCGGCTAAAGCAGCTTCTAAAGCTAGTTTGAGAACTCGATTGTGCTTCAGGAGACACTCTACCTCAACACATGGCCTGCTCGACGAGCTAGAAGGTCGCGGGTTCGTGTCGCAAACGACCCGGTAGGCCTGGACAGCACTGCTATCTCCACCCTGGCTGAGCTTCGTGACAAGACCAGAAATCTTGCGATCTTTACTGGAAAAGAACACCAGTACCGTTTACTCTGGCATTGACCCCACTGGCGTCTCGCTACATGTGGGGCACATTCTACCTATGATGTCCTTGGTACACTTCCAACTTCGCGGACACAAGACTATCGCCCTGGTATGCCCCATGGTCGGACCCACTTGTGTTGACCCTGACTTCGTTAAAGATAGGCGGCGCGACAGCTCTGATCGGTGACCCTTCTGGTCGTTCGACCGAACGGCCACACATGGCAGAAGAGCGCGTCGAGGCGAACTTCGTCCGCCTCCGTGCTAGCGTGGAGAGGTTCTTCGAGCACGCGCAGGACTATGCAAGCTCACGATTGTCGGCCTCGCTCCACGATGAGCGCTACAACGTGCGCATCCTGAACAACGCAGACTGGTTCCGCCGATTGAACGTATTGGACTTCTTACGCCTGGCAGGCACGCACGCCAGGGTCAATGCAATGCTTGCACGCGAAAGGTTGTGCTGGCTCCTAAACGCATAATCCAATTTTAAATCTGACTTCTCATCAGTGTCCAGTCACGCCTCAATTCTCAACAAGGCATCTCCTTTTCGGAATTCAGTTACCAACTCCTCCAGGCGTACGACTTCCTATGGCTTCATCAGAACACTGGTTGCACTGTACAGATTGGCGGCTCTGATCAGTGGGGCAACATCGTCGCCGGTATCGATCTTATCAATCGCACTGCCCACGGCGGTCAGGCAACACCGCTCGCATCCGAGGAGGAAGACAGCCCGCAGAAGGGTTTTGGTATCACAACACCGTTGCTCACCACCGCGAGCGGCGAGAAATTCGGGAAAAGCGCGGGCAACGCCGTCTGGCTCGACCGGTCCCTGACGAGTGTATTCGACTTCTACCAGTTCTTCCTACGCACGCCGGATGCCGATGTAGGCCGGTACCTCAAGCTATTCACTCTTCTCCCTCTTTCAACCATCGAAGAGGCGCTCGTAGAGCACGCGGTACGTCCCCGCGCCTTCCTCGCCGTCGGGCCCGCGTTGTACTACCGCTGACTCCCGCGAAGAAACACCCAGAGCTGCGTGCCGCGCAGAGGCTCTTGGCTGATGAGGTCACGACCCTTGTCCATACCGAGGATGGCTTAAGGCATGCTCATGCGGCGACGCGTGTGCTCTTTGGAACGGACCTTGCAGATGTACGGGCCGCGGATGCGGTGAACGCACTCGAGGGCGATCCGCGGCTGCATACCGTACAGGCGGCTGACGCAGTCGGCGTACCTGTCGCTCGCCTCGCGCAAACGGTCGGGCTCGTCAAATCTTTCGGTGCGCGATCGCTCGTCTTCTTTATCCTCGTGTATGCCGTATTGACTGTGGCGGTCCTTGCAGGTGCCGCGAAAAGCTTGATCAAGATGGGCGGTCTCTATCTGAACGGAAAGGCAATCTCGATAGATAAGACTCTCGATAACACCGATCTTTTGGACGGCAGTCTGGTCATCTTGCGTGCGGGGAAGAACAATCATGCGATCGTGACCGTACAGTAGAGGTCTGCCGATCCGGCTGCCAATGCCGCTACCATCTCCCGGCTCATATGCGAAGCCGATGCACCACCGACGGATGAAAAGAGTTATTGCGAGCCATCTGACCGTTATCCTTGGTTCGCATGATGTTATACAGTAACCAAGATCATATAATGCCATACAGTATCGTAGGATGGGACAAAGTACACAGTTGGACGTCGAAGTTCGCATAGGAATGAGGCTATCGTGAAAGTCATCGAAGGTATCAAGTGAAGTCGGAACGAGCGACGATAATTGTACAGAGTAAAAAGCTACATGGCGAGTGAAGAGGACACGATTAGCCCTAGTGTATACAGTATAAGATAGTAATAGATCAGGAAATTGGTACTCTGCGGCCCTAGATGACGGCCCTAAATGATGAAGCGACTGTTCGTGTTCTGCGTGGCCATATATCAGCGGGCTACCAGTATGCGAACGTGAAACCGACGCACAATGTGATGAGAGCTCGACAACTGCGGCTTCTGGCTGTACTTGTTCTTCAGTACATCCCTGACGCCCTTCAGCATGTCCTGGTAGCTGATGTTCGGATTCCGTTCTACATGCTGTGTTAGTCACTGATTCATCTCAAGGCAGGCAGATGCACACGCACTGAGGATCTTCACGAAAGCATGGCTCATCGCGCCCACGGCCAGCCCATTCTGCACCGTATCCGCGCTTGTCTGACTATCCGCGCTACCGCTCCAGGTGATCACGTCCGCAGGTGTCATGCGTTGCTTCTTGAACGCCGCAGTTACGTCGCTACCCTTTTGCCGGCCGTTCGAGTGATAGAGATACGGAAGATCGAGGATTGAGCCCGAGTGGCAAGAGTCGAAGAGGGCCGTGAGGCGACAGCCGGGTGGGAGAGGTTTGACGAGGATCTCGTGTAGCAGCTGTGCGGCGTGATGAGGTTAGTGCGTTGAAGGAAGAGTTGGCCAAGGGTGACGTACATCATCGACGATGATACCTGCCGTCTTGTAGTCGACCGGGAAGATAACCTCGTCCATCCCATCCGCCTCATCTCCATCGCGATCACGTACTTGTCCTCCGTGTCCAGAGTCTACCCAGTATTAGCAACGCTCGACCAAACCCGAAACCGAAGCACTCACAATGGAAGAATAAAGCATCATCCTGCTGGGCGTCCTTCACCAACCACCTCATTGCTGCCAGCATATTCTCCCTCGTCGGCCTCGACCGTGGATCATTGCTTGTATCCACCAAGTACAAAATGTCCTTCTTCGGGTACCCTCTCTCCGTCAAAAAGTGATACATGTTCTTGGCATCGTTCACACATCCCTCGAGCGCCTCCGCGGTGCCTGTATAGTTCACGCCGATGCACACGGCCTTGCGCCGCCCCGTACAACGCGAAAGCTTGAAGAGCGGGTGCATGAAGGAGTGGTTGTGCTTTTGCTGCGGCCGCTGCTGGACTGGCTGCTGCATCGGTTGATGTGTGGGTTGCGAGTACGTGCGTCGGTGCGTTCTGAACAAGTGCATATCCCGGGGCACTGAGGGTTCCGCCATCGGCATACTTCTTGGGGGCTGGTACGACGATCCCAAGCTTCCATACTGCCCATGGGTAGAAGACCCCGCATACACGGGAACTCGTTCATGTTGCGCCGACCCAGCGTAGGCCGGTACCTGCGACCCTGCATACACCGGCGCGCCATGCGGTAGAGGCTGGGCGAAAGACGATGCGGTGTATGGCGAAGACACCGGCGGTCCGTAGGTGTTTGTCGCGGCCATCGGCGGCGCGTAGTACTGTGGGTGCTGCACATGCGGCTCGGAGTAATCTGCGAATGATGGAGAGGTGTCATGATTTACATTGAGAAGGAGTTGTGATCGCAACGAACGCGTACGGGAAGTCAGTTGCGGCGCGGGGACGACGATCACTGGTGCTTGGTTCTTCCCGCTGCTGCTGTGATGTCTCGGCCTTGAATGGGAATGCGAGTGTCCATGCGAGTGAGTGCGATCGCGAGAGTGCGAGCGGTGGTGGTGGTGGTGTTCATGTCCATGCGACTCTGTGCGCGAGTGGTGACGAGAGCGACTGAACGAGATCAGGATTAGCGCTGAGGGCTGCAGGGTCCGCGAGGGAAAGAGGAAGCGGCGTACGATGTCGAGGAGTGATGGTGTCCGTCGTTGTGCGAGTTCTGGGAGTGGTGTCGTGGGCGCTGGTGCTCGTGTCTGGCAACGCAGGTTTAGCTTGACTAGCTCGATCGATGCATGTTCAGGAACGTACGGGTTCGGACTCGGTACGGGGAGATACTCGCGCCTGTCACTATCACTGGTCAGTATAGTGTGCATCGTGCATAGCTTCCATTCGTACTCACCCTCCCTGGATGAGAGGTTGTCCCATCGGTTCGAACGGCCTCGCAAACGAGTCTTGTGTTCTGTGTCGTCGAAACCGATTCCGACACCGTCGTAGTGCACGGCGCAAGCGCGATTCGAGACCGGGATAGCAGATCATGGGCGGTCGTGAAAGTCGTAAAGGGTCGTAGCGGGGAGAAGGGACAGGATTGATCAAGAGATGGGAGTTAAGGATGGGTTTGTTGTCAGAGAGATGCTGTTCGGGCGGCGAGACATGGACAGGGCGATACGTACGGGAATCTGGGACGTCCGGAGTTCGAAGCGAGCAAAGCAAGCCAAATGCATTCGTTCAACCTCTGGGCGCGAAGGGACGGGTTCCGCTGTACTCACGGTACGGACATGCCGAGACAGCAGTGCTAACACTAGCGGGGACGCAGAGATCGCTGATTCGGGCGACAATGGGAAACAGGTCAGATGTGCTGCGGTGCTCGAAGCGCGGAGGAAAAGTAGATCAGGATCCGTTTTGTGCTGTGGGCGCCGTTATAAACGACCTCTGTCCTGCGAGCGCCCTGAAAGTATGAGACACAAGAGATGCTGTTCCCAGCTGATAAAATAAACGCTCGGCGCCGCGTCGATCCCGCCGGCCGACGCGTCAACGAACAACGACGTGACCGCGTCTTCCGAGTTCCCCCTGATACGCATCCCGCTCGACGCGTCGGTCTCGGAGGCTGTTTTACTACCCCAGTAGCACATACTGGCTCCCTCTGCCGTCCACAAGCGAAGAAAGTACTAGTCGGGGAGATAACGCTGGGAGAAGCCCAGACGCGTCAGCTGCCAGACTGGATTCGGCCTTGGCGGATCGAGCGCCCGCTTTCATGTCATGCATATGACATGCTTGACAGTCCGACATGCACCGCCCACACAGGAGTGCGCGGGACAGCAGCGGATCATCACCCCGTCCGGGGATGCCACCTCCGAGACCAAACTCGCCACAGACGCCTATGCGGTACGACGGTCCGAGCATAGTCACTTCCAGTCAGAGAAACTAACGCAGTACGCGCAGGTATAGAGCCAACAGCACACAGTAATGGAGTGATGACCACGGCCATAGAGCATCCCGTTCCAGAGTTCTCTCAGTGCGCAGATCATATCCAGCTAGAAAAAGGATACACTGTATTCGTATGTAGGTAGGTAAATCCAAGCAGTGCGTGTCAACGCACGTACAACATGAGGAAGGAAGCAGGCAAGCAAGCGAGAAAGACAACATCAAACCCGTAAAATGGCGTAGCAGTGGCGTAGGTAGGTAGTGAAAAGGGCGTAACAAAACATGAAACGTGAACATGAAGCAGCATAACTGAGAGCAAACAATAACATAGAGCTAAGATCCGTAGCATCGTCGTCCTCGGTCCAGGGCGCCAGCTTCACATGATAAAGCGCCGGCTGACATTCTACAGCCACAACCCCATCAGCACCCTCTTCGTCATGGATGGCGAGAGACAGACTCACGATTCGATGACTCGCGCTCAGCTGCGGTCGCTGGTGGAACTTCCTTGTATTCCTCCTCAGCTCGGTCAAAAGACCCGCAAAGCTGATACCCGGGTTATTCCTGATAGCTTTGACGAACGCATAGCTCATTGCGCCGACTTGAAGCCCATTGATATCAGCGTCCGCTGCCGCGCCGCTGTCGGTGGACCCGGACCAGCATATAACCTCTGCGGGTGTCATCTTGGAGGCTTTGAACTTGGGCGTGACGTCGGTGCCCATTATGCGACCGTCAGAATGGTAGAGGTAGACGAGGTCCATGATGGAGCCGGAATGGCAAGACTGGAACGGGTGGTTAGTGGCGGAGAGGTGCGTAGAGATGGAGAGCTTACGTCGAAGAGAGCCGTTAGACGGCATGCTGAAGGGAGAGGCTTGACAAGAAGGTCGTGGATTGTATCGTCGATGAGCACACCCTGGTCTTCGTAGTCCACCGGGAATATCACTGATCTTCGAATCAGCACTTCGTCTTACACTTACAATCCAGACAAGCGTCACGCACTTTCGTCCATCCCGTCAACCTCGTCTCCATTCGTGTCTCTGATCTGCCCTCCATGTCCAGAGTAGTGGAAGAACAGCGAGTCGTGAGGTTGAGCATCGTATGAGAGCCACTGCATCGCACGCTGGATATTCTGCTTTGTCGGCAAGTTGCGCTCATCTTCGGCTTCGTCTGTCAAAACCATGACGTTTTCGCGGGGGAACTTGAACTTATCTATGGGTATCTCGTCAGTCTCTGTGGAGATGCATTCATGTCGTTCGCACGTACCGACAAGCAGACGGTACATCCTCTTCGCGTCCTCAACGCACCCGTCCAATGCATGGCTCGAGCCGACATAGTTAATTCCGACCTGCATCTCGCCATCAGTGACCCGTTACGTGCATGCAGAAGGCGCGAATACACACGCAGACGGCTTTCTTGTTCCCCGTACACTTCGACCACCCGAAATTGGGATGCTCCAGTCCGCTGAGGTTCTTGATCCTCCTCAACGTCCTCGCCGCGTCGTACTCGCCATACACGCCATCGTCGCCCGCATCCTATGCATTCGTTTCAGCGCGGATCCTTCAAGTCCTGCATGAACACCATACCTGCTGCAAGTTCTCTCTCCTCCTTCCAGCTCTCGAATGCGTCGTCCCGTATCCGTTACTCCGGCCGAGCGTCGCGCTTCTCGTGACCTGCGGCGGTGCAGGCGGAGGGCCACTCTCGTTCGAAATGTTCCGACTCCGACTGTGCGCGACTGGCGGTGGAGGCGGTGGAGCATCTGATAATCCACCTGAACGGTTGCGCGTGCGATTGGTGCGTGTTGTACCGGACCTACCGACGGCAGGGACTGGGCCGCCATTGTGTGAGGGCGCTATGGAGCCCGCTTCGCGGATGCGAACGGGAAGTGGCGGCTCATCGTCGTGTTCAGCTGTAATGACTAATGTCAGCGCCTATCAGGAAGTTGAAGGAATGAAGGCGAACGCACTGGGTACGTGTGTCGTGACGTGGTGTCCTTCGTGCATCGAAGCGGGAACATAACCGTGCTGGTCTGGATAACCCATCAGATTAGAGTGCAAGCTCGGACCCGTAGTCGGGAAAGGGTGCAACGGCGCTGCTGCCGGATTGAGCAGCTCGTGTGCGGGATACTGACCCGGATATTGGGACATTGTGTGATGTGAGCGTGCGTAGGAGCTTCCAGGTGGCGGGACCATCATCGTGCTGTGACCTATATGAGTATACAGATTCCAAATACATCGGACTGGTGGCTTACGGAGCAGCACTACGAGCTGTACCGGCTGGGCCGAGCATCGAATGATCGTCTGTATGTCTGTAGGGCCACGTGAGTGACATTAACGCAGAAAAGTGTGGCGCCATACATGGAGCCGCTGCGGGAGTGCATGATGTGCTCGTCGTGGTCGTAGTCGCCGGCTATATACTGCGAATCGCTGCATGTTCATCATGAGGCTCCAAATCTTCAAGCGGGACCCTTCTCAAACGTACTGGGGTCTGGCAAACATTTGTTCGCATCAGTAGCCACGCTCCATACAACGCAGTCGTATAAACGCACGGGGGTAGCATTTCCGAGTCCGCTCTCTGCCTTGTCCGTCTCCTCAGCAGGCCCTTCCGCTTCGGCTTGGGCTCCTTCGGTTCCTTCGGCTCCTTGTCTCCCTTCTTGAAGACGCTCTTTACTCGTTTGAACATGGCTACAGATATGCGGTGATGGGATGAGGCAGGGAAGGTGTCGCGAGGTGGAAACGAGGCCGGATGTGCGAGTTTGGAAACTCTCTCTCAGACGGTCTAGATTGGAATTCGAGTCAATAGGCCTCAAGGCGGTGCAGTGGGGAAGAAGAGAGGTTTCGCAGAGAGAATATTCGTGAGCAGGAAAAGCAGAGCAGAGAGCAGAAACGCGAGTCCGCCGCTGACGGTCGCGGGTGTGGTTCGCGGAAGCAGACCACCTCTTCCTTGCAAACCAGAAATCAACTCAGTTACACGTGCCTCGCGCGCGCCACGCCCTCGGCCGAACCCGACGCGCGCTCGCAAGTCGCGTCTTGTGCTTACACCACGATGTGCCTAAGCAATCATGATCATGTCCAACTCATGTAGTGTGCACTCGGATACTTCTCATGAGCGTACATGCTACAGCTCACTGTACGGGCATTCCTACAAGGCGACTATGTGACGCTCACGGTTCGCCTCCCGATGATGTAGTCAAGGTACTACTAAGGGCTAGGGTATAGCCATAATATTGCCGTGAAGCACCAATATACCCTATGCGGGACTCTCGGCCTGACAGTCTCTCTGCCTTTGCATAACCCCAAACGGCGACAGGTCAGCGTAGGCGCATCTTCGCGACACATCTTCGAAGTGGAACTCCAACCGTGTATGGGCGCTATCTGTCTTCACGGAAGTTACCCAAGATCATCCCCGTTTGTTGTGCATTGGTTGGCGACGTACTGACGAGTTGCGACCCCGATGGATACAGGACACTCGCTTGCCACTAGCGTCAATACCACTAAACAATGGATGACCAGTCACCCCCCCCTACCTTCTTCATGTCGGTCAACCCTCGGTGGCAGGCACAAGCTCATCCTCCTTCAGTCACGGATGGTCTACGCGTGTGAATCTATGTTCGGTATCATGTACGTCTCATAGCGATAAATATACGCCCACCCAGTGCTCACCTTCGGTTCCTAGTCACTAAGAGCGCCTTGAAACATGCACGAGATCCTCGCGAATCGAAGGGCTACTCACAGTGAAAGTCACACACAGCCTGAGTCATTCCCTCCACCACGCGTATGGCATCCTTCTCCCGCACAAGCGCTTGAAGGACCTAGATAAGCACACTCTATACCTGGGCGGAGCCGCCTGCCTTCCGATCTGTGCGGCTTCGCACGCTCAACGCGCCCCCTTCCAACTCCAGAGTCCAACACAATCTGTAGAATGCCGGAATGGAGTAGTCCAGTCGAACTGGAAAAGGACGGGCGTGAGTCTTCTTCTTCGCTATCGCATGAATCCCACGGTTATTGAGCGTGGATTACCTAGTCGTATTCATTCGATTGAATAGCCTTGTTGCGGGTGTTATGATGTGCGCATGCCTCGTACCAACGATTGCTGTGCTGTTAGCTGATATGATGTCGCAGCTGGGACTGCGTCTCGACATTAGAATATGAATGGGGAGTCTGGTTGGGTCAGCGGAAGTATCTTTGGACCATCTGGGTACGTCCAAAACACCTGTAGTGGATCATATGCGATGGTTAGCTCTGATCGACTCTATCACTATAGCTTTACTCTAGCTGCCGCTTCTTGCTGTTCATCTTCTCCGCGCTTATGCTGATCGCCCAAGCCACCATTGAGAGTAATTGCACGGTGCATACATTTGCTCAGACTTTTTACGTTCACTGAACATCAACCTCGATCCGCACTCGTTATAGGTCCTCGCTCTGACTATTGCTGTGCGTGTCTTCCCGCACAGTCACTAAAGCAGACTGTCATGGACTGACGGGCGAGCAGGTCGTCTCATATCTCAATCTGTCTATCACAGCTCTCCTGCTAGCTCTCCGAACGTGCGTAACCACACTTCAGGCTGGTGAGGACGCGCGTTGTGACGCTTTCTGCGGCCAGCATCGCCGTTTGGGAGCGCAGAAGGATAGTGCTCTTCCTATCTCACGGGCTAGTCGCAGTATGCTTCTGCGTCAATCTCGGAAGTCTAGCTCTGGTGTGTTCAACTTCCTCTGGCTGGCCGTGATCATAACTGGAACATCTCATAGGACGCCCGAGTCTTGCAAGTGATCAAGTCAGGGACTCTCGATCTGCAGGGTTGTTCCGGGACGAAGACGAACTCGCGACTGGCAGTCGTGATAACCGTCTTGGGAACGGACGGTATATTGATCGGGATGATGATGACGGGCTTGGTCCGCATGCCGAAGGAGATTCGACGAGGTATTATTAAACACCTGTATATGTCGGTAAGATGGTATGGTCGTCATTTGCCTTCGAAGTGCTCACTACCCTGAGTACAGGGATTACTATGGATGATGCTCGTCGTCGCCGTAGAGGTCCCCGTTTTCGTGCTCAATGTGCTGGATCTTAACGGTACGTGGAGCCCATGTGTGCAGGGATGCGTCACTGAATGTGGGCTCGTAGGTACAATGAACGATGTAAGCAGACCGTCGGCATCCCTCACAAATGCAATATGACTCAACCTACATGCAACGCAGATGCTTTCGTCCGTCGCCATCGCAGGGGCGTGAGTGGAGAAACCTTCGAACTCTAAGTTGATAGCAACTTGAGCTGACACAAATGCGCAGCTCTATATGCGCTACCCGCCTATACCGTAGTCTCGCAGAATGGACCCACGATATCGAAAGGTGTGCCTAAGATCTGTGTAGTGGTCGCTATCGGCGAATATGCTGATGAGAACCGTAGTGTCAATGTGCCAGTGACAATGGAGTCCATGCACTTCCAAACGCGTGAAGAAACAGCCGATCGCACGGTCATTGCGTCGACTTCTTCTTGGTGAAGTGGATTGAGTCGAATCATGACGCACAGGGTGTCGCTGCACTGACGCACGCAAGAATCCATATGATCGTCACTTTGCTTGTCCTATTATAATCCGATGGCATAATCACCAAGTGTCACACCGAACGAGCTACCTTACACTTCTGTGTCCCTCGACCCTCCTTACTCGGCGCGTACGAGGAAGAAGTTAGCGCCAACGAGTTTCAGCCCGTGCTTCTTCCCGAATGCAACAGCATCCCATGAACGACGCTCCTCTAGTGCCGTGCCGTGCTCCGGCTCGCCCTCAGGAACAGTGAATCCAGTCGCGGACGCGGGCTCCTGGAAGAGTAAGAAAGCTACGCGAAGCGTCAATATGTAATCGGATAGCCAGCTTCATGAAGTAATCTGTACTGTATCTGTGTATCCCGGATTCGGGACGTGGTCCAGGTGGACGGTAGGGGCAAGTCGCGTTCTTCGTCTTGAGCGCAAGATCATTCGCTGCGCTGGTCATGCTATTCTCCGACGCCGGCTTCAAGCCCGTGACCTAGCATACGTCAATGCGGGACGAGCTTGGCTACGGGTATGATACGTACAACCCAGTGTCTGAATGATCTATAGATCGGCTCCGCCCTTGTCGGCGCATCCGGGTCCAGCATCACAAGCGTATAGCTGACATCTCCCTTGCCCTCATCCGCTTCCTTCCCTGTCGCATCGGCCTGCCAGTCTGCCATGTTCATCGGCGTAATCCCCACGTTGGGCTCATCAGCCGTGAGCGCTGGCGTGAGCTCGTTACCCATGACCACCTCCGTGCCATTGGGATAGATCACGCTAAACAAGACTGAAGGCGTGAAGGACTCGGGTAGCACATCCGGGATGAGGTGCTCGCGGGTCAAGGCGGCTGTAATGGATGAAAGAGGGTCGAGCGAGGCCATGATGGGCGCTGAAGGCAAGAGACGATGAGATCAGGATGCATCGTGAGGAGATGCGTTCTAGCAAGCTTCTGTCAAGTGCGGAGAAGAGCTTGGCTGGGGGAGATAGGGGCCCGCGTTGAGCGGTCCGGCGGGCCGCAATGACGACAGTCCACGTGCATACGAGGAATTCGACGCTGCGGCCGCGCTTTTTTGCTGTTTGCTTTTCGCGACCACTATCGAGGACGACCTCTGGCTCATTCACGTTTGAACATCTAGTGAGGATGGTCAGGTCAATGAGATTGAATCAAATGATCAAGATGGCGCGAACAAACCGGAAGATCCAAGCAAAACACGATTGAACGCGAAGGTATGAATGAATCGCCGGGGAGACTCAGTGCGGCGACCGATCTACGCTGTTGAGCTGAAGCAGGCTACCCTGGGCTCATGCGCGCGGCTCATCCAAGGGGAGCGCACTCAAAGACGGAGATCAAAGCGGGTACGCGACGCGACGTGATGTGCCTCTGCTGCGAGCGCGTAACTCACGTGCATGGAGGTTGAGTTGCCCGGACCCACAGGAACAAACCGCGCTGTTTGTCCCAACCACTGGCCGTGTTCGTTTTGCGCTTCCTCGTCATCTTGCTTCCGGCCTCAGCGTTCGCCTTCTCGGTTCTTTTTGTTCCGTTTCTGCTGGACTCTCTGCCTGTCGCGCACTTAGGGCGCACCCGGGACATACGACCTACGACATTCGACGAATTAAACACCCGCACGCAACTGGGGTGTACGCGTACTCTTCTGCACGCATCGACGACGACGACCTCCGAGCACCGCGCACCATCCAATTGCTTGGTCGCACTGCTCTGACCCAACTCAAACCAAACACACAACATCTCTTGCCTCTCTCAGCCTCTGCTTTCCGATATCTCGTATTGCTCTCATCTCCTCTCGACGACTCTGCATTTCTGTACATTCACGACAACTTTCCCACCTCTCAAAGCAACATAGAAAATCACAATGCGGCCCATCTTAGGTCGCGCAAACACATCAACTACATCTGACACTCTCCATGGTCGCTCTCCCTCGCCCGTGCGGGACGTCATGTCCGCTTTCGCACCCCCGACTATCCGTCTCGTGTCGGGCAACCCCTCCGCCGCAGGCTCGGCTGTGGGCAACGACACGTTCGCTAGCTCCCAAGCCAACACATCCTTCGCCTCGTCCTACGTCAACGTCTCACCCGTCTCGTCGCCGCTCTCACCCCGCAACGACGAGACAAGGCGCAAAGTCGTGCCAAAGAAGTCGAAGCTCGGCTTGTTGGGCGGCACAGCCAAGACAAAGGAGCGCGGACGTGATATGTCGGACATGGTCCGCCGCGTAGGCGGGGGTACCAACTCCACACGGGGCGGCTTCGAGATCTACGTCGACCCCGCGCCCGAGCCCGAGGCGGGCGAAGTGCTCATGGTTCAGAAGAAGAAGAGCCGAGGAGCGCTCAATGCTCTTGGCTGGGGTGGCAACGGCAACGGCAATGGGTTGTCGGAGGCTACCAACACCGCTGGCCTGAAGCCTAAGAACGACAGCAAGGAAAAGGACAAGTGGTGGAGCATTGGCCGCGGGAAGAAGGAGACCAAGGACAAGGAGAACCCGGGAAAGGCCGCAGAGTCGGTTTTGTTCTCGGTTCGCTCGAAGGGTGGGTCGAGTTGCCTTGTTTGTACGACATTGTTCTCTGACACAATGTGACAGCTCCATCGCCGCTCTCGATTGAGATCGAGGACGCGGCACCCCGCAACCGCTTCAACTCGCTCGACTCGGGCGTCATGCTCAATGAGGGCCGGCCAGCTGCGAATCGCTCCCGGTCAGTCTCCAGCTCGCAGCTTCTCACCGTCCCCGACCTCGTCTCGGACGTGGGCAGCCCCGTCTCTGGCAACGAAGAACTCCAGACGCCCACACTACTCTCAGCACCCAACCCCGCCACAGGCTCTATCGCTGTGCGCGCTATGCGTAGTATGCGTTCGCTCGCTCACATGACGAGCTGGAACCAACTCAACGGCAAGGAGGCTGAGCCTACGAAGGAGAAAGTCGCGGAGGTCAAGGACAAAGGGACGAAGAAGGGCAAGAAGAAAGTCCTCAAAGTCAAGAAGGACGACGGCCGCAAGGCCACTCCTCGCAACCCATCGGGAAGCTCTTTCGAGGCGGGTAGCCCGCTCACGCCTGACATTGCGACGTTTGGCGAGGCAGCTGAGCAACCGAAGCGCAAGGCTAGCATGCTCGGCATCGGCCTTCCTTCAACCATGCGCTTCGGCTCGGCCAGGCTGGTATCAACGTCAAGTTCGGTTAACAGCACGGGCTTGCCCCAGCCTCCAGCCACCATGCGGCTCTCAACAAGCTCGTCGACGCACCTCGACGCAAATCCAGCCCGGTACTCTGCCGGGTCGTCTATTAACTTGGACGTCAACCCCGATCAGCTTGGACGTGGCCGCTCTGCTTCGTCGCTCTCGGCCGACTCCTCTTTGCGTCCGGCGTCAACTGCTTCTGGCTCCTCGGGCGGCAGCCGTGTCTCCTCGTCGAGCGCTGTATCTGTGCGCTGGGATGACCGTGCTCTTGAGACTCTTCGCGAGGAGCGTCGTCAGGTAAGACACTGAACGCATCCTGCTGTTACGGCCATTGATGCCATAGCTTTTCTTCCAGGAACGTGCGGTCAGCGCGGAGACGCGAGCAAGTGGTCACACCGCCGAAGGTCGCAAGCGCGCAGGGATCAACGAGATCTTCCCAGAGACGATGCCCGCCTCCTCTCGACCAGTGTCCGCTACATCATCGCAGCCCAACGCGCCCATGATTGCCATCGAAGAGGCCACTACCGACGGACATAGTATCAGCGACCGCAGTGCTTTCTCGACACCCCCTAGGCGCCGTCGTGCGAGGCCTATTTCCGAGCAGATGCCCGGTCAGGAGCGTCCCAAGGCTATCTGTGACGATGGGGACTCCGACGGTAAGCAACATATGCGCCTCCTTCATTCAACATCCTCATAATTCATCCACAGCTGTTCTATCTATCTTGGACGCCGCCACCAACGACTTAGCTTCGCTCATCAGCCGACTTGACCTCGAGGCCACCCCCGCTACGCCAGACGGTACACCCATTCGCATCTCGCCTGAGCTTCGCGAGATCTTGCGCAACCGTGCCTCGCCGGCCAAGCCTGGCTCAAAGGCACTCGGCAGCCCTGTCCCACAACGCAAGACTCGCAACTCACTCGGTCCAACACACAACGTCCGCGGTAGCACAGCATCAATCACTTCGCTCCGTCCCTATGCTCAGAGCCGCGCCCCAGCAACCATCTCCAAGGCAAATGCTCCTGTTGTCGCTGCTGCGCGCATCGGCATGCAGATTGCCCCGTGGCCTGTATCGCCGGAGAAGGAGGAGATCAGACCTCTGCGTCCAGTGAGGTCGAATACCGAGCCACTCAGGATCTTCAAGCCAGCACAGAATCGCCCACTCAGTCCTATTCCTGCTGAGGAGTCCGCGTCGCCAGTCTTCCGCCCGCTGCAACCTGCGTCACGCTCGAAAGTTCCGGCTCTTGCCAGGCACTTTGAGGAACGTATGTCGACGCCACCCTCCGCTGTGGCCGCACCCGCGCCATCTTCAGCGTTCGGTCCCAAGACTTCGACGGGTGCCGACAAAGTCAAGCCTGCCGTCCGTGGACCGGGTCCCGTCTTCCGCCCTGCGCCGCTCAACTTGCATGAGACGAAGGACAGCTTCAGCAGTTTGTTCACACTCGGGGATAGTCGTATCGAGATGCGTTCGCCCATCATCCCCGAGGCACGTAGAGAACTCGGCCTTGCCGGTACACTCGGTGGTAGCGTCGCTACGGTGGACGCTGACCGTGAGCTGGAGTCGAGCGATCCTGACTCGGACGTTCCGGACGAGCTGCGGGATATCTTGTCGAACGGGAACACCCACCGTCGTAGCATCGGCATCGAGGACACGCTGTCGTACGGCCATAGCCGCTCGGCGTCTGTCAGCTCCAACTTGCCTTCGCCTGGTGCGCCGCCGAAGATGCCGCTCCCGATGCCTGAGATCCACGTCGAGGATGAGGACGTCGAGATGACCGTCGAGACGCCAGTTTTCCGTTCCGTGCCCATGAGCGACCACGATCATCTGGGCGTGCTTGATGGCGCCGAAAGTGGCGACGATGACACGAAACGCTCATTTGACTTCACGGGCGAGCTTCGCGCTCTCAACGAGTCGGGCGGATCTGATCGCCTCAGCTTCGTCGAGCAGCTCGAAAACGCCTTCAAGACGCCGGCGAAGATCAATCTTACCAGCCTCGGGCGTTTCGCTCTCGATGACCTGCCGCCGATGCCGGCCATGCAACAGGGCTCACCGTCACCGTCGCAGGATAGCTTGGACTCGCAGGTGCCCTCTGCATGCGGGACGCAGGACGACTCGCTGCTCGGACCTCAGTCTAGCCCAGAGCAGTACCCGGCGTCGTCCTTGCTCGCAAGCCCGGAGATCTCGATGCCCCGCCGCGAACGCTCGTCGAATTCCATCGACGACATCTCGTACCCGCGTGCCGCCCGCTCTCGTTCAAACACTATCGACGGCGAGCTCAACGTCAACTTCAAGTTCGGCGGCAAGTCCCCAACCATGGACTCGTTCCCCGTTACCGAGCCGTCGAGGGAGCTTACGCTGTCGGATATCATCCCGCCGCCTGAGATTCAGAACAGGTTGTCGATGGCGTCGTTCTCGGACGAGTCTGAGGATGATTCGGTGCTCAAATCCATCTTGGCCAAGGCCGGGACCGCAGACGATATGGATATCCCGCCCGTCCCGCCGCTTCCGATCAGCGAGGTTCCGCGCCGCCGCGCGCTCTCCGATGCGAGCATGCATTCTTGTCGCCTCTCTATGCAGGATGACCCCTTCAGCTACCGTGATTCATTCATCGACAGCATGCACAGCCGTCGCTCCTCGCAGGCTAGCTTCAGCGGCTTCGACTCGTTCGATGAAGTACGACGAGGGTTTGAGTTCGCCAACCTCAGCTCATTCTACCCGCCACCCGAGGCGCATTCGCGTGGACATGCAACCCGCGAGTCGGTGTTCAGCATCGCATCTGTCAGCTCCTACGGCGTTGTGCTCAACCCCGGTGTAGCGGATCCCTTCGAGTACGGACGTTACGACCTTCCCAGCCGCCCTTCGTCCGATGGCCTATCGCTCTCCATGTCAATGACCGTGGACGACACTTTCGACTTCATGCACCGAGATTCCCGACGCCGCCAACGCGTCGACTCAGACGCCTCGAGCTTCTACTTCCGCCCGCCTGCGCCAGTTCCCGCTGCGCGTCCGCGTTCAATGCACGTCACCGGCCGCGCTCACCGCCGCAACGAGAGCAACATGTCTGTTGGCTCTATGGCGCCTCCTGTTAGCTTGTACAACCGCAGCTTCGGCGCTCATATCCGCCACGGCCGCAACGACTCCGTCTCCAGCATCGGCTCGTCTGCTCATCAGTTCGCATTCGGCTCGCAGCGTATGTCCTGGGGCGCTCGCCCTGGTCATCGTGCCGAACACTCTGTAGACTCGCTCATGAGCGACTTTTCGGCGATGCGCGTCGCGCGCCCTGGTCTTTCGGGCGACAAGATGCTCGAGAGCGCTCAAGGCATGCCGCTTACTGCCATTTCGGCTAGTCCGCCGGAAAGCCTGCGCAGCGCACGCTTCTCCGACCCTTACGAGGAGACTGGGCGCTTTGCGCTCGATGATGCTACCGGGCGCTACACATACGTCAGCGGTCAAGAGCGCTCGTCGGCCGAGTACGACAGCATCATGGATACGCGCGCTTGGACGTTCGCCAATACTGCTTCGGGCGCCGTTGAGGACTCCATCTTCGATCGCACTGGCGCTAACAACCGTACCTCGGTGTCGTCTGAATCGCTCTTCGGCAGCAATGAGCTGCGCCCCAACCAGGCTCGTGGACAGTTCGCCGCGATGCCGCGCTACAGGCCGGTCTCGATCTACAGCATCAACGAGGACTCGGAGAGCGCCCGCGAGAACGATACGATGGTTACCGTAAGTGTTTATCTTCACCGTCGGCATATGTAGATTCTAATTGCTATACAGATGCTCGATGGCGGCCACGTTCGCCGCTCTTCAGTTGACTCAGTTGTAGGAGGTTCGCCTCTCGCGCGCGCGGGCGGCAAGCGCAAGCACGCCGCTATCCGTAGCCCGATGGACAACGTCGCTGGCTCGGACGGCGAAATCGAGAACATGGAGTTGCCGAACAAGACGCGTCTTGTCGAGGCGCGTCTGGTGGAGAAACCCTCCGTCACGGAGTCGCTTCGTTCTGTGGCTTCGAACGTCTTTGGTACCGAGCGCATGGGTCGCGCGCACTACGGCCATTACCACCGTCAGAGCCTGGAGGAGAACTGTTTGGAGGCCGAAGGCGAAGACTTGTCTATGTCTGGTACGTTTTCCATCATGTAATGACTGAGGAGATTTGACTGACGCAGCGTGCACAGTCGTCCTTAACAATTCCTTTAGCCGCCCCGGTCGTACAGGTCGCTCTAGGTCCAGCACCTACTCGTCATCGTCGGAAACTGATACGCCGCCGCTCTCCGTGTGCGACAGTGAGAGCAACACTAGTGGTAGCCAGAGCAGCATCGATCTCGCCGGTCTCAACTTTGCGCTCGCGAACATGACACACCCAGTCACGGCGCGCACTCGCATTCGCCCCGGTCATCGGCGCACGCGTGGTCAACGCCAGTCGGTCTATGAAACGATCCAGGAAGAAACCGCATCGCCAACTAAGGATGCTACGGTCAAGATGGCGCCCCAGGGTCAGATCCAGCAAGACGATGTAATGGTTGTGGACGACGACAACACGCTGAGCCTTGACTGGGACGATGAGCGCAATGTCGTCGCTCTGCGTCGTTATCTCGCTCTTCGCGACGAGGCACAGGTCACGGTCGAGGACAGCAGGCGGATGTGGCATGACACGCCCTTCTCGGTCTACGCCGTACAATGTAAGTTCACTCCAGAACCCAACCAACATTGCTCGTTACTGATAGCGCTGCAGCATTCGATCCGCCCGCCCACATTCCTGGCATGCGTGCTCTACTCGAGCACTCGCAGCAGAACTATGGTCCACTACCGTCTGAACTTCGTGCTTTCCGCATTCGCTCTCGCACCTCTTCGCGCGTCTCCCCGTACCAGGCCGCCCGCGCCGCCAAGATGTCTGCCGCAGCCTCATCTGCCTCTCCTGCTTCCTCTGCTCCCGTCTTCTCTGCCCCGGCCCACTCCGTCTTCACCGCACCCGAACCCGCTGCGCCTTCCGTGTTGCAGGACCGCCCTGCCAACACCAACACGCCTCACGCCGCTCAAGGCAAGAAGAGCAAGAAGCACGAGTTGCCCGACGTATCGCCATTCGCACCGGAGAACATGAGCAAACTGTCCAATGGCCTGCCTCGCGCTCGCGTTAACTCAAACTCTCGGCGCAACAATCTCGGCTGGGCGAAGCGCAGCACCGGAAAGGAGAACAAGGAGAACGGGAAGTCTGCCGTCGGCACTGGCGCCACGTATGTCCCCTCTGTCTACCTTGGTTGATGTTTGAATGTTGACGAATCACTGCAGGCCAGGCGAGACAAGTTTCCGTCGTCCACGCCCGCGCGGTCGGCCAACTCCCGCTCGCACCGCGGCCCTCCGGGGTTAGGTGCGACACAACACAAACATAAAACAAGAAAGCCACCTACAGATGCGTAAGCTCGCGTCGGCGCGTTGAGCATGCTCTGCCCCGTTGAGCCAGACGCGGCGACGCATCTATGACCATATGCCTACAGTCTATGCCACTCCCCTCCTCATCTCCCCGGTTGACCGGCGGAGCTTCAGATGTTTTTTGACGACCTTATCTTTGCTTTGACGACGTGCTTGTTGTACGACCTTACGATGATGCTCACGCTCGAGCGGGCTTGTGCTTGACCCGCTCATGACCCAGAGCCTGCTTCATTTCTTCCATACTTCTTGCTCACGAATGATGTTATACGAATCCTTTGACTAAAGACCTTGCTTTGCTTCATGATTACTCGGATTGGCACACATACAGCTGTTCTCTGTACTGCATTCCCTTGTCCGTCCTTGTACGACCTTGATAATGAATACATTGCTTATCCTCTCCGTCGCCGAAGTTAGCCTGTTCGAGGTCCGGGTCGACGTGTAGGACTCAGGGCGGCAGGGCTAAGCACTTCATCTTGTTACGTAGGCAGACCTCCTCGCTCGCCCTGAAATGGCACCGTACGAGGAAGGCGACAATATGTCTGACGCTCTGTACTGTGCTTGAGGCTATGTATAATGGAGTTTGGGTCTTAGTTGGCGACTTTCCGCCCCTCCCAAACGCGGATCAAGCCGAGAGCCGCGCCGTGGGTTCCACCGCCGCGCGCTCGGTGCTTCACGTGCTCTCCTTCGCCACAATGTAAGTTACATAGCCCCTCCCTCTACGTTAAAGCAGAAAAATATATACCTCTTCCACCCTAATCCCTAACCCTAACCTTTAACCACCCTAACCAACCCTAACCAACCCTAACCAACCCTAACCAACCCTAACCTCCAACCCTAACCAGTAACCTCAACCTTTAACCCCCCCAGTACATGAACTGAGACCTATCTACTAGTATCCAGGTGTAGTACTAGCCCCGCAAAGCCCATGTCCACTCGAGTTAGGGCTAGCGCTCCGCTTGCTAGCCCTAACTCGAGTGCACAGGGCTTTGCTTAGAAAAGATAGCAAAAAGGCATGGGGAATTGAACCCGCGACCTTCTGCAATACGTCGTCGCACGGGCACACAACCAGTACGGCATTGGAGCTTCGAAAGTGACTATCCGTACCTGGTTATATCGTTTGTTTGGCGCCATCACGCGACCTGAGCCGGCGCGTCGTTGCGGCCGCCGTTTCGGTGCCGGCAACGGCCGCCTTGGGAGGGGCGGAAAGTCAAAGATGTTGGGTCTTTGCTCCGGAAAATGCCGAGTCGGGTCCTGACCTCGAACCGTCAACGTGCCGCTTGATGCTTCTGACCATCATGACCCACGTACATCTACGGAGATCGTTGCAACTTTGCACCGAAACACATTGATACGCTCGCAACTTTCTCCGCCGTCACGTTGCACACAGTTTCTACGTAGCTGATTAAACCCTTGGCCCTCTTCATTCACTGTGCATCCTGCTCCTCCTGAGAGTCTTCCGAATCAAGCTCGCCAGGACGTCGATCTTCTTTTCTCCCGCCCATACAACCTGCATCTCAGGAAGGTGTCGCATCGCACCGCAGATAACTTGCCTACCGCGCCTCTCTTGCTCAGCGAGGCGGTAGGCTTGCTGTTGGCACTTCGCACAGCGTATCGCCTGTCTCCAACCATGATCTTCTCCCGCTATGGCTCTATGTTTGGCCATGGCCCCGCGCTCGCGATGAGCCTCCGAAGATAGTCCATACCTGCGATATTCGGGGTACTTATTTCCAAGAGACAGACAGAGCGCAGGGCCAGCGAGTGCAACGCGCTCAGTCACGATTCGGAGTTCAATGGAACGAAGAAACGCTGCAGTATCCGCCTGTGGGGCTACCTGACCGGGCCTAGCTGTGCGCCGTGATAGCTTCTTCCAATGAACAAGACCCGATGTTTGGAAAACTGTGCGCTATGTTCATCATGATAGCTCGCTCTAGCTTCCTTAAGACAAGGTTGTTTCGACCTACATCCGGTATAGTCGGCATACGCTGGGTGCTGACACTCTTGATGATCAGCAGATGGCCAGTTCAATACTCGTTCAAGACTATGAGGAGAGAACCAAAGCTCATCGACCGTTGGAGTCTCGACTGATCCCATTCTGTAACGACACGCTCGTTGCCCATCATTCTCAGCCATGCTTGGCTTTGCGACCGCGGCCATCATCTCCGTTTGGTTCTCGGCACCCCTCTACGGTAAGGACACCTCCCTTCGCTCAGAGCTATAACGACGTCGACCTTCCCTGACAGGAATTAAGTATGTCTTCATCGCCCTCCCTGGAGAGCAGACAGAGCGAATAGTACTTATCATCAACAGTTGCTTGCTTACAGTGTTTTGTGCATATGCGTTGGCGCGGAGGGGCGTCTTCAAGGGTAGCAATTGGTGCGTATCATGACGGCTGTAACTGTCAATCTTGTATTGACCGAGGAGCAGGGCTCTGGCGATTGTCATCGGCGTTCAGTGGATTCTTTGCACGGGCCATATCATCTCGTTATTTGCTCAGCTCATCCACGGATTTATCCATCCACCTACACCTCCCCCTCTTGGTTCGGCAGCGAGAAACTCTTCCCACCTTCCAGATAACGCGACTGCGTCAAGCTTCTACTTTCAGGACCAGTGTACACCGGAACATACTGCCGAAGTTGCCTTCTACGTTCTCAACGTGAGTCTCCGTTCATCTCCGTTCTTCGCCGCGACTTTGGAGACCTGCTCATGCGCGTATGTAGGGTGTAATGGCTGATTGCTTTATGGTGAGACTGTTCGAAGTCGACGGGCCGATGGATGCTGAATGTGATCTCAAGGCCTGGCGCGTGTACGTCATCTACGACAGGAAGATCTGGCTGATCGCACCTTTCGTGAGTGGTACATTCGAGTCTCTGCTCATCATCTGTCGCTAATATTGGGCTCTCATCCAGATGATCATCAACCTCATCACTTTAGGTAAGTTTCTCTAGAGGCTGGTTCATGCCCCGTATGACCAGTCTTCGGTGGATTGGTGGTCCGAGCCCAAAGCGGAGTGGGGTATGACCTGGCTCTCTACTTCACTGGCGCCGTTCGCCAGCGGGCTCTCGTCGTTTGGGCGTTGTCGGTGGGGACCCAGACAGCGGGCACCTTGCTCATCTCCTATCGAGAGCTTTCCACTCCCGTACACGTCCCGTCCTCCAGGACGCCGCGCTACTGCACACTGAAGTCCGCCGCGTGCGCCGTGGTCGATTCTGGGGCAGCATATATACTGGGTGTCATCAAGACCCTGGCCTTCTATCTACACAGGCGCACGGAAGGCGCCGTGATAGTGGCCATCCTTGGTCAGATCGCCGTACGTATCTTGTGATGTTTGAGCTCTGACTCTATGCTCACGCCTCTAGGTAACCGTCCCGCTCACAATCATCGCGCGCGAGTGGTGGAAAGTGGTCAGACCAGGATTCAGGCAGGGCTCACTTCTTCCGCGCAGCGCGCTCATTCGCGACCGTCATGACATGCAACCTCAGGAGGCGCTTCGCCTAGCTCCACGTCGCTCTCAAGATGCCGAAGGGGTGAACGTGTGCGTTGTGAAGTCGACGCATATGGACATTCACTCGATCGTACGTCGAGCACTCTGCTGTGAATCGACCTTATGTGGGTCTCAGGGCTAACTTTACAAACCGTGATACAGACAACATGTGACGAAGGTCTGAAGAATGCTCAATTGGGTAGCTTTTCTGAAGTATGAGCTCTGCTTATCTGCGCTCAACCCCCAGAGCTGCTCCGCAAGATCCTCGAAGCCAGCTAGCTATCGGGGACGTTATCATCGTTACCGGCACCTTGTACGCGAACCTTACAGGGGCTCGAAAGGGTCAGAATCTATTGGGTATTTGTACGATTATGGTCTTCTATACGAGAAGTACTACAGTCTGGTACTACCTCCGGCTATTGATTGCCGACAGTATTCATGTTTTACGAATGTATTGCTCATGATATTCATCTTCAAATGAGGATTGTGGCTGCCTCCGCCGGAACGGATGCATCGGCCCGCGAGCCGCGACCGAAAAACAGCGGAAAACGGGTTGCGCTCAACCCTGGCTCAGCTCTTGCCACTCCCACCTTGAACTCGAATAACACCATGTCCGACTCTGACTCTGATGCGCCCGAGGCGATCACGCTCTCGCAGTCAGCCCGCGTAGCGCGAGGCCGTGAGCAGGCCCTGCATGATTTCGCAGCGACCGAAAAACGCAAAGCGAAGGAGCATAATCGTGTCCGCGACGAGCGTCTGAAGGCACAGGCTGCGGGCAAGAAGGAGAGGAAGCGACCTGCGGCGAAGAGGAGAAAAGTTGAGGATACACGTGAGGGGGCGGGAGACAGTGATCAGGACGACGAGACGCGGAGGTTGCAGGCGAGGATGGAGAGGGCAATGGCGGAAGCCAGCGACGAAGATGATGGTGATAGTGGGGAAGAGGACGAGTTCGTGGATCTGGCGGAGGACGATTCCGAAGAGGACGACTTCGGAGAGGAAGGTTCACCAGAGGAGGGCGATGCGGATGATTTGGACGATGCCTCGAGTGGCGACGAAGACGATGCGTCGGACGACGCAGATGATAATCTCGAAAGCACGCCATCTCGAAATTATCTTCCTGATCATATATTCGCTGCTGCTGCTGCTGCATTACCGAAAGGGCCGCAACGGTCCAAGCCAGCCCTATCGTCAGAGTCAACGTTGCAAACGCGGAAAAAGCGGAAGCGTTCCGCCAGGAAAACCAAGGACATTGTAGTCGGGTTGGTCAACTCCTTGATAATTCCCAAAACTATTTGGCTGACATGCACCTCTAGCTCGCACGCAGTGCGTACACTACCAGCCGTACACAGGACGTCTGCAAAGACGTCCTTGTCGTACACTCCTGCGATTGGTGCCACAACTGCGCCCGCTCGTATCAACCGATTCGTCTCTAAATCACTCGCGCTCAAGGGCCAGAAGAAGCGGGCGAGCCAAGGATGGGAACGAAAGCCAGGTTCGTGATGCAATCACCCTTCGGTCTCGAGGCAATGAACTAACAGTAATCTTTGTAGTCCATCTCGGGCTATTCAAACGTGCTGAGGGTGCTCCTGTGACTGGATTCGTCCGTGGGCAGTGACCGTTATCTCTCTCGCGTCCTTGAGAATGCAGCCATGGATCCCCTCCGCGCATTATATGAGGCCCATTTCAGGCCTGCATGCGCCTTTCCATTGTCAATACATCGCGCTTCTACGCTATCACTGTGCCGCTACATGGAGAGATAGTCTATCAACATACCCGCCCACACGATGTATCCTAAATCCCCATTTGCCTGCGAAGTCGTGGGTCAATCTTGGTCTCGGCGGGTCATAACCTCAACACGTACTTTGAACATCGCAGACGAACTGCTATCATCCTTATTATCCCACGTCTTCAGTTGCCACGCCAGATGCAAAGCAGTGCCGCCCACTGAGATGGCGAAGAAGGGCCAGCGCTGGTTGTTCATGCGCCCGATCAATGCAATGGACAAGACGAAGCAGGCCGCGAAGAACGCCAGAAAGCCGTAAACTCGGTCGCCGAACGTCACCGCGGTGGATTGCGCGCCAGTTCTGAGGTCGTCTTCACGGTCCTGGCTCGCGTACATCGTGTCGTAGAGGATGCTCCAACTGCGAACACAGTCAGTGACGCCATGTGCGGTCCTTAGGGTCACTTGCCATGCACAGCCCGCGAGCATGGTGCCCAGGAAGATTGTTTCATCGCTGGTGTATGTCGGCTTGATCGACATCCAGATTACAACAAGACCCCAGTTCATAGTGACGCCTGGAAGTGGAATGTCCGATCAGTCGAGTAGTTTCTCTATGGCAGATGCTCGATGTACCATGCCATGCTTGAGGCCAGGAAGTCCATCGTTTCATGAGAGGGTACAACGCGTGGAGCGGAAAGAGGCCGAAAAGTCCGAATGCAACACTGCGGAGCGAAGTCAGAACGCGTGCGCTCGGGTATCGCAAGACAAATCACTCACGCGTCTGTGTTGGCGAACGAGAGCAGGTAGACGCAAGCGACAGACATGACCACCAGGAGTTCCCAAGCTCCCGAGACAGGGAGAAGTCCCGCCGCGAGCGGCCGATTCTTAGTTCGTTCTGAGATGCGCGACGGTGAGCTCTGAGGGATTTCAAGAGCTCAATAAACACTCGACTTGCTTCCTTGTCTGTCGAAGTCGATATCGCAGATGTCGTTGAGAACGCAGGCGGTCGAATGCACCAACGTTCCGCCGGCGATGCAGAGTATAGCGCGGTATATGAAGTCTGCAACTGGCATGTTGGTCCCGTACGCTGCCAGGGTCAAGGCCCACACTAATGCACACGCATGAGCACGCGAGACTAGGCCGGGAGACACTGCTCGTACATCCTGGCCATATAACATGGATATTCCCGAGAGGAAACATGTGCAGGCGGGTGAGCTGGAAGTACAGCCACGTCTTCGATGGTGTAGAGCCTGACGCAGCCATAGTGCATGGTATGCAACGAAGAACCGTCGTCAGCAACCTTATTACTGGGCTAGGTCTTATATAACGTCGCGGGAGGGCGTCTTTTCTCATACGAAGGTGATGGCCCTGTGAGGTAGACGCCCGTTGGCGCTCACTTCAGGCGTTCGAATTGCTGAGAAGTAGGGACCTGAGGGACCGACAAGATGAGCACATTCACTCTTGGAGACTTATGCTCTATCTTCGCACTCATGTTCGCTGAGTACTTGGCGTTGGAGGAACAGAGGTTTGATCGGTACTGGCATGTGCGTGCGTCCATTATGATTTTGTGTGTTCACACAGGTGAGTCTCCTCGGGGAGCGATTCGGCACAACTTCGCAAGGAATCGTGCATACGATGACTATATGTACCAAGTTTGGCGCGTGACTGTGCGTATGGATATCCTCTCGCGTCACTCGGTCGCCCTAGCAGCTCAGCGCTGATTACAAAACGGCTACATTGGTGTGGTGCCTTGTCGGTAAGGGTACGAAGTAACTCCCCCGGAGCACTTCGTTCCACAGCAGTATTCGGAGCTACTTCGAACCGCACTTCAAGGGAATGCCCAAATAGGAGGCAGTTCTTAGAAGATAGTGGCACGCAAGAGCGAGTATCAGCGCTTGACCAGTGACAGCTCCGTTGGCCCGATGGGTATCGACGCGGACAAGTCATGAGAACTCAACTGATGATCGGCCTACACAGTTTATCCCAAGAGGCTGTCAATACGTCCAGTCAGTTAAGACAGCATATGGATATTAGAGAGGCATCTCTGAGAGGAAATGGCGGTCCACTGCAAAGTTCACTGCAGGCCTGATTTGGCGCGAGGATCTGGGGCGCCGGCCCGGCGACTCCCAGCTCCCACGCCCCCGGCCTTTGCCGGCTCTCGAACTTCGGCAACTCAACTTCCCTCTTTCCTCGACTGTCACTTTCTATATGCGGGATTGACCAGAGCTCGATGGCCCTCCTTGATCCCGTCAAGGCATCATTCATGCGCATGCTTTATACAGTTGCCCAGCCTACAGGGCCCTTGATCTTTCCGAGACGTGGCATTCTCACCTGCGCGCCGCTGCCGACATGGAGGCTCATGCAATGATACACCACTGATGTGCCGTGCGGCGACGATGGCCGACCACCCCGTCCGCCCCGTTTTGTTTGCGTGCACTGCTCCTGATCATGAGCCGGAATCTTGATCTCCTCCCGCATAGTGCACGCTCAGCCGCCCATGAGTACTTTTGAGCAAGTACTCGTGGCAAGATCTCGACGATTATGTACTACCGGTGCGACGCACGTCTCAATTGACTTGGAAGGGCACGCAGACGTATGTTTTCAGAAAGAGACTAGTTCAATTGCATCTTGATGTAGTTCTCAGGTGGTATGCATCTCACCGGTGCTCTTAGGGGTACGTCCTTTTGGAGTACTCTAAATGCCATCGCTGATTCACGCGGTTTGTCCATCAGCCCAGTCCTCAGACACATAATAGGCAAGCACACTACGTCCGGGGGGAAAGTCGTGTACACACCGTGGCAACCTCTTAGCTATTATGGGTCGGAGTTGACCGCTTTGATGTTGAGCGGAACTGTGTTGTCACGATCATGAGTTATATGCAAGCCTCTCGCCTTGTACCGTCCCGTCTTCCCTCTCACCCTCATCTCCTGGTATCTCATCTATGTCACTGAGCTTTCCGACAGCCGCAATTCTCTCGGCTATGTGCGCGGCGCCGATATACGGTACTTTCCTCCTGCCTTGCAAGCTGCCTTGCAAGCGATACGGGGAACGCTGATTGGTCCTGTTGCTGCAGGGATGAAGTGGGTAACATACCCTCATGTGGAGATCAACTCGCTGATTGTACCAGTTGCATACTTGCAGTGTTCTGTGCCAACGCTCTCTCCAATACGAGGCGCTTCGGCAAAAGCTGGTACGCCTTTTGATCGGCCGAACATGCCCACTTTGCCACCGACTCAATGAAACATACAGGCCTCTTGCGATTGTCCTCCTGACTCAGTGGATCTTATGCACAGGCAACTTCTTGTCACTCTTTCTTCAGCTCATCCGGGGATTCGTTCATCCGCCACACCCATCGACAAGCGGCACGCCCACGCAACCAAACCTCTCCGTCGCTTCAACTGCATACTTCGAGAACCAATCCTCTACAGAGCACTTTGTGGAGTTCATCTTCGTCGTCTTCACCGTGAGTGTCCTGCGTTCGTACGTGTGCATGGATACCAAGTGGATCGTGTGCCGCAGAGCCTGATGGCAGCCTTTTTCATGGTACGATGGCTGTCAATGCACTCCAGTGCCGCTCTCTGATATACGTACTCTAAAGACATGGAGAGTTTATGTGGTGTACGATAGGAAGGCGTGGCTTTCCGTTCCCTTCGTAAGCCAGGACCAATACGTCTCTCTTGCCTCATACTCAGTCTACTTACAGCTCCTATTGAACATCGTTGCCCTCGGTAACCCTTCAAGTCATCCTCTCATCCCGTCAACGGCCTCTGAGATCTCTTCAGTATTTGGTACCCTCATGGTGCAAGCAGAAACTCTAGTCAGACGCGATCCATCACTCTTCTTCGAGAACCCAGAACTCCAGCGAACGACAACCATGTGGGCTACGTCGGTGATAACCCAAACAGCAGGGACCCTCCTCATCATGTATCGTGAGCTTTCGACGCCCAAGTCTGTGCCAAATAGCAAGACATCCCGACAATGCACATTGACGGCCATCGCATACACCATCATTGATTCCGGGGCGACATACACTCTGCTAGTCATCGTGACGCTTGCGTTATATGTCAGCAAGCGTTCGGAAGGTGCCGTCGTAGGCGCAATCCTCGGCCAGATCTCTGTATGTGGTATATATCAGATAGTATCTTCAACTAAGTACTGATCCTCTCCACAGGCGACCGTCCCGTTGACGATCATCCTGCGTGAGTGGTGGGAAGCTGCCCAGACGACTTCGCTACAGGACCCATTTCTTCCGCGCACCGCGCTCCTCCGAGAGAGTCATGAGATGCTTCATGGGGGAGCTCTTCGCCTGGACACTGAGCAAACTCGAGAGAATGACGGGGTCAACGTATGCGTTGTCAAAGCTACCCACATGGATGCGCAGTCACTTGTACGCCGATCCACTTGCTGCACATCATTTTACCTCGACTGATGTCTGCAAAATGACAGTTGGCAAGCGAGGAGGCTCGCAAGAGCGTGCAACTGGGGCATTACTCTGACATATGACTGGTATTCAAAAAACACTCGCGCCAGTAACCACTCAGTAGCTTGCCGCATGTTGGCTCGAGGTGCTGATTTGGAGTAAGTAGTAGATGTCAATGGTCAAAGGAGTATAAGGAGGGATATGTCAAGCTATTGGTCGATACCGTCCTTCACGGGCGACTGAAGCGCCTTCATTGGGTCGGGAGACATCAGAGGTTCTCCCGGCGCGAGACTTTATGCGAACGGAAGTCGATCGGACCGTACACGCGTACTTGTGCGTTCCATTCGCAGTTGCCTGATTATACTTCTCGGGTGCGCAAGACTCAAACGGTAGTCGTTAGTTACGCAAAAGCGTAACAAAGGCGAGCGTGCTCCGCGCGAGTTGCGTCGTATTATAGCTTCTCTCATATGGCAGAGCTATATCGAGCTCTACGGAGTCATGGAGCCAAACTTCAGCGAAGACATCGCGTGCCTTGTCTGTTGAGCCACTGTGCAAGGCGTTCGAGTGCATGCGATGTGGTGAGGGGTAAAGGGCAGAGTTGGGACAGAGTAGACTCGGCGCGACAGTGGGCAATAGGCGCGCGTGCCATGGACCGGTGCGCCGAGGCGGGCCTTCCGAGTAGATCTCAACTCTTCGGGGGCTATCCGCGACGCTTCTCTCGGCGCACCTCGGGCGTCGCGGACAAGGCGGTCTTCTCGAACATCCCATCTCTGGAAAGGCGCGACGTCGGTCAGGTCGGATGTTGCGTGGCAGGAGACGGCGGCATCTCTTGATGGTGTACATGTATCTTCTACGGCCTCGATTGTATTCCTACCACTTGAAATTGGCAGCTGGTGTGAGACGCCCAAGCGCTCGTTACCTGTTCCTGGCGCAGCTTTACATTATTGAGAGCCGAAAGCTTGACACGCCCATACCACCCATGGCCATACGTCCCACTATCTATATGGGAGGTCACATATACTGCACCTGAGCGTCGCTGGTGCTAGTGGTGTCAGGTGCGCAAGGTTCTGAGATAGCACGATACCATACCGTGAGACTACCTATGAATGCGCCGGGTATGACGGCGTGGCTATTAGAAGTACGAGACGGACAGTAGACTTAAGGAGCCACGGGGCAACATGGAGGCGAATGAAAGCGGGGTCGGAAAGACGGTACAGCGTGAGATCGTGCACGGACCGCGCGGCTTCGCACTTGTGTTGCAACTTCCACGGGCCCTTGTACCGCCAATCGTAAACTGCGTGTTCCCCGCTATCGAAACCTCCCCTATTGCAAGCCGGGGCAAGTTTATTCATTTAGAGCCCATCTAAAGGAATGAAGGCCCTTTGCTCGAAGATGCAGGACTTGATAGCCCCGACTTTCGCGTCACCGCCTTTCGGCGCTGCATACAGACTGGCTTTCGAGATCAGACGCACACCGTTCTCGCAGGCTTGACTAGCACTCGCTGTGAGCTTGAATAGGAGGCTAGCGTGATCATCAGTACACTCCTGGATCTGCCGCTCAAGAACTAGTGGCACAACTACCACCGAGGGACGCAAAACGGCTTTAAAGGTCGCATTTGCGAGCTGGCTCGTCTCCGGCCTGTCTGTTACTTTTCTCCGTTTCACTTTCACCAAGATGCCCGACGCGTCCGTCGCAGATTCGCACACTCAACGCACAGGTATGCCTGACGATTTGTCCTTCCCATGCCATACGCTCATGTTACCCCGTTCTGTAACTTCTGTTGCAGACCCTCAGAAGCAAGTAGTGATCGCTCCTATCCCAATACCCACTTTCATAATTGCTCGTCATAGTCGCACAGGTATTGAAAGCTTGTACAAGCTCAGCAACATCATCGCCGATAACGTCAAGAAAATCGATCTTGCTTTGACCGAGAGGGGACTCGACTTTCCCGCCCTGGACTCCCCCTTCAATCCTGGACTAGAGAATGAGAGTTACAGGTTACCCGGCGTTCTGGATTCTGCGGCGGTTATAGCGGCAGCTACCGCACAGCTCCGAGCTGCCGTATACCCTGCTCCGATGACCTTGGTCAACACGGCTATGCTGGTGTGTGACGGTGCCAGCAATACCTTGCGATCTTGAACTCATATCTAGTTCAACGTATCTGCCGCCCTTTCCGTTGCTGCCGAGACGCATGTTGCTGAGATTCTGAGCTCGGCGGGCCCTCAGGTGTGTCCTTGCGTAGTGAAGATTTACCTTTGACGCTAACAATCTTCCAGGGCCTTCACGTCCAAACTATAGCGAAACCCAGCGGAATCGACTCGAAGAAGCTCTGTGCGTCCTTTGCCACAGACCTGTCAGCCAAGCTCATTCGTTCTTAGCTCGTGTTCTTCGCCTGCTTGCAACTTATAACTTCTTCCGCGAGGTGGCCCCTGACGTCTTCGCTCACAACCGCCTATCATCACTACTCAATACAGGGAACACCGTACAGGCTATCCTCGAAAAGTGAGCCTCAGATTCACAGCCTTTCCCACGGCATCTGATTCCCGCAGGCCCGAGAAGAAACATGACGGCTCTCTAGGCGTGGCTGCGGCCATCGGGCACCTGTAAGTCGTTCATTCATCTCGTAAGTGGACCGTCCTCATGAGTCATAGCACCGACGAGGCCATGAAAGCAGTATCACACCTTACTGAAGCAGTCCTCGATCCTGTGTCCGGGCATGCGAACGATATCACCAACCTTGCTTTCAATCGTGCTTTTCCGAGCGCTAAGGGCCTCACCATCTGGAACTTCTTTGATGCGGACGGGCAGGAGTATCGTAGGAACCGATTCGGCATGGCCATGGAGGGTTCCAAGAATATGTCCCCCGCTGAAGCTATCGTGGAGGGTTAGCACAGCGTCTGTTCTTCGAATGGCTACTGATACCCGGTGTCGCATCCTATAGGTGTAGATTGGACGGGTCCTGGGGCTGATGCGCTTGTCGTGGATGTTGGCGGCGGTGTCGGCGCGCAATCTTTGACATTGTCGAAGAAGTACGAGCAGCTCAGGCTCATCGTACAAGATCGCGAGCAGCTGATCAAGGCTGATGCCCTGAAGGTACGTTCCCTCTGATCATCGCCGCGTAGCGCCTCTCATTGTCCTCACAGTTCTGGGAAAGTTCCAATCCTGAAGCTCTGAAGGCCAAGCGCGTCATCCTGCAACGTGAGCACAGTCAACTCAATCCATTGGCTCTACTCACATTCACATCGATAGCACACGACTTTTTCAGTCCGCAACCGGTCAAGGACGCCGACTTCTTCCTCAGTGCGTATTAGGTCGTATGTCCGTATGCACAGAGTCTGAATGGAACTAGTCCGCATGATCCTGCACGATTATCCCGACCAGGACTGTCTCAAAATTCTTCGCAGTCTCCGAGCGGCTGCGAAGCCGTCGACACAGCTCATTGTGGTTGATAATATCATGGCATACGCTTGCGAGGAGCCCGCCGCAAACGAGATCCCGGGAGCTGTAGTCACCCCACTCCCGGCGCCGCTGCTTCCCAACCTCGGCGAAGCAAATAGTGCTGCGTACCTCATGGATGTCCAGGTGTGTCCAGCGGATCTCAGTGTACGCAAAGATTGCTCAACATGAACCCAAGATGATGGCCCTCACGGGCGGCATTGAGCGCACACTTACTCAAGTCCGCGAACTGTTGGCGGATGCCGGTTGGAAGGTCATTCGCGTGCACCACGGTGCACCTTTCGTACTCAGCCACCAGAAGGTCATCGCAGTCCCTGCTGAGCAGTCTTCCTAAGTAAATGCTCCTAGAACTACTTGTCGAGTGGAGGTGATGTGCAGGAGCTGACGCCTGGAATTACTGTACTTTATATACACGATAGTCGCTACCGCCTACTTCTACGGGCTAATGCCTACGCGTTCTGGCCCGTACGATGCGTAAGATAGTATCACATTGAGCGTGGCAATTCAAGTGGCTTCATACTCGGCAGCTTGGAGGAACGAGACGGAGGGGAGGACAGACGCGACAACACGCGACGCGTGTTTAGCGCTTACAGCGGATATTGCCACATAAGGAAGATTCACCTTTTTGGGAAATGGGTCACGCGGCCGCGTCGACGCGAAAGGTTTTCGCAAACCGCTGTAGGCTGTAGCGCGACACAATCGCAAGGCGACGATGCTCGAACTGACTCGGCTGCTTGCCTTCTGTTCCCACTCGCAACCTACGGCTGATCGCGGGAAGTTCATTGAATAAGGAACTATATAACGGGATTGTCAGCATGGGGGTGTAAATAATGTACATGAGCTCGCATGAATCATTATCGCGCATCCGTTTCAATAATTATCTCAAGATCCTTCTGTGAAACGCCCATTGAGCGCATCTCAGGCGAGATTATCTGCTCGATCTCTCAGAATCCTCTCACAAAGATAAGCTAGGGGCACGTACTCTGTCGAGTTCGTAGTCCGTGGCTTGCGAAGCCTGTGGCGAAGTGCCAGGCGATCGATGTCCATGAGTTAAAGCATTGAAATTGGGGAGAGGTGTGGATTGGTGCCTCTTATGCCTTTGTCGATTCATCTCTGCTCGCACCACGATTAAGTATGGAGCAGTGGCCTGATCAACTAATGGTCAGCTCTTCCTTGCCAGCTAATGCAGGGGCGTGATCAACAAACACTGAGTTGGCCCAAAATCGCGGCGCAGATCGCTCCTGCGGACCATCCTCGCACGTAGAAGGCAAGGAGCATTACCGTGGTCAGACTATACAGCGCGCCAGACTCGATTATGGCCCAGAAAGCTGACAGATATACACTGGTCTGCATCAGACCAATATTTCGCTGTTCGCGGACAGCTACGATCAGCTTGAAACCGATCAGAAGGGTCGTCAGGATCTGTGTGGCAATGGACAGACACCACGTCGCCTCTATCCACTGAGCGACCTGAATGTCGAAGACAGCATTGAAAGGATCGAGGTGGGCGAGATGAGCCATGGCGGTGTATCCGGAAACTGCGGCGCGGGTTCGGACACTTGTCACAACATGCGTTACAGACGGAGCTCACTTCCTGTGCCAAGCAGTAGAAGAAGCTGGGCCCTTGTATCAGTCTAAGTAACACCACAACAAGGTCACAACGTACCAGAGGCCAAAATATGAAACGATTTCCGCTCCATACTACGTACACTCGCCAAATCTGGGACAACGTCAGTAGAGTATTGCCCAAGATCGATGCTGCGTACCATGATAGCATCTCCGACAAGGCTCTTTACTTCTGCTCAGTACGAAAGCTCGCCACCATAAGCTTCTAAATACGCACATTTGTAATGTAGATGACCTCTTGAGCTATATGCGCGTGGGTGGCTTGATTGATGAAGTAGGCATTATCGAGTCTACCGACGCCTTGTTCGTCCACAGGAAGGCCCTGAAGTAGTTGTGCGAACATGGCGACAAGATGTCCAGTGCAAAGGCCAATCTGAACCGTTGCCGCCATGAAGAGAACTCTGGCCGTGCTAGTTAAACTCAGAATCGACGATAACATGCGGATTCATACCTGCAGCCATGCATGGACCACCGACGGAGTAGAAGCCGCGCACAGATGAAGTACAGCGAGAGACTACAAAGCGTGGTCTACGATCAGCTGCGCGCGACCCTCATAGCAGAGAATATGCGTACTTGAGACCTGAATGCCTCATGTCAAACGATATGTAGTCATCGCATTGGCTGAGCCTTTGCACTCACCGAACCAAGGGCCGACTATCCACGAAGAGACGATGGCCGATGTAACAAATTTGATGTCGCTCATGTTTTCGGGGGCGGGTTGGCGGAGCGGAAGGTCTCTTTTGTAGCAGCCTTCTCCGCGACGTCCGACAGGAATCAGGCCGAAAGTGCCTATCTGTGATCGGTGATACACAGGAGTAGTAAATGCCGTTCATAATGCACGGATGGTACCACCCTATGATGAGAGGTAGCCATCCAGATGACCTGCAGTCAAACACCGAGGCGACCGAGGACCGCAGATATCATCGGCGCTCGGTCTTTTGGGCCGTCTAACTAGATAGAGTATGTTGCGCTGAAGCAATGTTTGATTAGCATCGCGTGCTGGATTGTAGTACAAGTGACCGAAGTACCTTATGCTCGCGCCGGCTGGATCGCTCGTCGATTGAGCCTACGAATCCGCTCTTCACACCTGTGAACCAAGATGAGCAGCGAGGCCACAATGCGCGCAGATTGATAACCCAGTTGAATGTATGTAGATACCTTCACTTCGAGGAATGGGAAGACAGGCTCCGGCCCAGACGGTAATCATCGGTTGGACACACGTCGGCGAAGGACCTTCAACTCCACCGCAGCCGAGAGAGAAGCGGGTCCCATCCGAGTTCCATCTGGTCGTCGTGCAAGAATGAAGTGACAGCAACCTCCAGAGTAATGCGAGATATGTAGTGTCTCACTCAGTGGCAACGGCCGCAGAGAAATTTGGACACTCTTCGAGAAGGCGCAGCTGCCCGGGAACACCGTTGCCTGTTCACTACCTCGAGCCTCCGGCGAATGAATGAGTAATAATCTTTCGGCGAATGTCATGCATCGGCAAGCCTTTCGTAAAGTGATCGCAACGGTATTCCGAGGCGAGGCAAATGCACAATCAAGGCCTGAGGACTGAGGAGTTGATGGTGGCCGGGACAAGCAAGCGCGCGGTAACCGACGGCTTCGAGCGCTCAGCCAGCCGCAGCGCTCAGCGCCGAGCGAACCGTGGGTCCGGGCAGTTGACCCGGCGGCTCGCGTCTGGTCGGCTCCTCCCAGCCATCATGAGCTCGTAGCGGGAACTGTAAATCACGCCGTACGTGAGGCTGGACAGAGCGGCAGTGAGTTAGGGTCATTCACCTCTCGGTTTCTGACATCAATAATGATGATGGTTTCAGCCCTAGGTGCTTCGGCCGGATTATCAGTTTCGCTGTATCATGTCTACATAGCTCCTCACTAGTCACTCTTGAAGCTTGAAGTTCCTGGTCATCTGGGCTCAGCGCTCAGCGTTCAGCTCTCAACGTTCAACATTCTTATTCCTCCCGCATGGCTCACCGGTCACCACTCCCTCGGGCCGACATACTTACCACATCCCGCACTCACAACCATCTCCAAGGCGGGTGTACCTTCGGTCGCTGGCGCGCATCGTGTATCAGTACGCAAATCATGCCGTGATCAAGAAGGGGCGATCATCACGGCTCTTCAAGCCAGCGCAGAATCGCCCACTCAGTACTCAGTCCTATACCTGCTCAAGAGTCCGCCTTGTCAATAATCCGCCCGCTGCAGCCTGTCTCGCGCTCGAAAGTCCCGGCTCTTGCCAGACAGTTTGAGGAGCGTATGTCTACGCCGCCCTCGGCTGTCGCCGCACCTGCGCCACCTTCAGCGTTCGGTCCCAAGACTTCGACGGGTGCCGACAAAGTTAAGCCTGGCGTACGTGGACAGACCGTCCGTCCGCCCTGCGCCGCTCGACTTGCATGAGGCAAAGGACGGCTTCAGCAGCTTGGTCACGCTTGGAGATAGCCGCATCGAGATGCGTTCGCCTATTATTGCCGAGGCGCGTAGAGAAGTCGGCCTCGCGCGGGTACACTCGGTGGTAGCGTCGCTACGGTGGACGCGGACCGTGAGCTTGAGTTGAACGTTCCAGATGAACTACATGATATCCTGTCGAACGGGAGCACCCACCGCCGTAGCAGCAACTACGCTCATCTCGGTGTGCTCGACGGCACCGGGAGCGGCGACAATGACACGAAATGTCCATTTTACTTGACGGGCGAGCATTGCGCTGTCAATAAGTCGGGCTAAGGTTGGGAGGATCCGGTTGCCTGAGCTTCGCCGAGCAGCACTGCCCCATGCGAGCATGGGTTCTCGTCGCCTTTCTACGCAGGACAACCCTTCAGCTACCACGACTCGTTCGTCGACAGCACACCCGTCGCTCTTCACAAGCTAGCTTTCACGGCTTCGACTCGGTCGATAGTGCGCCTCGGGTTCTGGTTTGCCAACCTCAGCTCGTGCTACTCGGCACCGGAGGCGCACCCGCAGGGATATGGAACCCACAAATGGATGTCCAGCACGGCGTCTGTGAGCTCCTGAGACGAGTTGTCACCCCCGAGATGCCGTATTCGTTTGAGTACGGGCGTTACGACTTTCTCAGCTACCCTTCGTCCTATGGTATATCGCTCCCCGTGTCTATGACCATGGAACGAGTAGACTTGGACACCTTGAGCTTCTACCTCCGACCGCCGGTCCCCGCTGCGCGTCCGCGCTTAGTACAAGTTGCCGGCCGCGCCCACCGCCATAACGAGAGCAACATGTCTGTCGGCTCTATGGTACCTCCTGCGTCAGCTTGTACAACTACAGCTCCGGCATTCATACCCGCCACACGCATCGATTACGTCTCCAGCATTGGCTCGTCGGGACATCGTTTCGCATTCAGTCTAGGCGCCCGCGCTTGCCACCGTGCCGAGCACTCCATTGACTCGCTCATGAGCGACTTTGCGGCGATACGCGGCACACACACCAGTCTTTTGGACGATAAGATGCTTGAGAGCGCCCAAGGCATATCTCGGCCAGAGCGTTGTCACCCTGCGTCGTGATTTCGCTCTTCGCGACGAGGCTCAAGTCACGGTCGAGGACAGCCGGCGCATGTGGCATGGCACGCCCTTCTCGGTCTACGCCGTACAATGTAAGTTCACTCCAAAACCCAACCAGCAGCGCTCGTTACTGATAGTGCTGCAGCGTTCGATCCGCCCGCCCACATTCCTGGCATGCGTGCTATACTCGAGCACTCGCAGCAGAGTCACGGCCCGCTCCCGTCCGATATCCGTGCTTGGCATATGCGCCACGATAGCGTACGAGGCGGCGACGAGAGTTGCGATACACGCGGCAACACACGTGTGCGCGTCAATCAAACACGTGGCTCGGGCCGCCGCGTCACCGCGCTTTCGCGTCCCCCTCTTAGTCTCCTTCGCAGCCTTTATCACTTGATAAATCCCCCTCCCTCGTCCTCGCGGGGTCTCCATATTCGGGTACCGTTGGATAGCTTTGCTCAGCAGCTACGCGTACGTGCTGTTGAAACGGCCAATGGGATGAGAGGGCGGTGGACGGAGGCTCAGAACTTCAGCGCTACAGAAAAGAGATGGGAATAAAGTCGCGCGAATGTTGTGAGGAAATGTAGAAGAGGGTGATACTCATGGTCGAACTGAATTTTTGAACGTTTTGAACGCCATATACGGTATGGGACTGGAGGAGAAATTGGATTTTCTGCGGCACCTGCGCCGTCGCACGACCGTCCGGATCATGAGGGGTGTGAATTTGATGGGGCTTCTGCCCACATAATCTAGTAGCCGCCATGTCCGACCTGTGCGAACTCGATATTGCGACGTGAGAGGGCGGTGTCACGGATACGGTACTGAAGATGCGGCTAGACAACTACATACCTCGCTTCAACCGATGCAGACTGGAAGTCTATCCGGTGACGCGGAACACGGCGAGCATTGCCTGTCCGGCGAACTTCCTCTCTTCCCAGGCCCATCGACGTTTCGATTTCGTGGTGGCGGCCGTGTTTCCATCTTGTCTGTAGCGTTGATGACGACGTCGACTGCATTCGCCAAGGGCATTGCCTGAGATCGCCGACATGCCATGCAGATGTCTAGACACCGGTGAGTTCAGAGAACTTGATAGTAATGACAGGTAGTGACGCCCACCGGGGAGAGTTCATGGTTCCGACACCTCTTATCTCCCACGATTGAGCGCAGCTATGGCGGATAAACTCGTTTTGGGACTTCGCGTCCTTGTATGATGGACTTCGTTCGCCGGGCCGGTCTTTCGACGCAATACATGCCAAAGAACGGCCACTTCGGAACGTGCTATTTCCTGGCTTGGTCGCTCAACATCATCCCGTACAAGCCAAGGAACTATCATCCCATACAAACCAAGAATCTATATATACAAAGCGCGCCGTTGGAGTCTCGAGCGTCCTCAGGCCTCAGGATCGACATGCGCGCTCTCTCCCTACTCCAGTTGGCGCTGTTACCTCGCGCATTTACAGCTACGGTTATCAGGACTCTAAGTATCGAAAACGGGGTTGTTGGACCCGACGGGTACTACCGACCGTTGGTTCTACCACACGCATCGCTTTCACACCATGCTGACTGACAGGGTCAGTGCTGTAGTGGTGAACGGACAAACTCCTGGGCCAATCATCTCGGGAACGAAGGTCACTATCGTATACAGGACGACCCATTTGAAAGTTCTGACTTATGTCCAGGGCGATTTGTTCAGCATCGACGTCATCAACAAGCTCTGGGACCAACGTATGGACGTCGTGACGAGCATCGTGCGTTCAAACACTCATGCTTGCCCTTCTCTTCTTCATGTTTCATAGCACTGGCATGGAATTGATCAATTGCACTCAAATTGGGCGGACGGTGTTGACTCGATCACTCAGTGCCCTATAATTCCAGGTGGGGCTCCCGTATATCATGCCTGCGTACGTCTATTGATCGCGCGCCATAGGACGCACCTTTCGCTACAAGTTTAACATCCATGAACAAGCTGGTATGTGTTTATGGACTGCATGGACATCTCAACTCAAATGTGGCCATATAGGCACCTTTTGGTACCACTCGCACTATGCAAATCAGTACTGCGAAGCTCTTCGCGGAGTATTTGGTGAGCAACAATGTGTTAGATGCCCTGACATCTCTGATGCAATTCCGAAGTTGTTGTAAGTTTTTCATCGTCTGTCTTGCCAGTAAGGGGAAACTGAGGGTCATCTACTCGCAGTATGACCCCGAAGACCCCCACGCGCATCTCTACGACATTGACGATGGTGGGTTACTCGCACTCAATAGTAGCACAGATGTTGACGACTTTGGCTCGTCCCAGAATCGACAGTACTCACACTAGGCGACTGGTACTATACAACACCGAGGTAGTCGATGGATGTAGCTCACGCATGCGCAGGTACCACTATCTTAGCCACGAACAACCGAACATCCCTGCTCCCAATTCCTCGCTTATCAACGGATTGGGGCGGTATGCGGGTGGTCCCGCCTCTCCACTCGCGATCGTGCATGTCCGGAAGGGGATACGGTTTGCCAGGTACTCCCGTCTCTCTGGACAATGCTCATAGTGCCTAGGTATCGCTTCCGGCTTGTCAATATAGCATGGTAATGAGTGCCTTCGCGAGGGTATCAGCTCGCACGTTGATTATTGGTTGATCGTCCAGCGACCCGAATTTCCTGTTTTCCATCGATGCTCATGACCTTACTGTGATCGAAGTCGATGGGACGAACGTGCAGCCTCTGCATGTAAGCCGGATCCATATATTCATCGGTGCGCCCACCATAGTCCTGTCTCCAACCGCTTGTGTTGACTCATGGTTGTAGGTCAACGCTATTCTTTCATCGTGAGTGGCCTGTGATGTTATCGGAGACAGACTGACATGTCGGCCAAGCTTCATGCCAACCAACCCGTGGATAACTACTGTGAGCCGAGGCTTTGGAAGCTGAATGGCATTTACGTGACCAACTACCTACAGGGATACGGGCACTTCCTAATTTCGATCCTCCGACCAATTTCACCAATGGGCTAAATAGCGCGATTCTTCGGTACATTGGAGCCGAACCTCTCGATCCCCGCACGAGCGATGCCGATGCAGCTCGCCGCCCTCTTGTTGAATCACACCTTCATGTTTGTGTAAATCGTACATACTTGTGAACCACGAAGCTCATGATTCGACACAGCCCCTGGTACCGACTCCTCCGGTGAGGACCTTCCCCGTGCTCTTTATTATGTTTCTGATACCTTTCATCCGTTATGGTATAGCCGGCCGAGGTTGATCATACTGTGGTTCTTAACGTCGGCACAAACAAGGCCGTGACCGAGTTTGTCATCAACGGCCACACGTTCTCAAGCCCGGATCCAGTGCCTGTTCTTCTTCAAATTCTCAGCGGTGCATCGAGGGCCATTGATCTGCTTCCCGCTGGCAGCATCTTCACCCTGCAAAGAAATCAGACTGTCGACATCAAGATACCCGGCGGTGTTATTGGTGGACCCCATCCGTACGTTCGAACTTTGTCATGTTGCCCGGCCCTAAGTTGAACCTACGCCTTACGTAGCGTGCATCTCCACGGCGTACGTCGCGTTCTCTCACTAGTTCTTACGAGCTGCCATTGAATCACTGCTTACATCGTCCAGCATACCTTCTGGGTTGTGCAAAGTGCCGGTCAGCACACACAAAACACGATTGATCCGGTTCTGCGCGATGTCGTCAGCATCGGCGAACTTGGTGACAATGTTACTCTTCGCTTTCGTACAGAGAATCCAGGTAAGAGGCATGCGGCTGTCAATGATCCCTGGGCAGAAGAGATCCCATGATCCATCACACAGGTCCTTGGTACCTACACTGCCATATTGGTACGCAAACCGTGCGACATCATAACGATGCCACTCTTCTCATGGAATGTCAGATTGGCACCTCACTGCGGGATTTTCAGTCGTAATGGCGGAAGACGTACAGGATGTCTCAGCTGATGAAGCACCACCTGGTAAGATGTATCACCTGCGCGACATTGATTCAGACTGAACGCCTTCGACAGCTGAATGGAATCAACTATGCCCTCTCTACATTAACTTCACCGCGTCTCAAGAGTTCTCAGAGTCTTGAAGCTTGATTCCCTGTCCATTCGATACTTTCTCTTAAGTGTTGTGATGTATGTCACCCGAGTCAATGGTGTGGACTGGCTTCTGCATCTGAGTGGACGTGAGAGCGTGATTGCCGCTGTCGTCACTGGTGTCGCTCGCTTTAGGCTTGAGCTTGAGCATTGGCAGGTTACGGTGCCTTGGCCGAGGACCGTCTTTCTCAGGCATATGTGCTCAAGCATTGGTGTGAGACAGGAAGATGTCATAGAGGGCGAAGTATCCCTTCCATAGCGAGCGCGAGAAGAGCATGAGGGCTCGCGCAAAGCGTTACGAGTTGCGAGCTGCTACGCGCGGACACGTCGACATACCTCATTGCAGAGTGGAGCTCAAATTGAGATCCAAGATAGCACACCCGACGCGCAATGTCGCGTGTCGAGCGACGGGCGAGAGAGGAGAGTGGGCGAAAGAGAAGGGATCGCGAGAGCGGTGCGGGAGAGCGCGGTCACGGAACAAGAAGCGCACGAGGCTTGCTGCAAAGGTTAAGCTTCAAGTTGGCGCACTGTTCGCCCTTTGCTCGCGAATGGTGAGAGTGACTGAGTAGAAGGCAACTTGTAGAAACCGCAAACCTCGTCCAAAACTCGTGGGGAATAGAGCTACTGGTTATCTCCGCTCGACCGGGCCCTTGTGCGAACTAGCAGACGTACATACCGAGGCATCAGAATATCGACGTTGCATATCCTGTACGCATTGGGGACAGAAATGATGAGGTATGACTCATGTGCTGTCTATAGTCAACTGGCTAAGCCGCTGTCGGTCTTACCACCAGTCAGAGTGACAACCCGAACCCGGCGACGACGGTGGCGGGTTGAGTACATAAAATGAGTTGAGCGCGCTGTCTGCACTACGTGGATGATGGCATTTGCTCGGCCACAAAGGGGAATAAAATCCCGACTTGATTCTAAAGTTGATAAGCCTTTATCGTTTGGAAAATCCTAAGAAAAATCGTGCCATTTTGGCCCTGACTTACGGATTTGCGATATAATTCGGTTAGCATTTTCAGGCAATAGAATGGTGTCACAAACTAAGAATCAACAAGACAGTTCATCAGGATTTCCGTGGCACCAAATTCCTTCATCGACGTGGTGCTGCGCTGTGAGAACATATTACATAACGCTCTCCACGTCGCGTTGACGATGCCAACGGAGTCGCTGCTTCGCCGACTAGTCACCCACCTTGCACCTACCGGTCATCGGCGATGTTAGTTCTCATATGCCCGACGGGGCGCAGATCATCATGATGGATAAAGCCCAACGCGGGATCTCCCAACTGTGCCATCCCATCTTGTATGTCGTCGGTGTCCAGACTCAACACCTTGCGATCACGGATGTGCGGTGCGATTCGTATCTAGTACATGCTCCCAGAAAAGGAACTGATGCTACACCGGCTGCCACATTCGCAACTCATCCGATTGCGGTAACGCGCAGGACCCCGATAGGATCCGCCCTTACACAGCCCGCCACCGTGCACATCTTGAGTACCTAGTACTTCAAAAGAACTCGATGCATGCGACAGGTTCACCATTGCCTTCGTGGCCCTTGAGCTGATGCATGACATTAATATCGTGTATGCTTTCTTCCTGTCGGCCTGGCTCGTTGGTCCCCTATATGGTATGCCTTGCGACTCCGTTTAGTACGGGTGCTTGGCTGACTGACCTATCTGTCAAGGCTTGAAGTAGGTTGACGTAGTCAATGTACCAAGAATAATCCTCTCACCAGTCTCTAGCCTCATCCTTTTCGTCCTCTGTTTGCGTTTCTTACTCAACAGAGGTGTCTCAGGAGGCAATCGGTTAGCCATACTGGTCTTGTCGTTCTTCACATACTTATCCATCCAAACAGGGTTCTCCTGGCCACAACCGCTGCGCAGATACTCTTGTGCACCGGGCATCTGGTGACGACGATAGTCCAGATTTTTCGAGCGATTAGCCTAGACGAAGAAGGCCGTGGTATTCTCGATAATGCATATGTGTATAATCAATCCGAAGCAGCCCATGTTGTTCAAGTAACCTTGTACATCACCAACGTAAGGGTCTCCAGTCAACATTCCTCCGCAGGCTTACTCACGATACGTCGTGATAGGGACTGTTTGCCGACGGTATACTTGTACGTATGTCCTACGCCGAAGTGTCATACTATACGAGACTCATGGCTGTGCCATAGATATGGCGATGCTATGTCGTTTGGAATAAATCAGTATACATATGGGCACCACTAGCAAGTTCTTGCAGCCCTTGGGTGGCTATCACATCTGACAATCTGCAGGTATTCTTACTCGCCGGAAATGGCAGTACGCCCGTGTGGCTATGCTTGACCGCCGGTATAACTGACCCTAGATCCAGTCACTGGTTATATCGCCATGGCGCACCTATCACGTCTCACGCCGCAGACGGCGGTTTTCGACAATTCCGTCGGCTTATATATTCAAGCGACATGGTCACTGTCAATCGCGACGCAGGTTATAGCTAGTCTACTCATCTCGTGGAAGGTTCTTGCTGCAGGAGCTCGACTGGCTTCGAATAGGTCAAGACCGCGATTTCGCGGCTACCATGCAACCATATTCTGGACAATCGTTGAGTCTGGCGCACTCTACAGCTTCACCACGGTCCTACTGCTTGTCTTCTATGTCAATGGCGCGCAGGCTGGCGCGATTTGTGCCGCGATACTGGGACAATTGAGTGCAAGTCCGGCTATCTCGCTCTTCGGCTGTACACTCACCCCCCTTTAGGCCACTGCACCATACCTTATCCTGGTCCGTGTTGAACACAACAGACAGCACATTCCCAAGCAAACCTCCACGGTGGCTCCGCCTCGGCATTACTCACGACAGACCTCGATTCCTGTTCAACCTAGCAGCATACCAGTGGGACTTGTACGTGAATGCGCACGGTTGACGATTGCGACTGAGAATCAGTGTTAGGTTGCGAGCACCAGAAGCAATAGCTTCTACGGAACGTCCAAGAGTATCGGTCTACAACATGAGGACGTCGATGTTATGGAGTTGAAGCATGTCGGGGTCTAATACCTCCTAAACCTATGTCTCTTATATTATTGATGCCCCTGCCGTCTTCATCCGAGTCTTACTTCGTTGGTGACATCGCGCGCGAATACCGTTGAGGCATCCGCCAAACATGGATGTGATTCTGTGAAGCTCAGTGCTTGTGTGTTACCATCCCCCCTAATGACATACATATGCGTGGAGAAGTTATCCTCACGAGAGTTATCGATTGAACGGCGGAGAATCGTAACTAGCGACACGACTCCAAGTGATAAAAGACTGGGGTCCCACCGGCGCGGGCTACTCGGCCGCTCTATGCGTACAGGGACGGATTCACCGTCTGGCCCAGGGCATTGCCGAGGCCTCAGACGGTCCAGCACTGACGACGCAGACCCAGGTAACGTCTGACGTCTAGCTGCTACAACCCACTGATGAGGCGGCCCGTCACGCCGACGATGTATGGCGTCGAATGAGTTCTTTCGCGTCTGAATAGACAAGCATCTGGTCCCGTCGCAGGCCTCGCCACGTACACGGCAGGGCCTTGTTCACCCATTGTGCATTGCCAGAAGGCGCGGGCTATCATGGCATGGGTCTACCGCAGCATCGACGGACCATGCGTGGCATACTCTCGGCTGCCGCTGGTTATGAGGCAGTCCTAAAGCATGCGCAGTACATATTCCGGAGGCCCAACTGGGTGTGGTAAGGTGTTATATTGACTGCGCCAGCTACGCGGAGTGCGTTATGGATGGAGAGATCTGTACTCGGGCGCGAGGTATGTAGTACTGATCAGAGGTTGCTCGGCCATGCACATACCAACGGATGCGACAGCCCTGTTTGCGGCCAGGACATGGGCGAGAGCGAAGCATACTACTGTATAGTGTGTGCTAGAATGTGTACCACAGAGAATGCGGGAGTTGGCAATACGGATCGTAGCGTTTGCAGGCGGAGCAGCTCATTCCGCCTCAGACTTAGGTCTCATCTGACTTCCAGCGTAATCTAGTCACCTATGGCCATCCGGTATATTGCAGGGCAGTAGCCATATGTTAGCGACGGGAATTAGTTGACCGTTGAAGTTGAACGTGGTAAATGGGACGATTTGCGCGGCGGTTTTGGGTACTCCCACTCCACCGCCGACGTCAGCGGCTTGAGCTTGAGCCTGGGCTTGGCCTGGGCCTGGGCCTGAACTCCCATGGTGTTGGGCTCCGCTGAACATCGAATGAAGCTTCCCCTGTTCCTGCATGCATCCTCAGTTGACGTATTAGTACAGTGTTGTACCGTCCACCGACTCCACGGAAGGCGCCACGCATCGAGCGTATCTGATTTCGACGTTGAAGGCTAGCATGAAGGAGGCTTATGTCTGCCGAGGGCTGGAACGTATCACCACATTACCCACGTCGCGGCAACCCAGCTACATGCGGTGTTTGATTTGAGGGTACGTCGAATAGCATACCTGATCTGCATACAGGGTGGTATGGATCCGCGCCCAGATTCAGAAGCGACGCATCCGATCTTCTCGGGCCACATACATGTCGAATGCGTGCTGTTCGGATTGTTTGGCCAGAAGCGCGCCAGAATCATACAATGCGCGGCGCGGGGCGCACAAGGCCCTCATACTTTCGAGAGCCCGAACCCTGATACAGAGTTCGCCATCTTCCTACTACTCGCACACAGTGATACATCGAGGATCTTCCGCCCATGGTACCCGAAAAGAACTGTCGCCATCGGTTACTTCCCTTCAGCCGGACAACATGGAGTTGGGCGAGAACGAGAACGCGAAGCTTCTACGGCCCGGGCAGGCATCGCCTGCCGTTGTCCCGACCGCACCCATGTCAGTACAAGTCGCCGTTTCAAGTAGCGGTGATCATAGAATGTCAGGAAGCCGAGATAAAGGTCGGTGGAGTCGTGGCGCCTTTACCACCCACGCACTTTTGCCTTTCCCTCCAGGATCCTCAAGTAGATACTCGATAACCAACTTAGAGATGGATGGTGCGTTAAGGGCCCTCGTCTCAGACTTGTGTGTGGCTCAAAGGTATGCATGCATATTCATTAGGTGCTCTACCGTGAGTTCACACGCCATTCTTCTATCGTTGCTGCCAATACTTACAAGTTACTGTTTGAACAGGCCTCCTGGTCTCAGGGAGCTCTCAGAAATCTGCAACATCATCACAGATTCCGTTAAGATAATCAGCAACACGCTCACCAGCGCCGGTCTTGACTTCCCAAGTCTCGGCACCCCCTTCACCACTGCGTCTGAGGCCGCTCGCTCGATCCCTGAAGTTCGGGATGCAGCAGCAACTATTGCTGCTGCTGCCGCTCAGCTTGCGGCGACCGTCTGTCCGCCCCCTATGACCGTGCTTAAGACCGCCATGCTGGTACAGATTGAATTTACGCAAGGTCTCCACGCTCGACCTCATTAACGATCCTCATAGTTCAATGTGTCCGCTGCTCTCAATATCGCCTGCGAAGCTCATGTTGCCGAAATTATTCGCACCACGGGGTCGCAGGTACGTCTTGCGTCATGATACGCTGTCGCCTGTACATAACTCATGCTATTCAAGGGACTCGATGTCGTGGCCATCTCCAAACCCAGCGGAATAGATCCTGCCAAGCTTTGTACGCGTGCATGTTATAGGCTCATTAAACATCTTTTCTGACGTCGCTTAGCGCGCGTCCTGCGTCTGTTGGTCACATACAACATCTTCCAAGAGGTTTCACCGGACGTATTTGCTCATAATCGCCTTTCTGCACTACTTGACACGGGGAAGTCACTCGAAGCTATTATTGCCAGGTCCGTTCTTGCGGCACATATCACATGCCGGTCTAATATGATCTGTAGCCCCAAACATAAACATGATCATACCATGGGGATTGCTGCGGCTATTGGTCATGAGTGCGCGACCTCCGTCACGTATTCGCTCTAAAGCACTAAATAAGGTCTTGGCTAGGGCGGATGAGGCTATGAAGGCCGTTTCTTATCTCACGGAAGTCGTCTTCGATCCTGTTGCTGGCCATGCCAATGACATACACAATCTTGGCTTCAATCGCGGTCTGCAGACGCCCAGGACAATGTGGGAGTTCTATGATCTACCCGACCAGGATTTCCGACTGCGTCGGTTTGGTACTGCCATGGAAGGGACCAAGAATATGGCCCCACCGCTGGCTATTGTCGAAGGTCCGCACATGCTCGACGCTTAGGATAGATCTGACCCTGCATCGTAGGTATTGACTGGACGGCATCCGGAGAGGATGCTCTCGTCGTCGATGTCGGAGGTGGTATCGGCGCTCAGGCCCTGACATTGTCGCGGTCATTCCCCTACCTGAGATTCGTTGTCCAGGACCGCGAACCGCTCATGGAATCGGCGAAGAAGGTATGAGAATCGTGGCGTCAGGTAAACAGAACTGATAGTATACGTTAGTTTTGGATGGCAGAGAACCCTGATGCCCTTAAGTCTGGACGTACACAATTAGAAGGTGAACTTGATGCTTCTCACAGTCTGGTGATCCGTACTGAGTTAATATCATGGTAGCACATGACTTCTTTGGACCGCAGAACGTCAAGGACGCCGACATCTTCCTAAGTAGACCACGGTTCTCATATTTTCTGATCCTCAACTTGGCTGACCGCGGGACAGTTCGCATGATCCTACACGATTACCCTCATCAAGACTGTCTAACGATTTTGCGACACCTTCGTGCCGCAGCGAAGCGATCAACTCAGTTGGTAATTGTGGACAACATCATGGCGTATGCCTGCGAAGAGCCCGCTGCCAATGAGATACCTGGTGCTGCTCTCCCTGCACCCCCGGCGCCGCTTCTGCCGAACTTTGGCGATGCTAATAGTGTTGCATACTTGATGGATGTTCAGGTAGGGCACGAATACTTTGCCCACACTCCTCCGCTGACCTCACCGGCAGATGATGGGTCTCACTGGGGGTGTCGAGCGTACGCTTACGCAGGTTAGAGATCTTCTAGCTGAAGCAGGCTGGAAAGTTTCTCGCGTTCACCACGGAGCTCCTTTCGTGCTTAGCCATCAAAAGATACTGGCCGTCCCTGTTTAGTGCGATATTATCCATGCCTTGTGCTCGATCCTAAGCGCTGGCTTGTATAGAAGCTGGCGGATATCCTGAACCGAGCTTTTGAACCTGATATCCAGAAGATATGGCGTTTTGCAACTGATGATGGGAGTGTTCCCAACCAGGGAATTGTTACTTTGGTTAGGCGCGATTGTAGGCATGAGCATGAGCATGTTACATCATGCTTCCACTGTATAGGCTGTACGCGTCCTGCGTGCATCGAAGGCACGGAGAACAAGAGTGATAGCACTCAGCGCTCAGCATGAGTCCGTCGTGTTGAAGGTGGAAGTCTACGCCTTGTGAATTGCCACCGGAGACTTAGAACCTGAGACCATGGGTCGCCTGGCATACGGTAGATAAGTCCTCACGTGAGTTTCAACGAGCATGAATCGGATATCATAGAAACTGCAAGTCTAGTGGAGTAACTGTGTTAACTTGGCACCGACATCCTCAGCCGAGAGGTTTTCCAGTTCGACATGCTTCTCGACGCCCTTCTCTACAGGTGAATTAGTATACGGTCTGGTACAAGACGAACTTGCTGGAAACGTACCAAACCGCGCAAATGCGCGTGCTGGTGTACCAGTTGCCTCGCGTATAAGTACCGGTAAATCCGGGTTATGTTGCTTCAGGGTCGGGTATGTGGACTGGACGAACTGCCTGTATGTGGCGTAAGGACATTTTTCCAATATTATTGGCGAGTTACGCACCGTGCGCCAGCAGAGGCTGTCCCAGTCTGAGACATGAGAATCCTGACTTCCCTGAGTGCGGGTGACAAGGCCTTTGCGAAGGAGGACATGGTGGTGATGCGGAGGAAGCGAACGCGCGCCTGGGCTCCGTGCTTCGGCGGCGCGGGCGGGAAAACTCTCACGTGCGTCTGTTGCGAAGTAGCGCGCTTGACCGCAACGACCACCTTTCGGCCCGCGATGGACGAGCAAATGCAGGACGAGTGGGCCGCCAGCCGGAAGAACCGGCTGCCGACGTTCACGGAGGTGCTGAGCAGGAGGACCAGGCCGCCGGTGGATTTATTCATGTTCTAGTGAGTCGTGGCTTAAGCGCTAATATATCCAATCTGGATCCTGACCGACTGTTCAAAGTCTATTCTTACAGCGTGAGGGGAACGAAGATATCCTGGATTTCTGGCTGGACGTGCAACAGCACGAGAACCTGTGTCGGGCGTATTTCAAGGACGTGCGCAAGTCGGGCCGTACGATCAAGGACGACTGGCCGCAATACTGGGACTATGCCAGGCGACGCGGCAGTATCTACGGCACAGTCGTCGGCATGAACCCGGCGGCGGTGGGCGCCAAGCGGTCTACAGCATCTACCACAGAGCTGGAGAAATTGGCGGCGGAGGGCGGTGTGCGTTCGACTTCACCACGCTCGCCCTCGCCCGACCCTCGCCTGGCCCAGAGCACGTCTCCGGCAACCGCCGTGGGCTCTGAGTGGGGACACGAGCAACCTGCACGCTCGACAACACCATTCTCCCTGTCTCGGCATACTCCGACTCTCTTCAACCGTCGGGCTTCTCGGGCGCCTACCATTATCCCGCGGAGTGCTGCCATTTCCCGTCTTGACCTCGTCGCCAGCGCGGAACGCATCTGGCTTCGGTATCTTTCCCCTGCCGGTGCCGCACCTGGAGACGAAAGCCATGAGATCTACCTCCCACCCGCGCTGCGGATTCACGCATTCCCTCTCAACTCGCAGCAGGAGAGCCGCAATGCGAGCGACCAGGCGATCATGGCTCAGGTGCCCGACATGTTCCACGCACAGAAGGAATACGTCTTCAAGGCGATGGAGCAAGACGCCTTCCCTCGCTTCTTGCGGGCCAAAGCGTTTGGGAACCTGACGCCCTTGAGTGCGCTCGTGCGACTCATCCTTGGGCTGGTTATCCTCTGGATCGCGCTCGCGGTGGCCTTCTCTCTTGTCTTCCTAGATGTCCAACCCAAATCGAAGCGCTTCTTCGTAAGCGCTCTGTCTTCCGTTCATCTTCGTGGCAGATGCTGAACTTGATCCATAGCTCTTCATACCGTTCACCTTCGCCATCCTCTTCCTCATTTCACACCAATACGAGTTGGACCCCATCCTCGTCTTCTTCATGCAGTCCGAAACAACACCATTCCGGACGCTCACGATCAAGGAGCCTTACGTACGCAAGCTCTTGCTTGGTCGCGGCATATGGGTCTCCATACTCGTTGCGGCCTGCGTCGTCGCACTCACTATGATCTTCTGGGCGGTACCCGGTCACCACCTATGAGGGGATCATTGGCGCCGAAGCGCTACATCTCTGGTCCTACAAGGCTCTCTGTGGAAGAGAGGAGGGGAGATTCGCCGGCTCATTCTTCGCGAAGAGGAACATACAGGTCATACCCATCTCTACTCCATAATTATAGCATCCCCATCCTCGTCCTCCACCCTCCGCCGGACATCCTGTCATCGTTTTCGCCTTTGCTTTGGTTATTCTCCGTGTCATGTATACCCTCTCACCCTCGCCTCTCCTTACTTACCCTCCCCCCGTCTCTCGCGTACTTTCTACCCTCAGCCCCAGAAGTTGTTCTACCCCCGCGCTACCGGATTAATTTGAGGAAAATCTGCAGTATTGGGACATGATAAGGAATTGCTATCTGTCCTGTATCCGGGCGTTACGAACTGGCACGGGCTACGTACGGTAAGTAATGCATCTTGAATAACTTGACGATTTTTTCTTCATGTACCTCGAAACAAGTAAACTCCAAATCAATATAACATGCCAGTGGATCGGCCGGAGAGAACCTGTGTACAATATATCTGAAATTTAGGCATCATGCCACGTCGACTCGTGAGAAATTTACCGCGCAAACACCCGAAGGGTAATCGCCGAGTAGACGTCTCGTCCCCTGCTTCATTGAGATTCATCGTCACTCGATACCCGCTGTGAAAGCCTCCCAATGACTGATGCCTTGCAGTGGCTGTCCGACACCGCTCGAATGGACTTCTCCGATTGCCTCAGTCTATGTTCTGGCGCCCCAGTGCGCTGCCTTGAATGTACAGCGGTCTTGGAGGGTTTCTTCCACAGGGAGCAGAGGTCGACAATACGCAGAGCCGTGCGCTACCGGCACTGGGCGCTGATACGTGCCGGAAAGCGTGCACCCGCTTACCGCTTGCTTCACGCGGACCGATGCGAGCAGAACGGTGCTTGCTTGAGATCGAGGATGGCAAGTAGCTCGGCAGCTGACTACGGTGCCAACTTTAGCCGGAAGTCCATGACGATTTTCCCCTGCCTGTGGCTGGGAGATTCTTCCTGCACAGTCATCGGTTCGATGGTCTGGTGGCGGCGGGACAGTAGGTCGATTGGATGCAGTACCATGCCGGAAAAGTTGGCGTCAAAGGGCGGCGCACGCATGGCCTCAAGGCGCTCTTTTCCAGCCGATCCTCCGCCGTCACGGAACAAATTCTCGACAGCGACCGTAGACTGCTTGAGTGATGACGCGGATGGTACACGTACTCAGACAGATCAGATATCGGCCCTCCGCTGTTGGTAATCGCATCTGGTGCGTGGCGCCGTTCACACTGAGGATTCCACTCGCTCTCGTCGATTATTCCTGAGCTTGATTTCACTCGACGTTATGTACTCCCCCACCCCCTTGTATCTCCACCGTCACGTATGGTTTTTTCCTGACCCCGCGGATCAGGCGTGCATTGTCGTTATCTCTAGATACTTGCTGCCGTGAGCGATCACAACCGAAAGTTAACACGACTCGCAGGAGCGCGTGAGCCCCATATCTATATCTGGGCGTACTGGGCTCGCGTCCGCGTTTTCTCACACCGCTTTCCTACTTCTTGCAGTTGCGACTCGGAGCGCTCATCCACATCGCTGAGGAACGTAGCAACTTAGCATGATAGCACGTCGGCTGGGGGTATCTACCGGTATGATCACGACATAGCTGTTCCTCTACTTGATGCATGCACTGACTTGCTTCTCAGGGTTTTACTGTGTGTACAAAAGAGCGACAAAGTTACGCGATTCCTCCGTCGACGGCCTTACGAAAATCCCGCTCATCATGGGTACCGACTGGAACGATCCGAGCGTTCTCGCGACCGAGTATTGTGTGTAAACAAGGTTGCTCAACTTCTCGGTTCTGCCTACTGACCGCCTGCTTCATCCAGCCATCCTGATCAAGATGCAATATACTCTATGCGGTCTTTACATCTGGGAGTTACTTTTGGGCCTCAGATTCGACTGGTTGCTACTAAAACGGCAAGATCAACGCCCGTGGTCGACGCTTGCGAAATGGGTACAGCAGTCAGATCTTTAGAAGGTTCTGAGTTTCTCAACTGACACAATGATAGCTCTATCTCGCTTGCCGCTACGCTCCTATGATGACTTTGACCACCATCTTTGTGGGCTTCCAGGCGCCAGCCGGGGTGAGAGGCCTTCTTCCGTGTAATAATGGCCTCGTGGCTTCTAGCTTTGTTGACGCTCTTGCGAGTAGACTAATTGCAAGGTTAGTGACCGCGATAGCCGCGAGCCATAAAAGTGTCACTCACCATATGATGCTCAAGGTCTGGGTCATATGTTTATACGTCAGTGCCATCTTTTATCTTCCGTCTTCTGCGGATCGCTGATCGAACATAACCAGATCATCGGGTCCTTGGCGATAGAATGCTCATCCGCGCTCATCGCTATTCGCGTGTGGGCAATTTTTCATGAGGATGTGTATGACATTTTGACATATACGGTATCAGATTTGCCCTGTGGAATAGATCTTCTTTCACGATGGCTCTGAGCGCCATTGCCCTTGCAGTCCAGGCATCAAGCTGGATCTACCGTGCGTGGATAGCATCCGTAATTTGATATCAACACCTCACTGATAGTTTTACTCAGAACTCATAAAGGCACATTCACTTACACTGCCATATGTCTGTACTAGACTCTGACAGAAGATCAGGCGGACGCTATCTATCAGGCTAGCACGTCCGGCTGTGCCCCAACTGAAACGCGGACGAATAGGGTCTACATAACCGTCACATTTCTGATAGACCTCGGCTTACTTTGTGCTATGTTCGTTGGGCTCGCAAGGCGGAGGAATGCACATGCGTCCGGATCCAACATGTGGCGGATACTCTGGCATCAAGTTAGTCATCCTGCTTGACGACTGGCCTGGATACGCTCTGATCGTTGCCTTGAGGGTCTCATCTGGTTAACGCTTGCAACTCTAGCAGAAGTTCCGACGGTTACCTTCCTTTGGTTGAATCTCAATCGTACGTGCAACGCCTTCTCATTACAACTCCTGTCGAATGACTTCAACACAGAGATCATGAACCTCGTTTGTCTCCAATCCCGGCCTTGAGTAGGAGCGTACTTACACATGACTAGATGTTTTTCTCGCCAGAGTGGATGATACTCGCAATTGCAGCTGCGCGTATGTATCGCGTACTCATGAGCCATTTTGCGACCAGCGCATACGGGTATGTAGGTCCTCATATCTACTTTTCGTGGACTTACTGACGCAACCCATTGGTGTTCATCCAGTCCCAGAAGAGCATACGACACACCACCATACAGAGACGCGTATGAAGCTTCTCAAAATATTCCACTACGCCCTCTTCACACGCAAGTGAGGGGGCTTAAAAGCTGAAATATCAGGCACAAAATTTCGCAGCGCAACCTTGCCACGCCCTTCGAGATAAGAACTCTTGCCCAAAGTATGATTAGAACATCGGCAGCAACGATTATTCAATATCAGGAGTTGTGGTTCTCTCCCTGTACTGGGTGATTGCAAGACCATCTGAGCCGTCCGTCTGAATGGGCATCATCCAGGCCCTTGTTCAAGAAGATCGACAGACTCGGAGCATATTTCTGGTAGACTCTGAGTCAAGACATTGCTAGTCGTGTCAAGTTCTTAAATTCGAATCCCCTGGTAGACCGTGGTCTATCACTCTCACGCATGACACGGATGACGTCTGCGCGGCGTAGTAGGAGCAGTACGGTTGACGGCTAGTCCGAGGCCCAACTCGCGTACGCGACGCGCGCCAATGTCCTTGCGCACAGCCGGGCGCCGGGGCCCAACAAGGGCTTACCACACCCCCGCCCCTCCCTCTAGCAGCGTTAGCGGCGGCCAGAGGATCCTGCCAGTATGGCCAAGACCCGAAGCAGTCTTCCCCGGACGGAGTAGGGCCCTTGCAGGAGGTATTTTCCGTGATTTTCCGCGATTTTTGACGCTGTCCCACGCCCCGTCCTATCGTGCCGGAAGCTCTTTTCCGTACAATCAAAGTCGGAATACGTCGCTACGCTCTCCACGAGGCAGATATAGATGCATTGCGCAGGTGGGGGAG